ACTGTATCAACGGTGTCAGAGGAACACAAAGCAATGATACTGATCATGTTTCTCAAAGACAAAGCATTAAACATCGCTCTAACCATAGATGAAGAACTTCTTAAGACCAAGAAGGCTGATGCTGAGCCACCTGAGACTAAAGTCGGTGTTGAGCTACTTATAGCCCAGTTAGATGAGATTTACCTAGAGAGTGATGATACTCTTGGAAAATATGAAAGATTTGAAAATTTAAAAAGAAACTCAGAACAGAGAATGACTGAGTTTATCCTGATTTTCGAGAGTCTAGAACGAGAACTGAAGACAGAAGGAGTGACACTTCCTGAACTAGTGCTGGCCTATAAATTACTAAAAGCTGCCAATCTGTCCAATGCAGATGAGAAGTTAGCTAGAGCCACCTGCACAGCTATGACAATGGAAGATATGAAGAAATCACTCATGAGATTGGCTGATTCCCAACTCAATAAATCCAAAGTAGAAGAATCTGACAGTCTTCCTATTAAAGTGAAAGCAGAGCCATGCTATCTAGCTTTAGACAATAGAAAACTTCCAACAGAAGCTGGTAAAAAAGAGACAACAGACTCAAATACTCTCCCAGAAGAGCAAATAATGTTCAATAGGAACAGAACTGGAAACAATGTTAGAGGAAAACAGAGACCTTTTGGTCAGAGGAATGACAACAGACAGGTTTGCTACGGGTGCTACTCTCCAGGACACTGGATCAGAGACTGCCCTCTTAGAGCTCCTTTCAGACAGCCGATGAACTTCCAAAGGCCGCCTTACCAGCAACACACCATGCCTAATAACCAACACTCAGGCTACAGACAAGGACCGCCCAACCCAGCCAATTACAACCAGCAGATTCCTTATTATCTGTCAGACATGATTCCCAACAATAAGGAGTTTTACGGATACAACCAAGAATACTATGAAGAACCTATGCCTACAGTGAAACCCATATTCTTCCAATGGAACGTCCGTCAAGAAGAAGAAGCTGCTTTTCTAGCCGGAGAAACTGTCAATAAAGCTTTGTTAGACTCAGGAGCAAGTAGAACAGTAGCCGGGGAAAACTGGTATTCATGCTTTCTAGATTCTCTAGATGACGAGACAAGAAGCACTGTTAAAGAATTCCCAGCAGAAATCATCTTTAGATTTGGAGTAGGAACCCTAGAATCTTCTAAGAAAGTGATCATCCCAGTCACAATTTGTACCCACAAAATTCGGCTTGAAGTACACATCGTTAACAGTGACATACCTCTTCTATTATCTTTGAAGTCAATGAAGTGCATGGGAGTACAACTTAATTTCGAGACAGACACCATTACCATCCGTGGAGAAGATTACAAGCTAGAGTTGACTAAATCAGGTCACTATGCGATCCCAATCCAGGAAGAAAACGTGATGGTTCCAAAACAAGAAGCAGATAAGCAGATGAATAGTAAAGAGAGATCTCAAGCCAGAGCTCAAGAAACAAACTCTGATCATAATTCTACTCTAAGAGACTTCAACATTCCAAATCTTGATCCTGAAGAGATAAGTGCTCAAGTAAAACCTGAGATCCAAACCATTACTAGAACGACAGATCAAGAAGAACCACAGGAAACAACAAACAACCTACCTGGTGGAACTGCAGAGCCTACAATAGTTGAAGTTAAAGACACTCCAGAAACAACTATTGAGAGAACTACTGAAGAAGTGGAACAAACAAAGAAACCTCCAAAGGCAAGGAAACCTATGAAGAAAAATGAAGGCTTGATAACTGCAGTAATTGAAGGAGACACAGTGGTATTCCAAGAACCTGATTCGGATACATGGCACAAAGTTCAGCTTAAGTCTAGAGGATACACTGTCAACAGCATGAACAAGAACTACTGGAATGTCATTTCAGAAGACGGAAGTTTTTCCGGGGTCAATTTAGACAAAGTAGACTGGCTACTTGAGAAAGACCCTCCTGAACCTCCTCCCATAGCTGAACCCAATGGAAATGAAGAGAGTATCAAGTTTGCCGAGATGATGTCTGAAGAAGTTTTTGTCCTGAGAACAGTGCCAAGCACATACTACAACTAGACTGGTATTTCTGAATGTGTTAAGTTCTACCTATCTTGAGTGTTTCTCTATATTTTTGTCTGGGCAGTCTGTTTAGAGAGAAGTATAGGATTAAGGATGAAAGCATCCTTTGTGAGGACTGAGGATTGAGAAATTAGGCTACAGATATTAAAGGTTTGCAGTTTACTACAAACTGACCTGGACCCGACGGAGTAGGCTCTTGAGACTTGAGAACTCACCATACTTCAGAATGCCTTTTAACATTGTAATGAACAAAATTTTATAACATTTTAATGGACATTGTTAAATTATTAATTTATTCAATATTTAGCTTATTCTTCTAAGTTGTTTTTTTTAACAAGCCTTTTATACTTTTGAATCGATGTTGTTGTTGTTTTAGACTTTTGAATTGATTTATCTATCACAGTTAGTAGTTCCATACCTCTGGGGTTTTAACTTTTATATTTTAGACTTAGATAGGGTGGAGATTGTTCTAACCAATCTTTCCCCTTTAGCAAGATCACCCTGAACTCTACTGTGGTGAGTAGAGTGTTACACTTTGTAACTGTGCTTAGCTTTTCCTAGTATAGTTTTCAGTTAATCTTTCTAGTAAGATAGGAACTGTTATTGATATTTCTAATTGCATTTATTCCATAATGTATTGCATTACAAATTATATACGTTTTCAGATAGATTGATAACAACCATCGTGATTTCATTGCATACATCAGAGCAATAAACAGTAAGAGTATTTCATGCTCAAGCTCCTTCCAATAAGGCTCTAGGATCTCCAACCACTATGTACAATAGCCACGAGAGACAGAAAAAGAATTTATACAATAAAAGGATTGTAGAAGTGGAACATGGGACGTTTACACCGATAGTCCTATCAACCACTGGGGGTATGGGAAGGGAAGCTAATAAGTTCTTCAAGAAATTAGCGGAAAAACTTTCTAGGAAATCAGGCCAACGATATAGTGAGGCAATGACATTTATTAGGAAGAGAGTAAGATTTGACCTTTTGAGAACAACAGTCATAGCTCTTAGAGGAGAGAGAGGGTTAAAAAGTAGTAGTGCAGTAAAAATAGAAGAATTAGATATAAATTTGGAGCCAGTTCTTTAAACTGGCTTACTTAAAGGGTGTTTATAAATTTTATGTAGTTTTCTATTGCATTTATATTGAATTTTTATATAGGGTAATTGTTATATTATGTGTATATTGTTTGAATTTCTTCTTTCTCTAACTTACAACTTTCAAATTAACCAGTGGTCTGACAAATTATGAATCAGATATGTTTGAGCTGCAGATCCGGTCTCAATCTTGTTTCAAGCTACAAAATATGTAGTTAGACTGTAATTCAGATTAAAAATCTTTAGAAGTAGTTTCTTCCAGAGCGAGTTATTCCTCACTGGAACAAACTTCCTTCTAAGGTCGCGAATTCAGAAAATGTTGCGAGTTCTAAAATTAAGCTGGAGGAGTTTATGAAAACATTTATTGTTGATTTGTTAAACAACAATAATTATTCCTGGAAAGTATGATCAGGAGAAGTTAATCCTAAAAGGAAGTGATGGCCTTAAAAATGAAAATAAACAACAATTATCTTGTGTTTTATTTTTTGCACATAGCGTGATGATACTTTGTAGAGATGTGTAATGATGTGATGTCACAATTTTCACTTTAATTTACTTCACCTGAATCATTGAATGTGTGTTGATGGACCAACGTAGGACTGGACTCAAAACTGCATCTGTAGTCCTTTGTCATATTTCATTTCTAAATATCGATACCCCTGATTAATCTTGGTCACACCCATCTTTCCAAGGCCTTAGTTGCAAAGCTAAATTAGCTCCTTTCTCCAGGCACAGTTATTTCTACCTCGATGTAAAACATTCTTAATGGTTATGGAGTTCAACACCACTTGAAGCATAAAAATAGAGAAGTAGAACTAAAATTCAATTCAATTCATCCAATTAATTAATTCAATTAATCTTGGGGGGGGGGGGGGGGGGGTCCAACTACATTTTTGTAATGGCCACCAGATTTTTTGCCAAATGTACATGTACTAAAATGTACAAAATATGTTTTTTTCCTGTTTGGCCACCAGATTTTTGCCAAATGTACATGTACAAAAATGTACAAAATATGTTTTTTCCTGTTTTTCCTGTTCTGTTTCCAGGGATTTTTTGTACATTTTTTATGACCAAAAATGTACTTGGACCCCCCCCCCCTAATCTTATGAGTCTAAACTGAAACGATCTGGAACTCAGTGGTGTAACAGTGCATGTTAACGCCCCCAACTTCTCCCCTCCATTCCGCTTCAGCATCCCACTCTTAAAGTGCAAAATTTAAATTGGACAAATTAGGAGATTTTAGAGGATAAAATGTCTGTACTAGAAAAATGTGTTTCTAGTGCAAAGCGTGAAATTTTGCTAGTACTTTAGTTAAGTTTTTGTAAATTGTCCCACATTCAAACAACGATTTGGCGCCCCTGGCCCCCAAGGTGGCACCTAGTCTAGGGAATAGCTATGGATCCATTGGATCTATGCGATCTCCTCGACTCAGCCGAATGATAGGAAGCTTGATTGAGGGTTAAATGAGGAGGGGTACCTGTTAAAAGTTCAGGAGGCCACCCTTTGTTGGCCACTGGCGCCACTGCTAGAACTACTGGAGAAAAATGAAGGAAAGAATATTTAGATTGAAAGGAACAAAAGCAATCCATATCTGCTGATCATTGATCTTGCTTTGTTTATCTTTTTTTTAATTACGGGCACAAAGAAGCATTAGTAGCAATTGTGTCCTTTACCCTCCTACACAATTTGAACATTTTCGTGGCTGATTCGTGTGATAATTGAACCACGTCAGACTTAATATGTATTTAGTACAACAATTCAGTAAGTTATCTTTTCCATTTTCGTGTACACTGTACAGTGTATTAAATTTTGTTTTATTAAATTCAAACAATTTTTAATAGGTTGTCAAGTTTTCAATGTGAGCTGCTTAAAGAAGATAACTTCAATAAGACACGACGGTGCAACTGAATTATATCTAAAGATAACATGGGAGTTTCTTTGTAAGTGAATTATACGATGTTGTTAGAATTTTATCTTAAAAGTATTCACTGTACTGGGACAAGGACCAGAGTGCAATTAACTTTGAACATGATGTGTAAAATTTAGTTTTCTATTTTAACTCTGTATACATGTTTAATGTTATAAGTTATGTTTGGTCCTAAACAGTATTTAAAGTGCAGTATCCAAGAAACTGTTCAATTTAATAGTCCCCTCTTTATATTGTGTTAATCAGATCATGTTAAGAAGGCTGTGCTCTTGTCTCAGACTAGACCTTTCATCCTGAATAATTTCTATCATGATACGAAATTATAGTTCATTATTAGGTATGCCTGACAAGATTGCTCAGTTAAGATAATAAATTATGATCGTTTTAATAATTACACCTCTTGTCTTCAGTGTGTTACATTGGTATCCTCCCTCGACTCAGACATCAAGCCAAGCAGAGGAGGCCCTTCAAAACCATCTAACAAACATTGGAGCCAGCGCCAAACCACTCTTACCATGGAGAATGGACTGTGAACAGTACACTGCTTTGCCAAACCTGTCAGGTAGCTCTCAACACTACATATTACTGCTTTGTGTCACTTTATCTTGTCTACCTTTTAAATACAGACTGTTACAGGAATTACTAGAGTTGCAAACTTAGATGGTAGAATAACGCAGAGCACAATAGATGTTGTAATGACTAACTGTTACTCTAATTTCATAGAGTGTAAAGTACTTGATGATAGAATAGGAGATCACCAAGCTCTCAAATGTGTTCTCGACTTTAAAGTAAATAAAGCTAGTAAATTCCAGAAGGTCCTTATCAGAGACCACTCCTTAAACAATCTAAAAGCCTTAAGCTATTTTCTGGGATCCTGCAGTAACTACAGTAATATTCTAAGCTGTACTAATGTAGACCATGCGCTAGATGGACTTAATCATCACATCCAGGAATCGTATGATAATTACTGTCCACCTAAACAGATTAAATGTAATAGTAACTTTCTTTGTAATCCCTCTAAAGTACTGTTGGCAGAAATACGGAAGAAGAAGATGCTTTTCAGAAAGTATAAAAAGCGTTTAGGACAATTAAACAAATTCAAGTGTAAGTGTATTAATGGAATATGTAACTGCAGAAAAAGTGAACTACATAAGAAATGCTCTACTTCGTGGGATAACTATCGTCCCCAAAGAAACTATGTGACAAAATTATCCAAAGAAAACAGACGTACAAATATTGTTCAGGACCTTACTGTGAAAAGTGCAAAAAACGATTTGAAAGGTATTTGGAAAACTATCAAACATGCTTCAAACTTACCTGGAAAAATAAGTAGTTCTTCCCCAAGCAACTTAAATGTTAACGGAGTTAACCTGCATTTTGCCACAGTTGGTACAATATTACAAGAATCAATTAAGGAAAAGGATTCAGACGACTTTCTAGAATATATGCCGCCTCCACCAGAGTGTAAACTCTCTGTATTCGAAGAGGTGACTGTTGAACAAGTAAAAGAATATATACTCAGTATACCATCAGATAAATCTATTAACGATATCATGCCTATTAAAGTATATAAGTATATTATTCCCCAAATCATCGATCCAGTAGCTCATATTATAAACCTTAGTATGAAAAGTGGAACAATGCCGTTGGCATGTAAAATTGCATCAGTCACTCCAATTCTTAAAACTGGTGACCCTAATGATCCAAATAACTACCGGCCAATATCCATACTCCCCCTACTTGGAAAATGCATAGAATATTTTGTTAACCAACAGCTCACAGAGTATGTTGAAACAAATAAACTGCTTACCAACAATCAGTATGGATTTAGAAAAGATCATTCCACCACTTTTCTAATGCTTAATCTATTTGATAAAATATTTACGTCTAAGGAATCACAGAAGAAACCTGCAATTGTATTCTTAGATATTAAAAAGGCCTTTGACACAGTAAGCCATAATATTTTATTGAAAAAACTTAAGTATTATGGAGTTGATGGCTTTTTCATAAAGTGGTTCCAAAGCTACCTTGGGGACAGAAAGCAGCACACCAAAATACGTGGTAATGTAAGCACATCACTCCCTGTTAAAACAGGTGTGCCACAGGGTAGCATATTAGGACCAATTCTATTTAGTTTATTCATAAATGATCTCAGTAGAAATTGCACACAATCTACTGTTTACTTATTTGCAGATGACAGTGCACTATATTTTGATAACATTTCCCGAAGCATATATATGAAAATGTAATCAGGGATATGAAAATTGTGTATGAATGGCTTAGAATCAACAAGCTGAGACTAAATGCTGCAAAATCTTCATTCATTGTATTTGATAGATATCCTAATCTGGACACGTTGTCAATCCCTCTGGATTTGGAAAAAGAATGCCTTTTTATAGAAGAAACTAAATCTCAAAAATATTTAGGTCTCATGATAGACAATTTATTGAACTTTCAAGACCATATTGATTATGTGAAATCAAAAATTGCTAAAAGAATAGGGGCATTATACAGGTCGAAAAATCTTCTTCCACTGAAATATAGAAAAATGTTTGTAAATGCTCTTATGCTCCCCCAATTTGACTACCTGGATATAATATGGTCTAGGGCTGCCAAAACCAAACTTAATTCTCTTGATATATTATACAAGAAAGTAGCAAAAATTGCACTGGATGTTCATTGGCAGGAACCATCAGTAAATGTATATCGAAATATGAAGTGGTTACCCTTACACTTAAGACGACAACTCCATCTATCAACGTATATGTATAAAATTCTTAATGAGGCTGCACCATCATCATTCACCGGTAAATTTTCTTATGTATCCGGAGGATCACGTGATGCTGAGAGGTGCAACCTTTATATTCACAAATCCAGGACACACAAAACCTTTACATATTTAGGTGCAAAATGTTGGAATACAATTCCAGAGAACATAAGGACTATAGAATGTAGTGTAAATTTCTCACAATGTATGAAATCTAAATTTATGTCAGATGTAATTCAAGGAGTCTCATCCTATGAAATAAACAATAGTTTCGACTATTTCTACACTCTAGCTATGTGACAACTGAAACAATTTTTAAGGTGCTGGAGTTTTTGTCGGGTGGAAAGGCCCCCTGCGTTATATGACCTATTTTCAGAAGTATAGAACTTTAAACATCTCCTTTATTCGTTCCCATTTGTTATCATTGCCATTCTAATGTTGTTCTATACTTCTCTGTGTATAACTGTAAATAATATTACTTACGAAATTCCAAAGTGGGCATCTATGTAATTTTCAACATTAGTTGTTACCTTCATGCCCACAGTTCACTGTTAAATCATATCTTATTTTACCACTCATTAATTTATTACTTATTTTGTTTTACAATTTACATGCTATATCCTTATGTCCCTAGAAGGGTGTTCTGCTAACAGTTTTTGACTGACTTGAATGTCCTGCACAGCAGATTGAAGCTTCTTAAATTATTTTTTATTCTTATTGTATTGCTGTGTAAATTTGATTATAATTCTAATTCTAATTCTAATTCTAATTCTATCGTAGTGTCGCTTTAATATTTACTAAATGCCTTACATAGGCATATATTTGCTTTGGTTCAACCTGTGATTTATTTAAGATGCTTGACTTGAAGCCAGTTTTATGATAATTATTAAGTGTGTGTAATTCTACACCAAATATTTCAGCACTGTCAGGAAGAAGCTTCCAGGTAATACACACATCAGAGAACGAATCACTAAGTTTCACAATTACTGAACAAATGAATGTGCTAGTCTCAGAGAGGTCTTTTGACACAATCCTCACGAAAATGAGCGATTGTTATCAGCCAAACAAGCTCACTAGAATCGAGGCTAAGGGAAAGAAATATGAAATAGGAGATTTTGCAATCAAAGTTGGGAGTGTTTTCCTAGGACCTAACTTCAAATGCCTCGTTATAGAGGTAAATAATATATCTTATGTGCGTTCTCATATTATGAACAGTGAAACTGACAATAGACTAAATATATATTGTACACTGTAGCTGTACAAGGTGTGTTATCGAAAAGTCTCGTAACTTCATCTCCTGACTCTAAACAATATTGAGAACATATTTTAAACTCAAACTTTGTTTTCAGGTTGAATATAAACCGAGCAGTTACACTAAAGACACATTACCTCTTCTTCACGAGTTCCTATCAATAGTGTGCAGCAACCTAATACCCATACCAGAGAACTTGAATCAGATCACAACCCCTATAAACACAACTTTCTACCAACTTTCAGATACCATTATTCAGTATAAGCGTGTTTTTGATGAATGTAGAAGGGTTAACCCTAACCTTGCTATGTCGTGAGATTTCATATTCATTTATCAGCTATTCCTTGACCTGTTTTGCTTATCAATAACTTATTTTTATGTATTTATTTTATTATTTCTATTACAGGAAACACTTTTCATAGCGAGTTTATTATAAAATTAAAGATTCTGAAAAAACATACGTGTAAAAAATCCAAAATGATCCCTACTTGATGAAAGTCCTTGTACTAGTTGCAGAGATCCTATTAACAATACCCTCGTCCCAAAGGTAGGATGTTTGGAAGCATTCTAAGGCAGGTGACGAGGGTGAACCCCTCTAATCTGTTGATGAAACGAAGTATCATCACTCAGACTGGAGCTATAGAGAAGATGCCCAGTGGTGTTGGCAAGATATCCCCTCTCATGGTGAGATTTTAATAGTCTGCAGGGTTTTTAGGAGAGGGTGTAGAATGTGCTTAGTACTAATTATATAAGTTGTATGAAACGTAAGACTAATTGATTCATAACAAACTAAATCATAATTGTGGACCCTGAGGGGCCGGGGGTGCCAAGTGTGAGAAGATGATTTTGGGGAAGGTAGTAAACAAACTATTAATAGGGAATAATACAATACAATATGATTTCATTATCACATTATCACAATCACATGGAGAAATCATTGTGGCAACATGTACACTGTATAATCTATTTCCTGTCAGGTACCTGTTGTTGTTGCTGTTGGCTGCTACTGTGGTGCTAAAGCTAGCGAGTACGGTGCTTGGCTCCTCAAAGAGTTCTCCCTCTTCGAGTATGACGATGACGATGATGATGATGACTAAGTTAAGAAGTGCACTTGTTTGGGAGGAGGGTGACAAGAACTAGTGGAAGAGGCGTGATATTGTGCATTGTGGTGTGTACTTGGTACTGTGTAAGTGTTGTCGTGTGTACTATACATGCGATGATACTGTACAATATGTAGTACTAAGTTACATAATATCATTGTGCACGTGATACACATATAATCTCGGCGGTTTTGTCGATCTAAGTTCAGTAAGGCTGGTCTGAACGACACCTGATAATTTTAGATACTGTTTACTGAACGTATCGTGTTTAAGACGTTTAGCTGTAGCTGTATTATACGGGAATACGGATATTGTATAAGGTAGTTCAGGACATGTATAGTTGTACATTGTACACTGCACTGTACAGGAATATTGTATTGTACACTGTACAGGGATATTGTATAGTACATTGTACACTGTACAGGGATATTGTATAGTACATTGTACACTGTACAGGGATATTGTATAGTACATTGTACACTGTACAGGGATATTGTATAGTACATTGTACACTGTACAGGGATATTGTATTGTACATACACCTTGAACATTTCAAGTGAATTACGCTTAAAAACTTAGTGTGTATTTAACGCATGGAACATTAACTACTTTATGGGCGCTTCTTTTGCTTTATATTTACCCATTATCATATTATTTAATGTTTTCATTTAAGAACGATACTTTACTTTAGGAACGCAGTTTGAAAAGAATATCGGTTATTGTGAGAAGACATTGCAGGATTACAAATATGATTACTCGGCATGGAATGCGCTAGAAAGTATTTATATAATGATTATGTTTATGACAGGTCAAGTATTTCTGAATCTACTCAGCTCTGACTAGTAATGTGGTGATTATTATAACGTTAACAGTACAGGAAGCAAGGCTGTGTGCGAATAGTTATGTCTGGTGTTAAAATGTACAAATTTCTAATGTTGAAATGTACATTTTCCAAACCATTCAGCTGAATTGAAAAACAAGTATTGTATTGCGCATTGCACAACACTCCACTATTTGAAGTGTAGAATGTGGTAATTTCTGAACCTGATTTAAGGTTAATGTATATTGGAGTATCCTCCATGGTTAAATATATACTGACTCTGATTAAATTATCAATGACTGGAATTACACATCTTGCAGAGTTGCAGCTGAAGACGAAATTTGTATCACTCTTAAGCTTCTTGAAATTATTTTAATCATTTCATGCCTCAAGACCATCATAACATAACATGACGTTTCGATATTATAGTTATTTGTAAGATATCCTATAGAAATGTTTGTGATAAAGCACGTTATATGTCATCTGTTTCTGTAATCTGTATATAATATCATAATTAGATATCGTAATTTGTGGAAAGTTTACGAGTTTCATTCTTAACTTCAGTGAGAATTTAAAATTTGTAAATTAGGTGGAATAAAGTATAAACTAAGCGAAATTTATTACATTAGATCCACCAGTTATATTGGCGATAAGAACAGGAAGTCGGTATCCTGGTTTTCGGAATTCGTTCATCCATTTATAGTCAACTTCCAATCGTACTGTCATTTGCCGCACAGAACCATATTGAAACGTTAATATTTGGTTCAAGGTAACATGTAACATGTTTTCAGCTGAGGCTGACCAGTCACTGTTTAAACCAGTGACCACTGGTTGCGAAAATATCTAAAGGATCTAAAATACTAAGATAAGACCTCTAACTATTACCTAAAATTCTAGTTTTAGAACTGATGTCAATCCTAATCTGGATAACACTCTCAAAGTACTCTCTTCTCCACCTCACCACAAAGTACACAATGTACAGGAAAGGGCTTGCAGCGCTGCCCAATGTAGAGGTTCTATCACCGCTTGTCACCAGGGTACTGGGTCAGAATCCTGGTCCTAAAACCCTGCAAGGGACTAATACGTACCTGGTGGGGAAGTACCCTAATGTTGTGCTTATTGATACTGGTAAGAATATCTCAGTAAAAGAATTATTTGCTGGTTTCTTCTTTTAAAATATTATGCTGGTATGATTGATTTGAGGCAGTTATTTGGGCTTTAAAACTGAAACCGAGTTTGTAACTCAAATATTATTATTTCTGTGGAGTAATGACTTGCAGAGCACACAGCTACAGTGCCGAAATAAGCTGTCGTGAGGCAAGTCTCACACGTACCTAACTCAGGACACTACTATTATATATAGATTTTATTCTATACTTTTTTATCGTTTAATTAAATTGTATTTATTTGAGTAAACATTGTCTTGTCTCGTGGATGAACCAAAATAAGATAACCACCCAAATTGTCGTGACATGACTTTGAAGCCTCCCATTTCATGACAAGTTCCTCTTGCTAAACCCTGGATGTTATCAGGGGAGCCGGACAAGAAGAGCTACACTGATCTACTCCGGGACACAGTGAGATCCTCCAACCTCACTGTCAAAGGAATCATCATCACACACTGGCATCCCGACCATTTAGGAGGGTGTGGTACTGTGAGGACACTTCTAGATGAGATGTGGACTTCAGGAAATAAAACCATGTGTTCTAACCATGGAGGAGATTGCGCGATACTTGGAGATAGCAAGGTACCTGAACAGTGTAATGTTCCTGTGTTTAAGATGCCTCATGCGTTTGATTCAGAGATTGCACCTGGTCAGAACATGCACCATCTTCATGATAAACAGGTAGGTCCAAGTATAATGTAAAATCCGGATTGGAGTATTGTTTATGAGTCGCATTGTTGTAATGTATTCTGTGTAAAATTATCTTTATCCCGGTTACTGCGACAAGTAAAAATGCTCTTATTAGAGTATTAGGGAAAGGAGTTTATTTTAAAAAATACTTTCAACACTACTCTATAACAAATAATTTGAGATCATGAATACGATGTAGTTACATTGAAACGTCGAGTAAACTCCTTTCCCTAATAAGAGCATTTTTACTTGTCGCAGTAACCGGGATAAAGATAATTTTACACAGAATACATCCAAGTATAATGTTGTACATATAATACCTAAATAAGACCTTAGACTAGAAATAAACCGATATCTTCTTGATTTTAAACTTCTTACGCTATTACAATCTATATCTTTAGGAAACAATAAATAATATCATGGGCAATTATGTGGTTATACATATTTCTGATCACTAACAGACCATTCTCATCCCCAGCTAGTAGAAGTATCGGAAGGCTGCACACTACGTGTCCTCCACACCCCTGGACACACAGATGACAGTATCTGTCTCCACCTCCTCCAGGAGAACTCCCTCTTCTCCGCTGACACCGTCCTAGGAGGTTCCAGCGGAGAGTTCTCCAACTACACACACTACATCAAGTCTCTGAACAGACTGAGAGAGCTAGCTCCGGTCAGGGTGTATCCTGGACATGGGCAGGTGGAGGATGGTGGGGTAGTTGACCGGTATCTCTCTCATAGACAGGACAGAGAGGGACAGGTGCTAGCAGCCCTCAGGGGTGAGGAGAGTCACGTGGGAGTGGGCAAGTTAACGGAGATTGTGTATCAGAATGAGAACTTACACCCAGGGTTAGTTGTTGCAGCACAAGGGATCGTGGGGCTGATGTTGGAGAAGTTGAGGGCTGATGGGACAGCTAGGGAGGTGGAGGATGGTTTTTGGGTTGCCACTTGAAGTGGTTAAATCTTTAAACAAAATAAACATCGACTTTAAGTTTATTGATTTTGATAACTTTTCTGATCTGTTGCTGTTCTGATTTTCGTATATTTTAATACAGTGGCTAAAAATTTTAGATAATTTATTCAAACATTTTTATGTTCAGAGAGGGTTTTTCGATATTTTTAAAACTAAATAGTTTTCAAATTTTACAGAGTACATCAATAAAGGATCATATTGTTAATGTAATGTTAATTGCTATGAATTATGAAAGTTAAGTTTCTATTATTACGGTACATGTACTTTCTTTGTTGAGCAGAGAATTAGTCTCGACTAAATTGAACAATTCCTTTTCAAATCCCCAAGTTAGTGTCAATACAATGAACTAACGAACTTGTACGTGTCAACACTGTTCTTATTGTCTCTACATTCCATCTTAATCAAAGAGTTCTCAAAAACTAAAACACATACATGCCTTCTATTTGTTCAATACGTTTACAATCACACTGCTCTGTAGCTCAGTCTCCAGCCATGTGTGTCAGACTAGCACCCCTACTCCTCCTCTCCATCCTACATCCTACACCGTCCTACACGGAGGAAGCCTCGTCCCACCCCACCGTCCTGCTGGCTATACTCGCACGGTCACGTGCCCACATCCTGCCCACGTGGTTGGGATTCATTGAGAACCTGAACTACCCTAAATCTTCTCTAGCAGTTTACATTCAGACAGGTTATATTATTTAAATACTTCGTGTTTACTCTTGTAATAGGTTATAAGGTTATTTGGTAGGTACAGAAGCAACTTTCTACACTGATAAGCTTAAGTGCTTGAGTAATATTATCTACGGCCTATCATATAATGGTTATAGTAAGCTTTATATTATGATATATTAACCCCCCGTTAATGCTTTAATTAATTAAATTTATAGCCGCTCTGCTAACCCCTTTAGTAATAACCTACATGACAATAACTCAGTGTTTCCCAGATCACAACCAAGACAACACTCCTCTAATGTTATCAGAGTGGAGCGACAGTGCGCGCAGTGTGTACCACGACATTACACTCAACACACTAGCTCAGATAGCTTACACACAGTCCCTGGGTCCTACTTCCTGGGACGATGAGAGGTTTGTGTGTTTCTGATTCGTTCCTGGTCCCTACTTTGGTGCTGCTCTTAAATTGAAACATAATTAGATCTAATCACGATCAGGATACTTAACTTTATTAATAAATTTAAAGGTTAAAATCTCGCCTTAATTTACAGTTAATTCTCACAGCGACCCCTCCACGCCCAGGTATATTCACATGATGAAGATCCGGCAGAATGTTCTAGATCACGCCAGAAAGAACTCTCTACGATACGTGTTCTTCGTGGACACGGACAACTTCATCACAAACCCGGAAACTCTGAACGTGCTGCTGAGTAGGGAGAAGACTATTGTGGGGCCTATGTTGAGGGTTACCAACGAGGTGGCTTATTCTAACTACTGGGCTGGTGGGTGGTGATTGTGTTCTTTTTCTGATAAGTGCTGTGTATTTGTTATGTATTAAATCAGTTTCACTTTGAAGATGGGCTGGAACACATGTAACCGGGAATGTTATAATTTTGTTATGATTCTTTTTAGAGCTGTTAAATTTTCTACAACTCTTAAATATAATTATAACTCTCCCAGGAATGACAATGGGAGGATATTACAAGAGCATTCCTGAATACAAAGAAATACTAAGACAAACTAAACTTGGCGCCCACCCTGTTCCCATGGTACACTCTACTCTTCTAATCGATCTACACGGAGAAAACGCAGACAAACTCAAATACTACCCCATAGACAAATCCTACTCCGGTCCAATAGACGACATCATCCACTTCGCTCTAAACGCTAAAGCAGCGGGAGTACCCATGTTTATAGATAACGAGCACACGTACGGGTACATGCTAACGCGCGGGGAATACAACACAGTGAGCGAGGAGATAGTGGGGTGGCAGGAGTACTACGCAGACACGCTCCTCCTGCGCATGGGCGTGGAACACTTTCCTAAATCAGTGCACTTACAGAATAAGAGACCTGCTCCTTCTAAGTTAGGGTTTGATGAGGTGTACATGATTAACTTGGAGAGGAGACCGGAGAGGAGGAAGAGGATGTTGGCTCTGTTTGATATGATGGGGATTGATGCGAGAGTGTTCAATGCTGTAGATGGGAAAAAACTGGACGATGAGAAGCTTAAGGAAATGAAAGTGGGTGGATTTAGTTAAGGAGCTGGTTTTTATCGTGGGAAAATTTTAAAAAGGAAATCGGAGAAGGTCAATTGATGAATTCTCTATAACATTGTAAATTATCAGCTTATATTAAAATTTAAAATTTGTTACAATTAATGTTTGATTACTATTATAATTTCAGGTTAAGCAACTAGACGGTTACCAAGACCCCTACCTAATGCGTCCACTCAAGCTAGGAGAAATCGGCTGCTTCCTCAGCCACTACTACATCTGGGAGGAAGTGGTCGCTAAAAACTACAAACAAGTGGTCGTGCTAGAAGACGATGTCCGATTTAAACCCAACTTCAAATCTAACTTAGCTGCTATGATGAGGGAGGTAGATGATCTGGGACTGGACTGGGATCTCATATATCTGGCTAGGAAGATCCTGTACCACTCAAAAGAGAAGTGGGTACCGTTGTCCTCGAGGCTGGTGCTGCCTGATTACAGTTACTGGACAGCGGGGTATCTGGTGTCGCAGAGCGGCGCTAAGAAACTGTTGAGGCAGGAGCCTCTGACTAAGATGATGGCTGTTGATGAGTATCTTCCTCTTATGTTTAATAAGCATCCAAAGTAAGTTGAATAATCCAAATTTTGCTTTTTTCACGCTTCTGTTTTTGTACAGTTACAGTATCTTAACATTCGATTTTTCCAATTATAATCGTCAAAAGTTAGATCAACGCCCTAGTTTCATTAAAAAGCAGCTGACAGAAGCGACCTGACTGTATTAATCTCTTAACCTCAACATGTTTCAGTAAAGAGTGGTCCTCAAACTTTGTACCACGTGACCTGAAGGCCTACTCCGCCTCCCCTCTGCTAGCGGAACCTCAATTCTACATCGGACAGACGGGCTATCTTAGTGATACCGAAACCAGTGAGATCATCGACCCTGAAGTGCTGGCACAACAGGAGAAAGATGCGGCTGCAGCTAAGCAGGAACTATAATGTAGATTAAAATACATCTGGAATGTATGGCACAATAGGTAGAATACTGAGATTTGTTATTAGCCATTAGGTTTTAATTAACTTTTGACATTATTGTTAACATGACAGGCTTGGTAGCGATGTAATCCATAATTGCGATATCAAGTTTCAACAAGCAGTGTTGCTGGGTAATTTAAAACCTTTTAATAATTTTTATTTTTAACGGGGATTAAGTTTTTATCGAAAAAATGCTTCTTCTTTTATGCTTTCTTAAAGCATATCGTCGAAAAAGCAATTGTTTCTAATTGGAAAATAATCTAAATTTAAAGTTTAAACCTTATAATTATAATTGTCAGAACTGTGAAGTAAGGTTCTACTGCGATGGTATAACAGCAACATATAGTGCTAAATGGGCGACACTGTAATATAAGCGATAGGTGGCTGACATTATCGCTGTTTAGCGACATATATCGACACACGACCGACTTCGTCATTCACGCCTGGGCGCGCCCGCTAGCGTGTGTTATTGAGGCAGCGGGTATGTCAATTAGCTACACAATTTTAGCATACATTTTACTTTGATTCACTAGCATTCGCTAGATTTTGCTTACGCTTGTGCCGCCATCTAGCGCTAGCTATATGGCGTGAATGACAAAGTCGGTCATATGTCGATATTTGTCTCTAAACTGCGATAATTTCGGCTACCTACCGCCACCTATGGCTATTACAGTGGCGCTATTTGGGCGACAATGCCGGCTACCTAGCCGACATTGTCGCCCATATTGCGCTATATGTTGCTGTTACACTATCGCAGTAGAACCAGTAATATTAACCATGCATGTGACTGTTCCTAAGTTGATTGTTTCAGTTATTTTATCTGTTATCTTTTATTGGTATTAAGTTTTCTACCATGTTCTACAATTTGTATCAAAACAACAAAAATGTTTCACATTATCTTATCTTTATATACAAATGTAATTTAACATTATACTATGGGGTATTTAATCAATGCGTTTTATAATTTTATGAGTAATAAAAATATCATTTTACGTTTAATTCCTGGTTTGAACTTTTCTTAGTCTTTACTAGTTGCACAGTTTATTTTTTAAGTAAGTATTACACTTGGATTGTGAATATGTACTTGTTTTATAATCCGCTGTATCAATTTTTACCTTTTTATGGAAAAAGCTAGTAAATGATTATTCGGTCGTATGAAAGGAGACTGATGTCCCCTGTGCATTCCTAAAATGTGCACATCAATATTAAAATGGGTCTCAGTTAACATTTTAGATATGACTACAAAAGATTCCAATCTCTTTAAAAACAGTGAACCACTTTTACAATAATAGCACAATTCACTATTGTAAGAATCCTCAAAATGTCCAATTTTCTATACAAAGTGTCATAATAGCATTCTATTAAATTTAATTAAAATGTGCCCTAGCAAAAATGGAAGAAGATATCGAACTGTTGAGGTCGATGTACATTGAAGGAAAAGAACTAACAATCAATCATCAGAGTCATATTACTCGGATAACTTTCTGCCTCTCAAATCTTATTTCTATTCAACAAGAAGAAGAATTGTATCTCATTATTGATATCTTATCTGATCACGAGGTGGTCAGTGATGTAAAGTTGAAATCTGGAGATAAGTCTGCTTCTTTGTTAAACTCAGATTTACCTGATATCAACTTATCAGATACCGTGCCATCTGACATTTTAACTCAGGTCTCTGAAAATATTGAAACAATGAAAGAGATCATGTTTAAAAATTACCCTGAACAAACATCCAATGTAGATTCGGATCTGAATTTGCGGAGAATTATCTATAAACTGGATCACATGAGAAATGAAAACAAGTACAAGAAATGTTTGGCCAAGTTTGCTAAACAAACTGGTTGTAATTGTTTGCTCTATTCTGGTAAACATGGTATAAGGATTGTTGTGGAGGGAGAACATTCGTCAGCAAAAGAGTTTGTTAAGCTCAATAAAACTACTTCTGTTGATGTGGATAGTACAGGTGAGTGTGACATGATAATAACGTGTTAGATTACGTCTTGTGTATTAACCTCGCTCCTGGCATTTAATTCAATTGTAATATTATCATAGTAATATTATAATAATATTATTGTAATATAGTTTTAGATGACGGATTTGAAGTAAGCCTCGCTCTAAAATTGATTTGGTTCACTTGTTAAGCCAGCAGCCTAGAGGGTTAGGAATTTCTTATACTAGTGTAAGTTCTACATAATAGCTAGTGTTAGTTCTACATAATAGCTATTAGCTATGTGTAAAAGTGATTAGGGGGGGGGGGGGAGGGGTCTACAATAACCTGCCTCTACAGACTCTTCAGCGCACTTTTACATCCCAAATGTAAGCTGTAAATGGGTTTACAAATCACTGTACATATTTTATAAGACAACTCGAATATTTGAATAATTTAATTACGTAATTGTTTGTAACTTCAGGCAGACCCTGCAAAGAGAGGCTGATCGAGATAATATCCGAAACACCGATAAAAGAAATGTGCTTGGAAGATCAGTTCACCTCAATAACAGACCCAAACGAGATTCATTCCATATTCCTCCGGCAGCAGCTCTCTCTGTGAAACTTAAGACGAATGTTCATTGTTCACGTGTGAAATGAAGATTTAGCTTTGGATTGAACCCTCGACTGTTGACAAGGTATTTATCGTAGTTAAACCGCGATCAAGTATCACTGTTTTTGTGACTGTTGAAAAAGTGGCTTAAACTCGAAATCGTAATCGATACATTCAGATTATTAATAGATCCTTTCTGAGCTTTTCCCGCGTATCGCATCACAAAATTGCGCGCGTTCTGTCACACAAATTCATGTCAGGAAGACGCTTAAACAATTTGCTATGGTAGTTGAATTGTGGTATTTTGATAATCACGTACATTTACACTTATAAACTTATAGATTTCAACATTTCAGAGTGATTTGACTGGCTAAGAAAGGCGGATGCGTGACACGATTTTGACCACGTGTACATAATATGAATCACCCTTTCTTGCGTCTGCTGCTGCAGAGGCTGTGCATGCTATTATGCTACGGAATCGTACATTTGAATGTTATGATTACAGCAGACACAGTTGACAGTATTAACATTCGAATCTGTAATGATAGCGTTAGCTGACGTTGAGTATAAAAACGACAAGTCTGTAATAATGGCATTAAGCTGCAGTCGCCCCAATATAATCCAGTGTAGAATCTTAATATATATGGTCATCATGAAGACATGAAGACGACGCAACGTCTCTCAATATTACTGACTTGTCGTTTTCATACTACACGTCATCTAACACTCATCATTACAGATTCGAATGTTAATACTGTGCCTGTTTCAATATCTAACGGCATTTCGGTTACAAACCTATATTATTCTACACACTCTGCTGTGAATCAATTTTATATCACATTGAACTGATTCGTTCCATAATCGTTCTCTGTTCTTCCGAACATTACACCCGATCTCTGTGTTCGGAGAACGAACCATATTTCATGTTTTCGTATTGTTTCTCCCTAATTAAGTGATCAAATAGGTTGCCAAACGTATTGTTTCTCCCTAATTAAGTGACCAAATATGTTGCCAAACGTGTTGTTTCTCCCTAATTAAGTGACCAAATAGGTTGCCAAACGTATTGTTTCTCCCTAATTAAGTGACCAAATAGGTTGCCAAACGTATTTTTCTCCCTAATTAAGTGACCAAATGCCTCTATTAGTCATGACAACAGTTGAAAGTAAAGACTCGAGCAGCAGCGGCAGCAGTGGGAGCGAGTACAGCAGCAGTGGAAGTAGTGGCAGTGAATACTCTGGAGACTCTTCTGCTGATGACACTGACTCTGAGGTGAGATTAAAAGTTTGGTATTGGCGGCATCTCAGGAATTTGTCATGTTTTTGTTGGTCTATTAGCTGGTGTGTGAGGTTGCAATTGTTGGTAGATTTGTGTAAGACTGCTGTTCCTCAAGTTTGAAGTCTCCTCTGTTCTGCAATAATTCAACAAGGGCAAGCAGAAACAATAGCGGTTGCCATTAAATTTGCAGTTTATTAATGTTCTCTCATGGTCCATTGAGACTTAATAAGTAACGATTGAGCTTCTCAAACAAAAAGGGACAGCAATTAAATTTTGAAGCTTTCCCGGAAAGTGCTGAACAAAAAGCTCTGCTTAGCCGAGCTACTCAAGCGAATATTGCATACCTTACGAGACATAGACAATATTTATGGTATTAGCGAGAGCTTCAGTAAGACTGAACTGTAGCCCAAAATAGACAATAAATGAATCAATACATTTACACTTAACAAAAAGGTCTGTAATTTTATACAAACTAACCGATTGTTTACCAAACGTGCAACTGCAATCAATGCGAGCGCAATTATCGCTGTCTTTAAAAAATACATTGAACCTGTTTGAATAGTGTTATTTTAATTATATCGAATTGTCTGCAAAATGGTACATTCAATAGGATATTCTGGCAAAGATGCAAACAAGATGATTTTATCTAATTTTAAAATACATGGCTGTTATTCTAACATTTTTTGTGTTATAATAATCATATTATGATAATAGTATAGTACACATCAGACGAAATATAAGACGAAATAAATAATCCTCAGAAAATGTTTTCAAATCAACATAATAAATATCGCTTCAGTAAGAGTGAATTGTAGCCCAAAATAGACAGTAAAAGAATCAATACATACATGAATTCAAATAACATGAATTCAAATAACTTGTATTCTATAGAATTTTCTACCCAAAAATGATAACAATGTCAAAATTCCAAACACTGTAGCTCCTGACTTCCTGTTTCTCGATTACTGTGGATTATTCTCATACCATTCTGGAGTCCTACACTTTCTCTTGAGCCAACTCCATTGTTTATAACTTGGACATTTGCCAGGCCTCGATACCATGACAAACGAGTTGTCTCCACAGCACCTACCCTGATTGAACAAGTCTCCTCCTGCCGGAGCACATGGCGTCTTCTGACCTGAAGAGGAAAAGAGAGTGAGCACGTGACCCACACTTTTTGTCACGTGGTATTAACTCAAACATCTGATCACCTTTTATTGGCTCCAAGACACATTCGAAAAACCTAGGTCCAGTCCTTGAATATGTAATAAATGTAAGGTGACTTAAACCGAGTGCAAAAAGTAAAAATACTCATTAAATAAAGGAAAAAGTGCAAAATTTAAACATATTTACAATTAATAAAAAGGTCTGTAATTTTATACAGACTAACCGATTGTATACCAGACGTATTTGTCATTTATCTCTTGGTAACACAACTTTGACATTTCAGCCAAGTTCTTCTTGTCTTCTTCTGTCGCTTCAATGGTGGACGCAACTGCAATCAATGCGAGCACAATTATCGCTGTCTTTAAAAAACACATTGAACCTGTTTGAATAGTGTTATTTTAATTATATCGAATTGTCTGCAAAATTGTTTAATATAAAACAGACGAAATATAAGACGAAATAAATAATCATCAGAAAATGTTTTCAAATCAACATGATAAATATCGCTTCAGTAAGAGTGAACTGTAGCCCAAAATAGACAATAAAAGAATCAATACATACATGAATACACAGTACACACAATATCAATAATAAATAAATCAGTGGAAGCTTGAGAAGGTCTCAAGTGCTGAAAGCCACTGCTTAATGCTTATCTTTGGATTTGAGAGTGACATGTGCTACGTTAATATACTTCTATTAAATTGTCTACCCAGAAATGATAATAATGTCTAACTTCCAAACACTACAGCTTCAGTCTTCTTGTTTCTTGATTACACTGGATTATTCTGGATTTTTCTCATACCACTCTGGAGGTCTACACGTTCTCTTGAGCATCTGCCAATCAGCGTAGCATGGACATCTTTTGATCGTTGCTATTATCCAAAACTCCCTGTTTCCACAGCACCTGCCCTGCTGGCACATGTCGCCATCACGAATCATTGGCGTCTTCTCACCTGAAGTCCGAGAAAGGAGAGTGAGCACGTGATCCACACTTTGTGTCGCGTGGTATTAACTCAAACACATTTTTTAAAACTAGGTCCAGTCCTTGGTATGTAATAAATGTAAGGTGACTTAATCCGAGTGTAAAAAGTAAAAATACTCATTAAATAAAGGAAAAAGTGCAAAATTTAAACATGTTTACACTTAATAAAAAGGTCTGTAATTTTATACAAACTAACCGATTGTAAACCAAAGGTATTTTTTATTATGCTCGTCCTCGATGTAACACCACTTTTCGATCTCAGCAAACTTCTTCTTGTCTTGTCTTGTCTTTTTAAAAGTGGACGCAACTGCAATCAATGCGAGCACAATTATCGCAGTCATTTCTCTCTTCGAAAATACAGGCCTTCTTTCCAGCAGGCGGAAAAGTCACCTGAACGAGAAAAAATCAACACAAAACTTATCTCAAAAATTAGTAAGCCTTAACTACATCATGATACAGAGAATTGGTATTCCATGAAGTCAATTTTACCTTTTTTAAACCAGTCGAATTTATTTTCATCGCGATCGACGTCATAAATTGGGCACCAATTTTCCAGTTCGGGATATTTAAATCTTAAGCTTTCCTCGGGAGTTATGATGAACCCGTGTCTCTTCATATCAGTCCTTTCCTCTCTCCTCTGTTTCTTTTTTGCCTTTCTTTGTTCATCATCCTTCTTATCTATGGTTAAGACGTCGCCCACTAGAAGTACGATTATCAGTAGAATCAACAATGACAGTCTCCAACCGCCTTCAGCCATTTTAGCTTCATAATTAATTTTATTATACATCCATTATTGGGGCGTTTTCGCTAGAATATAAATTAGTTTGCAATTGCACTACTACTTTTTCAGTTTTGAGATAATGTTTAATGACATAAAATCTACACTAATTAAACCATATAATATATTATATGACCGCTCAAGATACTGCCGTTGGCAATAACAGATAACCGAGTCAACGTATTAATCAGTTTAAGACTGTGAAAGATCTATAATAACAAACTCAGCGTGACAATATTTACAAAACACGAAGAGAAATGTATTCATTATTAATACTCTGCCTTTTTAAAGCCCCGTGTCATTTCAAAGCATTCTAAACAATAAAGTGGTTCAGTACAACAGAGAAATAGTAAAACTTATTTTTAACTATTCGGCTGATGAGTTGCTATGAGGCTACGGAGCTTTTCCACAAGCTTTGATCGTTTCATTTGTAATAATACAATTAATATTGAAATGTTTTCGACTTGTTGGCGCTGCCCTATTGAAAAACCAAAGTCTTTTATTCAAATTTCTGATTGTTTCTGAATAGACTCAGTGAAGACAGATTCTAATGGAAATAAATAGCTGAATAACGTATCGACATTTCTACGTCATACTCATATTCTGAAATAGTATTAATTCAATTATAACGATCAATATTCACATTAAAAATTTGACGACGAAATTTATTTCAAACAAAATATATAACTGTAAAATAGTTATCAACCGTAAATAGTTTTTAACGAAATCGGAGCAAATATGAACATAAAACTGACAACATTTATCAAATAGGGCTCATCTGAAAATTAACGAATAGCGTGACTTTATACAGGAGATAAAAGATTAAAAGAGTAAAAGAGATAAAAGAATTAAACGAGAATATTACTATTTACACGTCACTCAACTAAAAACTGTGTTAGATTGTTCAACTCTGTTTTATCGTTGAGTGTTGGTTTATTTTCAACTAAAAATCGGGCTTCTTTAATCTTTCTGTTGATGAGTGATGTTCCTCTATCTACGATTTGAAGTTTAAGTTTTGGGGGGCCTTTGTGCTGAGGGTGACTTTCCCTGTAGTGCTTTGCTAGTGGCTTATCTTCGTAAGATTTTGCTGTTGGATTTGCCGCACTACGGTAATGCTCGTCGAACCTGCACTTGATCGGTCTGTATGTTTCCCCACCATAGTTCTCGGTACAATTGTCTACTTCGCAAGTGATGTGGTAGACGGTATTAGTTGTGGTGCATTCTCCATCGGTTAAAGCTGCGCATGTTCTGCAGTTTGATGTTGTACAGGATTTCTTGTCAAGGGGTCTGGAGTCTGTAAGGAGATCCTTCAGTTTCCGTCCAGGTTTCTCGACAATTTTGATGGGGAGTCCACTATGTCTGACAGCATCTCTGTATTTGCGACTAGTAGCTTCGTTGACATAGGGTAGTTTGAGAATCGCTCCGTCTTGGTCTTTGTTCTGTACGTTCTGATTAATTCTCTTTCTACGTTTTCTCTTGTTCTTTATGGTTTCTAAGACTCTATCAGTGTAGCCGTTGTTGATGAGAAGTTTATCTATCATCTTTTCTGAGTACTTCTCGTTTTCTCTGTTGTTAGAGACTGCCTCTGCGGTGTTGTACATACTCTCAACAGTAGCATTCTTTGTACGTGTTGTATGATGAGAGTTGTAGTGGAGGGTGAGTGGCTTTTTCTGTGGTTTTCTGTAGAGTCTAGAATGTACTATTCCATCTGAGTCGATCTTTATTTCCGTGTTGAGGAAGGGAACAAAGTCGTTCTGATTGTCAGGGTAGTCTACAGTTAGTTTGATAAGTTTGTCAGGATCTTGTTGTTCGATGAGGTTGCACAGTTGCTGAGCTTTTCGTCTGTTGGTGGTGGCTCCGTTTAGATCGTCGTAAAACCTGCTGTACAACATCAAACTGCAGAACATGCGCAGCTTTAACCGATGGAGAATGCACCACAACTAATACCGTCTACCACATCACTTGCGAAGTAGACAATTGTACCGAGAACTATGGTGGGGAAACATACAGACCGATCAAGTGCAGGTTCGACGAGCATTACCGTAGTGCGGCAAATCCAACAGCAAAATCTTACGAAGATAAGCCACTAGCAAAGCACTACAGGGAAAGTCACCCTCAGCACAAAGGCCCCCCAAAACTTAAACTTCAAATCGTAGATAGAGGAACATCACTCATCAACAGAAAGATTAAAGAAGCCCGATTTTTAGTTGAAAATAAACCAACACTCAACGATAAAACAGAGTTGAACAATCTAACACAGTTTTTAGTTGAGTGACGTGTAAATAGTAATATTCTCGTTTAATTCTTTTATCTCTTTTACTCTTTTAATCTTTTATCTCCTGTATAAAGTCACGCTATTCGTTAATTTTCAGATGAGCCCTATTTGATAAATGTTGTCAGTTTTATGTTCATATTTGCTCCGATTTCGTTAAAAACTATTTACGGTTGATAACTATTTTACAGTTATATATTTTGTTTGAAATAAATTTCGTCGTCAAATTTTTAATGTGAATATTGATCGTTATAATTGAATTAATACTATTTCAGAATATGAGTATGACGTAGAAATGTCGATACGTTATTCAGCTATTTATTTCCATTAGAATCTGTCTTCACTGAGTCTATTCAGAAACAATCAGAAATTTGAATAAAAGAACTATCAAATCATGAGACTCAAAAACACTACACGAATCCACCAGATTAAACCAAAGTCTGTATTAAAAGATTCATCAGGACTCAATAGATGAAAATATAAAAAGTTTCTGTAACGTTTTATACGGTTATATTACCGGAGCATTGTCTTTAATGTGCCTTATGGTTATTGGTTACATTTACTATGTTTTTACTAGTTCTTGATCGACTGTCCGGCGCGCTTCGTTTAGCTATAATTTTGTTCAGTAAGTTACAATATTGGCAAGTTTATTTGTTTCTTGTCCTACCTGTTCACCATAATATAATATATAATGGAAATATTCGTGCTGTCCGCATTTACAATAAACTTAACACCTTTCAGGAGTCTGATTCAGAAAGCCTATCTGATGACAATGTAAAGGAGAAGACGTGTCTATCTGTAAAACTCGCAACGAACGGAGATAACCTAGTTCCTCCTTGGCAGATTAACTGTGAACCTACCCAATCTTCTGAAATAGATAAAAATAGTCAAGGCGGCAAGAAGATTCTGATCCAAGCAACCCGAGATCAGACGATGGTTAAATCAAGCTTACAGAAGTCAGTCACATTTCAAGGTTTGTCTCTACCTTTGTGGAAAAATTTTAGGACAAAATTAATACAAAAATGTAACTTTTATCTAGCTTCCTGTTGCATGCCTGAATAAACATTCCAGATTTTCCCCATTAATTTAGATTACTTTGATGATAATTATTATTTGTGAATCACTTACAGATCGTGATAAAATCACAGAAACACGCAAAGAGTGTTTGGTTGGTGTTAACAAAAATATTGTGGCTTCCACCAACAAGTCCAACAAGACCAAGAGAGCACCTGTTGTTGCAACCACAATCTTGTCACCTGATGTAGATAACTGTAGCTCTGATGTTTCAATGGAAGTTGATAAAGGAAAGGTTTGTGTACTATTCTTTTTATTTTCTTATTCCTGTCATCAAGTTTTGTTTTTCTTGAGATGAATCACAAATGGACTGTTCTGTTATGTGCTAAATTTAACGTGGACAAATTAATTGATTTCCTATACTATCTGATAAAGTTTTACAAATGCTTCAGCTTAAAAACAGAAGTTTGGCAAAAGATTTTGATGACTTTGTTGAAACGAATACAAAATTCTCCGAGACTCCAGACACGATAAAAAAGCAGACCAATAAACCAACTTCCATCACAAAACACCCATCCTTGTCTGAAGACTTACTTGCGAAAGCATCTTCTGATATTCCAGACCACCCTATGGACCATCCTAGCAACAAGGAAGTTACTGATCTTTCGACTAAAACTACAGATAAATCGTCACGTAAAACGAGAGATGTCACTCGCACTAAAACGAAGGTTGCTGTAACATCTTCAGGAATTTCAAAGGATGTCTCGGAGGATGTCTCGGAGGATGTCTCGGGTGTGGGAACATCTGGTGCTGCTGAAGATGCTGCTGAAGATACTGCGGAAGAGTTTTGTTCCTGTAGAGGAGAGGAGTATGGACTGATGGTTCAGTGCGAGAAATGCTCTGAGTGGTAAGATCCACTTTTTAATTGACAGCAGTGCTAATTAGCTATATTTTAGGGAACCTTCCCAACGTTTGGGAATTTTTCCCAACTTTCTCAACGTTTGGTTGTACCATTTAAAACCGATCGAGATTTGGACGAAGTGTCTCAACTTCCCATTTTTAGAGCACTTAATTTTGTCCTCACAGGTATCACAACGGGTGTTTGGATCTGACTAAGCTTCAGATTGAAAATATTGAGGTTTTCTACTGCACAACTTGTCATTCTGTTGACTATCAGCTCGTTACTATTACCAAAACAAATATACAGCCTGCAAATATACTCGAGGTTTGTATTTTTGATTCGATATTAAATTAATATCTAAGAATACTGTCCACTTTTTGTAAAACGTCATTTTGAAAGATATCGGTTGTGTTATGAGATTTAATTTTTAAATTTTGTATTAACTAATACACAACTAATGTTAATAATTTTCAGCGTTCGAACGAATTTCCATTAACAAAGATTGATCAGATGGTGAAGAATGCCATCTCATCACAAAATGAAGATATTCAACCGGCTACGTCACCTGAGTTGTTTCCGGAACTCCCTTCCGATAATATCCAGGTGCAACCATTTCCTACGGAAACTAAAATACATCAATCAGAAACAAGTGTCTCTGAAGGCAAAGTTGCTGAGGGTGATGACAAGGGGTCCTCTGACGAAGAATGGGTAGATATTGCAGTGGAAAACGATTCTGACTTAAAGTCCTCTTCGACAGAACCTTCTGTTAATTTCATTGCTCGAACGAAGGAGATGCTAGCCAAGAAACCACTTGCATCGGAGGGGAATACTGTAGTTCTTCCGGTTACCAGTCCCATGGATTTGAAAAGAAACGAATTTTGGGATGAAAACTTTTACAAGCCCCACATAAACGAAGATCTCTCAAGTTGTTTTAGTCAGATGTCCATTGACTGGGAAAGTGCAAGAAAGATTTTCTGTCAGTCTACAATTTCGCCTTTGAAAGATGGAAAAACCGATGGAAAATCCTATAGTCAAGCCCCCAAAACTCCTCTCAGAGGCTCTGCACAAAACACTAGAAGAGAGCTGCTGAATGATCCAACAACTCCAACACGTGCACAGTTTGTACCCACTCCTGCAGATCCTGAGGTAATGAAGATATTTGAGAGGAGTCTACTCGTGAGCCCATGCAAAAAGATGGTCCGGCCAATAGACCATCCCTCCCGCCGGTTAAGTCTTATCAAAATAGACGACCAAGTCACCATGAACTTCGGGAAAAGTCCCTCTCCTGTTACCGCGAGAGAAATGGGGAGGAAACTTTTCTCTGGAAAACTTGATTGGAATTCTCATAACACGAATGAAAAAGAGAATTCCACTCCAAAAACACCCACGAAAGTACAAAAAACAAAGGCAGCAAGAAACCCTTTGTTTTCTGACAAACCTCTCGATAAAGCTTGGGCAAAAGGGTTGGATGAAATAAAGGGTGACTATCCTTTTTACTCTTTAAAGAAGAATCAACAAACTGAAGTAGAAACGAACAAGAACACAGCAAAAGTTGACCATACCAAAAATATCAGAGAAAGTTCACCAGAAATAGATGCAGCAAAACAAAGTACACCAGAGCTTTCGACGACTCCTAAGAAAAGCAAAGTGGATGACTCACATCTTTTCAAAACTCCCACCAAGTCAGTTAGGAGAATGAGGAAGAAATCCGTGTCTAGTGACCGTCAGAGTGGAGGTTGGTCCCCTGGTGCCAGGTTGCTAGAGCACAGCTGTCCCTACGATCCTACTGAATCTGGTTGCTATTCACAAACCATCGACTCTCAGACCCCTATTAAAGTTCCTTTAGCGCCAACGTTGGATTCAATTACCAAATATTCGCCTGGAGCTAAGAAAACTCCAAACAGTCAAAATAGCTCAATAAACTTTTGTGATTCACGGTCATTTGAAATCGAATTTGAAGATTTAGAGCCCAGTATCAAGTCAAATAAATCCCCACCCATATCAAGTGAATCCAATGTGACCGTTAAAACAATTCTACCAAAGCTCTTTGGCCATCTCGAAAAAACGTCACATTTCACGAGCAGGAAATGGTCTGGTAATAACGAAAAGTCTTCTGTAGAAATTGCGAAGGATCCTGAAATGGATGAGTCAGCTGAACCATGTTTGTTACAGAAATATCCTGAGACTGACAAATCTGCTAGTGTTCACTTGAGCGAAAAGAAATCTCCGTCGAAAAGCATGAAAGATGTGCCGAGCTTTATTGAGGGACCTGTCGAGGATACTTTAGATTTTGAAGAAAACGAAACTTCGCCAGACACTTCCGCTAAGAATGTTCTGATTGGATATGGAAGTGAGTTTTGTGATGAAGGAGAGGTTTTTTCATCTGACGATGACGAAAATATGTTTAGTGACTTAAGAGCAGCTCAAAGGAATGCTCTGCGTGACAGCCCCGAGACTTCTAAAACTCACAAAACTAACTCTTCGTCCTATCAGAAGGCAAAAGAATTGAGAAACGCTCATTTGAATCAAATAGGCAGTGATCTTTCAAAAAATAATACCTCAAATAAAACTAAAAGCAACAGTCAAACGGATGATACCAAGTTGTTGGCTGACAAAGAATTTTTGGAAAGAAACAAGGTTAAGTACACCTCTGAAAATTCTGTAATGACGACTAAACCAGATGAACCAAAAGGACAAGAGTCTTCTAGCAGCGATTTTAAAAAGTCCTTACCATTTACATTCCAACCAATAGCTGTTCATTCCTTGCCAACAGCTCCAAATGCAGAGGCCTCCACTACTGTTAAAAAACCTTTTGCTTCGACTCCGAGAAAATCTTTAGAGGAAAGATGTGATACACCCTTGTCAGCTTTGCATGAGCAAGACAATGAAGACCTGCCTATGAATCCAGTTTCTCCTGATTCTTACGCCCATAGCCCAGCATCCGACAGTAATCCGATAACTGAGAACTCTGTTTCTAATAATAAAAATCCCGGAAAATCCACTTTAAATGTAATTCTGAAAAAGTCTCAGACTTTTCAGAACGATTCTTCCGATCTGAAATCAGGACTGGTTGACCATGAAACAAAAACGCAGGATTGCACAACTGATATTAATCAGATTCTGATAAGCTGTGAGACTCTATCCAACCCCTCGGTTACCCGACCCTTGCCCATAACACCAGACGAGGATGAGGACGCTACTTTAAGAAAAGAAGAACCGTCATTATCAGTCAATTATAATAGCAAAGCTGAAACTCCTCAGATGAGCAAATTCTTATCGAGTGATGAAATACTACCTTATACCCCCAAAGGACCGATTCAGTCCATCCAACAAACAGAAACTCCACTCTCTGCTGCTTTTGTTTATAAGCATGTCGCGAAAACAAACGTCGGAAAGATACAATCTGACGTTGAACCGCTATCTCATTCCCATCATGAAGAAGTCAGACCACAAGAAAGCACTCCCACTGTAAACTTTTTGTTGAGCTCTGAAGAAACCATGTCCAATTGGACTCCCGAGCCCAGTCCTACAGATTCTCCTTCGTCTGACCCCATGGATTCCATGCCAGCTAGAAGGAGAATCTCCTTACACGATTATGTTATCCGAAAAGAAACTGTCTGTAACACTCCTGCTTTGCCGGACTGCTCATTTTCCACCCCCGAATTTGCTAAAAGTAATGATCTTGTTGCCGAATCCCCCTTGGCTGTCGAGCACGACTCTCGTGATCTTGAATGCACTCAATCTCCTATCTCAATGGAACATGAACTGATATCTCAAACTCCGGAAACTTCTTCAAAACGTGGAGAGCTGGTGGCGAAGTTAAAGTACCATCATCTCATACCTATATATATACCACCTCGGGAGTTTCTGTACTGTAGAAGAGTGAAGATGATCCAAAACATGCTGATCAATGAGCTGATTGGTGGAGCTGAGTTTAAGAGTTGCCAGCCAATAACACAACCTCTGTATGGTACCCGAGCTGAGTCCGGGGAGCAACCCGACAGACCAGCAGCTAGATCAGAGATAGTGCAGATGATCCAACCTTCTGATACCAACCAAAGTGACCAGATAGTCTCCCAACCTCCCACTATTCTCCAGCAACAGTTCGCTCCTGTTAGCACCAGAACACCTGAATCCTCTATTTTATCCTCTAGTGTATCTAAACATGCTGCTCCTGCTGAACAAACTGCTCCCGCTAAACCTGTGCTCAGTTCAAAACCAATGCTGCCCAGTGTTGTGCAACCTGGTGATCCTCGTACTTCAAAAACAAAAGATGTTACTGATAATTCAGGTATGGGTAATGCTAAGCTTCACGATGATGAATCTCACGATTACTTCAAGAATGTCAAGATTCCCAAAGTCAAGCGAGTAACCGATACGTTCATGTCAGATTCTAGCGTTCTGAACAGCTATGATTGCGGTCCTGATACTATTGCGGTTGGGAATATGATTCAACAGTCAATGGCTAATGATGCCTCCTCAGTGAGTCTAGATTCCATTGATAGACCATCGACATCTCTCAACAGTTCCACTGCTCCAAGTAGTGGAGTTGTTAGCAGGATTACCTCTAACTTGGGAACCTCAGATCAAGCCGTCATACCGTCTGTTGTTCCATACTCTACTCAAAATACAACGTCTAGAAGTTCAAATGATTTAGAAATGATCAGTAGTTACGTGAAGCAATGTCTATTTTCTGATGAAGGAATTTCGAAAAGCCCGATCATGCCCAGTTCAAGCCAACAGAGTGGGGAAGAATGTGGTTCCAGCTTTCCTGCAAGTGACAGCCCATACAATACTACCTCCAATCAAAGCCGGGGGAAATCTTCATTTATTATCACTCACCCGTCAGGTTCTGCTGCTAAAGATTTAAACGTATCCCATAGCTCCCCAACATCTCTTGATAGGAACCCTCAATCAGTTCTTGAGGAACCTTACATCGCAGCACTGAGTCCGTCTTCCGAGGTTCACTCAGATAATCTTACGTCTGGTTTAGTTGATCCTTTTCCAGTGATGCACAAGGAAGAGGATGTCGTGGATGAAAATGCACGAGGTGAAACGACTGAGATATATGTTGAACCTGTTTTAAAAGTTCTTGTCAAAAAACCTCCCAAATTCAAAATACCAAAAAAGAAAACCCCTGCACCCTGCACCTCCCCTTCTCCAGACCCTCTCCTTACATCACCCAGGAAGATCAAACAGTTCATTTCTTCATCCACCTCAGCCGAACAACCATCAGCATCTACATTGTTCACACAAAGAAAGAAGAAGCAGCTCGATGTGATCATAACAAAGGAGCGTGCTCAACGTGAACAAGTTTTACAGGAATACTTGGGAAATGAGCAAGGAAATAAACCTGCTGAACTCCTAGACGAATCACTTAATTCTTCCCAGACACGCAAGAGAAGGAAGACAGATTCTCCAGAGCCACCGCACAAATTTGATTTAAGACACGTTCTCTCTTCTTCGAAAGTCTCCGCAAAGCCAGAGTGTAAGAGGACCAAACATAGGAGTACCGAGAGGAACAAAAGTAATGACTCCGAGATCGAGAAACGAAAATCTGAAAGAACCTCGAGAGAGTCCGATGAAAATACCAAGAAAAAATCCAAAGAAAAACGAGAGAAGGATCCTCAACTTGGCTTCAAAAGCAAGTTGTTTGACGCCCTTGCGGTTCTGAACACGAAAGAGCGAGCACTTAGAATTCCGGATAAAATGGCAGGGAGGCACGCCTCGTTAACTCACTGGTTGGACAGTTGGAAAGATGACGAGGTAAGATTGAAGGAGTTGAGAACAACTCGACTTAAAATCAGAGACCCGAACTATCAACCCAGAGATTTGAGCAGGTTAAAGTTGAGCAACGTTCCCAAGACAGTCAAATTAAAACCCCAACCTGCCAAAAAGAAGGAGAGACGGGAGTTAACTTTGAATAAGGAGGATCCAGAGATTGTGTTCGGATGGAAGAATGCCAAACCAGACTCATGTCATATAAACATGTTTCCAGATCAGCAATCAGATACCACAAATACCCCAAATACCAGCAAACCAGCCTCCATGAACCCTCTTCTTAATAAAGCTAATCCACGGATCAAAAAGAGCAATCCTCTCCTAAAAAAGAAGTCAGGAGGTGGTTACGGATCTAAGATACAAGCTCCGAAGATATGGATAGAGTGTATAAAGAGAGCGGACGAGGCTCACTGTAATCCTAAACAGATCAGAAAGAAAACTGTGATAGACATCATGACAAGTTAGTTTTTATCTGAACCAGTTTCACTGTCGGGTTTAAATTTAATTTTCTAATAAATCATTTTTATGAATTCTCTTTTTCGTAATAACCATTGTCTATTTGTTATCTCAACTATATCCGTTATATTTTGTCGCTGAATAAAGCGAATAATTTGACACCAATCTTCTCTTTTCAGCCAAAACCTCTGGTCCCCTGAGCACCCTACAAAGAGCACTGACTGCGAACGTTAAAGTTACAGTCATTACTAGGACCTTCAAAGGAATAAGGGGGGAATGTACCGGTTATCTTGTTGCTTATGACAGATTCATGAACCTGGTAAGCAGAACCAACTCCTGAAACTCACTTTATCCACTTTATCCACTTCACCTTTCTTTTATAGCCTTAGCAATGATGACTGTACACATTTTCGTTTGAAATTCTCTTCAGCAACGTCACGATTTGAAATATTTTAATTTGAAACAACAATTATTTTAACTTAACCACCATCTCCAGGCGTTGTCGGATGTAACAGAGCACTATAGAAGCTTGTACCACAACATGCCCGATGAAGACAAGGAGAAACAGCAATCTACCTCCCCAACCTTCTCCTCTGACGAGAAGTTCCAGTCTGATCCAACCTTTGTGGACTTCAAACGTTCCGTCACAGTTTCATTTGACCGGGATATGTTACAGGAGATCAAATCACCCTCCCAGTCTCCGGAGAGGACTGACACTAGCAAACAGGAGACAGTACTTGATAGAGGAGGTGTTAGGTCACCTGGTGATGTCGAGATGTCACCCGGTGCTAGCATAAGATCACCCTCATTGTCTCCACCTTCATCAGAAAACAATTCACCTGGTGAGCACTCTCAGTATTTTTTAATTAAGCCTGGCTGTGAGTGTTTGTTGTACTATTAGCCTGGCATTTACATATTATGTATATAATTATTATTTTTTACTTTTGTTATCTTGACGCCACGTTTTTCGTACCAAGAGCATTGAAACCACATATTATTGCCTTTTAGTAATTTTTCTCCGATTTCAGCGAAACAACATATCACTAAAAAGAAGGGCAGGACTTTGCCTGGACTACTTGGATGGTCACGTATGACTCCCGAGCACAGAAAATTCAAGTGAGTATTTGGAACTTTAAGTTTATCCTTAATTTTATGGACTGTTTAGGACTTCATTTTGTGGCGACTGCATAAATAACACCAGCAGTCCCTTGGTTTTATTTAGATCTTACTCTTTAAAGTTTCGTTCAACTTCAAGTAACTTCAATATTTTAGAAACATCTTGATGTGCGACTATTACAAACCATCTGATATAACTCTTAATTTGCAGGTACACGAAGAACTGTATAACGACCCGATACTGTAAACAAGTCTTCCTTCGCGGAGACAACATCGTCCTAGTCAGATTAGTCGAATAGGAGGAGCTTCTTAAATTGGAAACTCTAAAACTAAAACCCCCTGGAACAGTTATAGTGTGTACTGTGTTGGGATAGACTGAAAGAAGAGTCGTATTTATTACATCCCAAGTCTGAAGTCAATGATTCGCTGCTCAGAAGTTGAACCTAAATTCAAAGAGTTCTATTAGTCTCCCAGTTTGTACAATTCGTCAGGATCTAGTATTGGTGATGTGTACAAGATACTGTTCGTTTTAAAATTAAACATCATCAACGCATTATATTATTAGTCTATTCACAGATGCTCAAGGAGTTGATAGACGTAAAGTTTTAGAGTTTAAAAATGAAATCTTTTTTGCTATTATCAGACAAACATAATGATTTGTTTTTCAAGTAAATGGCTCTGAATTGCTTTGAGCAATGAGCATAATCAGATTTAACAATGAACCAACCTTAGCCTATTTAATTATAATATCAATTTATTTGTTATGCTAATATTCTATTCATAATGATTACTGTTTTTGTAGAGGCGACTAATTTTGACGACGAATTAAAGATAAAAAGTTGATATTTCTCAATAATTCAATGGAAAAGTAATGTTATGCGTTTGATAATGACTGCTGAAACATAATTGCAATTCAGTCGTCGTAATTAGTCGCTGTTTCATATTTCTACCATCTAAGCTTTTTAAGTTTATATTTCACGTAATTTGTATTTCTTTAACTTCTTATCAAACAATAATACTCTTCATGTTATTTAAAACTATTTTTGCTTAGATGATGGAAATAAAAATGTGTACATAGAACATTCTGCAAAACCTCATTTACAATATAATTCATGCTGTGCCAGCATGGCTTCAAGTACAAACTCTAATAACTTCAAATCAAGCAGCTGGAAAATAGTTTTACTCCTTAACTGGACATTAGAAAGTCTTCATAAATAAACCTTTTGCTTGAAACATTTTCGCAATTCTTACAATCTTTTTTAAATGAATTTTATTGAAAGGCGGGTCTATTTAGTTCAAACATTTCATGCTCGCTTTGATGCAAATGGATGCTGAAAATGATTTATGTATAATCTATGAAACATAAAAGATCGAAGTTAATTTCAAGGATCATTTCCTGATCACAGAGCTTGGTTAAGTGTTAGGTTTATATAAAATAGTTGATTGCTCTCCATTGTGCTGACAAGCAATAATAGAGGATAAAAACGTGAAATAAAAAGACATCTAACATATTATGTACTCAGTCAAAATTATTTAAAATCTAAAACAAATGTTACAACTTCCAAAATTTCTATCCAAGATTAAGAATTTGTTTATTAAAAACGCATAATATAACGGGTTCTCTTTAATAGCATCTGAATAATAAAATTGGTTTAGAACTATCAGTTCATCACACTAGTAGATTTCATTTAGATGTATGCTGCCTATATAATACAAAATCAGTCCTTTGAGTTTCACTGATTCCCTCCGTTCCACAATGTTTCTTTTCTTTACTCCAGCTCCCTGTAATGATTAGTTTAACATATCAGTAATTTTGTCATGAACTGTGATATTCCCTACCCCCTATACTGTGTAGGGAAGTAAGATACGATCACACTAACCAACTCTATGTTCGCCTTCTACATTTTATTGAAATGTAACATTATAAAACATTATATAATATTATATAACATAACATTATATAACATAACATTATACAACATTATAATGGAATGTGAAAATGGAAATAAGTACGTACACAACGTTAGCTTCATCCTCAGTGAATATCTTGATAAGGAAGTCTCCTTCCACATCCTGTTCGAAGGTTGAGGGTATCACCACGTACGTTCCAATTTCTAACTTGAACTTACCATAGATCTGAAACAAAGGTCATCAAATTAGAACACTTAAATTTGATATTCATTAAAATAGCACACGACGATTTATATCTGTCAGGATTCCCGAAATAACTAATGGGAAGCTTTATGTGATATTAGCCAGTGTCAATCACTACCAAATACAAAAGTCTTTTTACCACGTTCTAGTAACCAATAGTAACCACTAGTAATCACTATAATCACTAAAAAAGTCTAGTAACCAATAGTAACCACTAGTAATCACTAGTAACCACTACAAAAGTCTAGTAACCACTAGTAAAATCCCGTACCTGTCGGGTGTTTGTGTATTTTGTTTTCCCTGCAGTACTACTTCCTCTCTTAGATGCAAGTTTTCCTGTGTTCCCGTCTGGTACCTGAAGTGGTTTCAAATCTATTTTCAAAATTGACTTGAGACTTATTTATTATTGGAATTGGTAAATCCTAGAAACTTCATTTCAAGGTTTCTGAATCTATGATTTGGGTCTGTTGCACACCTTAAAGATTCTGTATCCAATAGTGAGGTTCTCCCTGTCCTCAATCCTCAGATCCCTCTGTTCCAGAACAATCTGTACAGTCTCATCGTCCTCCTCCAGGATCACGAACTGCACTTGAGGGTTGGTGAAGTAGGATTGGGGGTTGTTGGCGCACCCTCCTGCAGTCTCTCCTGCTACCCACGCTCCTCGTATCTCCTTCATGTGCCACTGTGGGGATAATGAGAGGATTAAAATATTTATAACAGAAACAAGTCCTTCCATTAGAACGGCCCTCCTTGTAAAATCGAATTTTGAATATTAAGAAGTATAATCTTAGAAATGTGCGTTAAAGCTAACAATCTACGGGTATTGGTTTACAAATGACACACTAACCTTCTTCCTTAAAAGACTGACATCAGTGTTTATTATTCTACAGAGGGTCACATTATCAAAGTTAGCGACCACATCATTGTACTCCATCCAGAACTCTCCATCATCCTCATTTGAGAAGTCCAGCTCTTTCTTTTGCGAGTCTGATATCTCACCCCATTTTGGATCACTAGAAATGTCAGAGTTTAGTAACTTTTTTTAGTAGTGCAATATGTAAACTTCTGTGTGATTTAACAGCCAAACAAAAATAATATGGTTAACTTGGATAAATTTTAGAAGACATACTCGTCGCTCCATTTGCCCTTCCATTCAGTGTCTCCCCAGGGGTTCCTGATCTTCACCAGTTTGTGTTTGCCATCCATACCAAGGAACCCTAACGATAACTGAAAACAATGGACACGGTGATCATTTCAGTAGTTAGTTTTACTTGTCATATTCAAAGCTATCATGTAGTGAATCCCCCCACCCCTCTCATGTAGTGAGGCCCCACAACATCTCTCAAACGTACCTCGTAACATCTAATAATAGTGTAAGCGTGTCCTACAATAAGACCATTATCCCTCTTAGATTCACTCCCCTCTCCAGCCTGTATCACCATACTAGCATTGACCAGAGAATCTCGGGACAGGGCTTTGTGGAGATCTTTGAACAGTTCAGCTCGAGCTTCCTCGTCGTCATGGATATTAGCTTTTTTGAAGTCTACGTACTGACTGAAAGTCGACATTTAGAAGGGCCAATAAGCTAGATTATTTGGGTAATATCTGCATGACAATTAAATTTTTGTCATCCGGTAAAGGCAGTGGTAGTAACTCCATTAAAGCAGAATCTATAAAGCAGTATTACGAGTAGAAATTATTCAATTTCATCGTTTGATTTTATAGATATAAAACCATTAGACCCCTGATGGCAGTCTGATAAATTCCCTACCTAACTCCGCCAGTAAGATCGGACAGAGCATCAGCTGAGGACCCTGAATCTAGAGCTTCGTAACTTCCTGCCAACCTAGAAACAGAACAATAATAATTAGAGACAGAACAAAAATTAGTTTATAAAGTTGTAGTGGTATTAAACTCCGAAAGTTTTTGTCACATCGGGCATCGCTGTCGAATTTAAATTTTAGTGATTTTCTCCGTGCATTTCTCGATATGATTGCAGCTGTTGATGTGACAGAGTAACCGTGACGGTAACCATAGGTAACCGTGACGGTAACCATAGGTAACCGTGACGGTAACCATGACGGTAACCATGACAGTAACTCACTTAGCATAAGCCTTCTCCAGGAAAGCACACCAGAACTCGTTAGGGTCCGCACTGTGCATGAAGGCGAGTCTTCCGTTCTTAGTTGGTAGGTAGTCGTCCACAACCACCTCTACCCACTCTCCAAACCGGTAGAATCTAAAGAGCAGGATTCCAGCGTGGTCCTCAGAGTTCAGTTCCTGTTTCTCTTGGTGGGGTATCACCTGTAATAATACCCGGGTAATTATCACTCAGTCAACCAAGTCATGAGATGATTTTAGGTACAGCTTTTAACTTGAGTGTAACTGTAAACATGATATTGGAAATGTGTACCTCTTTGACGAGTTCGTCGTGAAGAGCGAAGCATGCGACAGAGGCCACGAACCAGCAGTTCCCAATACCGCCCTGTTTCACGTCATCTTCACAGTGACCTCCCACGAACAACATTGCTTCCGGGCTGATCTCCTGGAAGGTGATAAGTCGAGTCAGTGATATTTTGTTGTAAAATAGTATCGGGTAGGTTATAATACGTTGAAATTCTTTAGATGGCAGTCCAACTTCTTTCGCGGGCAGATATTGAACACTGATGGTTCATGTAATTCAGCGATCATTATCTACCCACGATCGCTGAATTCCATGATCTTGAGAACTACCCGTTTTACTGACATGGACTCTTTTCCACTCAATTTCCTTTTTGGGGTTCCCTTCCCATAGCGAAGTGTCGTTTGGTCCGAACTCAGGGTCAGTCCAGCCTTCACCTGCTTTCAAACACTGCTTCTTAATCTGAAGAGATGTTTTGTTTGCCGATGTAAATACACAACATGTGATAATTTCCACTACTTTGAGAAACTGTGGGGTGCTGTACTCGGGTCTCAGTATTTAATTAATTTTCATTAAAACCCGCCATTGCATTGTATAATATTGTCTTATCAACCTTACCTTATCATAGTTTTGGTCCTTGTATTTTGGCAAACTAGAGTCGGACAGCTTGCCCGATAGAGCGTCTATTAAACCCATCCTAATAATATTGATGTTATCATACAATTATTATCTAATCAAGCTTTGAAAACAAATAACTGCAGCGATTAGAATTAAGCAAGTAAAGGAATTATCATCAGTCAGATATTGGTCAACATTCTATAAGTATGAACTGTGTGAGGCAGGAATGAGCAATGAACAACAGTGAAAGTCGATACATTCAAGCTAGAGAATAGCCACATTATAAGAACAACAACAAAAGACACAAGGTGCCGACTCAGAGACAAGACAATTCACATCCTCATGACACAATTATCAGTTTATGTTGACTTAATGAAGTAAAGATAGCAATAACTCAATCTTTACTATAAAACTGCAGAATTCACACTGAGGAATTTCCGGAATGGAAATAAAATTATCCCTGATCGATTTATCAATATCTGTGTAATGTGAGGCTGCAAATGAGTACAAAAGTAGAGGCCTATAATGTTAGAAATGAAATTAAACAGCTAATGATCCAATTCGTACTCTATTCTCATGATAATGAAACACATGAAATTGAGGGTAGTAATTGTATATACCAGACGTTATAGTCTTGTCGCTGTACATGTAATTGTAGTGTGTACTGTATAATAATAGCATGTTGTTGGACTCACGCCAGCAATCTCTTGAACAGGACGAGGAACCACAAGAAATAACAATAGTTACAAGAACAAAGAAACAAAGATAGAATTTTAGCACCTCAAGGTGACAAGGTCGCTGTGTACACACAGCTTTAAGTGCCACCTGGGTTTGTATCAAAACAAGTCACAACTCATTATTCATCGGAAACGGCCACCTGGAATCTGGATCAATAGGTGTCGTTCACATATTACGTAATCAAAGTTTACAAGTTATAAGAAAGAAAGTAAGACAACAACAAAACAAGACCGTTCCCAGCTGACGAAAACAACTATATAACCTGAAAATCACTGCCACAAACAGCCTGGCATTTAAAACTCACTCCATACTAACTAACTATAACACATAACACCTGAACAACAACATGAGGCGATGTGAACTCTTTACTGTTTAGCTCCGCGGCATTACCAGCTCGAAACTGAACAGCTTGTAATTCAACTCGCAGAGACGTCGAGACTTGCTAAAATTGCGCTATGTAGTGTTGATAGTTGAATTGTAGTCCTGCACGCGCTTTTTATAACGGTCCTTAATAGATGTGTATGTAGATGTAATTACATGTATCGTGATGTGTACTTACTACTTATGACCCGTACATTAGTGTACATTGTACATGCATACAAGGCCCTGTGAGCATGTACAATGTACGGTTAGTTCTAAATAACTCTGTGCTATGAAAATTAGATATTCTCTTGCACTTTTAAGCATGTGAAAATACTGCAACTGGGTGATGTAGAATTAGTGCTAGCATGCACTCTGGTAACTGTAAACAGTGCACTCTGGTAACTGTAAACAGTGTACTCTGGTAACTGTAAACAGTGTACTCTGGTAACTGTAAACAGTGCACTCTGGTAACTGTAAACAGTGTACTGTAAAGTGTAAACAGTGTACTAGTGTAAAGTGTAAACAGTGTACTAGTGTAAAGTGTAAACAGTGTACTGTAAAGTGTAAACAGTGTACTAGTGTAAAGTGTAAACAGTGTACTCTGGTAACTGTAAACAGTGTACTCTGGTAACTGTAAACAGTGCACTCTGGTAACTGTAAACAGTGTACTGTAAAGTGTAAATAGTGTACTGTAAGCATAGACCATAGTACTACTATTATACTATACTGTAGAAACTAACTATAAAAGGGGAATGTTACACATAAAGCTCACAGATTATACATTTGCACAGGAACGACTGTGCATGGACCTATTTAAGGTGTGTAGAAGTAGATAGAATTTCAGCACATAAAGGCCGCTGTGTTATAGTGTGTAGGTACACTTTACTGCAGCAAGCCACCTGGCTTTCTATCTGCTCATTATCTTCCAGAAACTACTACCTGGGCCTAGTGATTAAACGTGCAATGCCCGGCAGAGATCCTAGAAAATCAAATCTATGTGAAGATATGTATTCAATAAACATATAAAGTCAGTTATATGAACGTTCATTCGATCAGTTTCATTGACAGCAATAAACAGGAACGCACTACGATAAGAAAACTAGCGTACGATCAGGAAATAGTTCAGTGAACAATAAACACGGGAATGTCCCGCAAGCTATGAGGAATTGTTGTAACTTTAACTAATAACTTTAAGTGTGCTGTTGTGTAACAATGTTGTGGAACTATAACGCATTCCATTTCTACACAACTGAGAGCTAATTGAAAGAGTAGAGGGTATAGTCTATTAGAGTTATAATCAATAATAGTAGCGTGTATTAAAAAGCAACACGTTAAATAATGTATCAATATCGTTATTATCACCTTGTTACATAGCTGTGACCTGCAGAATACCAGATATGTCACATTATTATGTCACATTATTGCTCACACACGCAGGATCTGAGCTCACTATGTCAGCCCTCAACAAGAACACGTATTGTATGTTAAACTTCTACATAAAACATATTTAGCATATTATTCCTTGTCCTAGTAACCATAACACATTGTCTGCGTAACAATGTTCGGTTTTCGAGGCGGGTTCTCAGAAGCAGAGTATAACAGTGTCATCCATGTGTAACATGTTACAAAGAAAATGACAATGATCAACTAAAAACTGCGTGCAGATTCTAGCCACAATCTCAATTCAAACAGCAATTAAGTAACAACTAGTTTGTATCAACCGCAAGCCATTAATTTACAAGTAAAATTGAAATAACAGCAAACTTTGTTACCTACTGCAATGTTTGTTTAGCCGGTACCTATTTAGTTAAGACAAACTACACTAATTTCAAGAAATGTTCAATGGTAGTTTTGACTAATGTTTTACTAAGGATTAGTAACGGAAACCAGTAATCATACGCTGTTCAGTGTTCATATTATCTTATTATATAATACTAGCCCGTTGTCACAGCGAGGAAGCTAATAGTAGTCAGTTTTTATCGCATCAAAAAAAATCCGTCACAACCGAAGATACAACCGAATAAAATGTAGCTCGCAGTGAAAACAACGTAGGTCATAGAATTACTACAAAGTCGATCAAAATATCGCTCGCAAATCTTTGTACGTGCATGTGCGCGTTCAACACCGTTACCATGGTAACTATGCAACTTCTTATTTTTCATCTAATTTGCACGTGGACGGTCGTACAGACGACAAACAACAAACAAACATAATCCTTCGAATTAATCAACAAGTGACAAATTGCCGGTACAGGTCTCTCCAAAACTTTAAAACTAACGTTTTATGTAAAGATAATATTACAAGATAATGTGGGTAGATAACGAGCGGTGTTGGGGATTATATTAAATTTAAACGCAGTATCACGTTGTCTCACGTCGTGATCCTCATCGTACCGCGGCCCACAACCGGCCCACAACGTGAAGCATCACGAACGCCACACACATTCAGTTACACTGCACACCTATTATAAACAAAAGGCACCGGATAAGATAATAGAAAAATATCAGATCCTAAATTATGCAGTTGGCAGTACAAGTTCAACTACAAAGTAGGAAGTGGAAATGCTGGTCACGACTGTCGACTCAGGAGTTAACGAGTAATACTCGTATATAAACCTACGACTCAGGAGTTATTTTATGTGCATTATTAATTTGTGAAAATTTTAATCGAAGTCAAATTTTAGTACACAAAATGAAATTTCGTGTATCGTACTTTTTTTATTTCAACTTCTTAATCTGATTCTTACTTAAATTTTGTTGAACAAACATTTTTGAACAACGGTTTACTAGGCGTATAGTAAGGATGTTGGCCTGAAGTTCTGGGGTCAGAAAAATTACTTACTCGATTTGTGGTTTCCGGACGATTCAATAATTAAATAAAGGGCATTTAAATTTAATATAGCGGGAGCACTCATTGGAGGACTTCGCCGCTTCGACGCGCCGCGCAAACTAGCATTCTTGCTTCCCATCGATTGTTGCTCTGCTTCGCAGAGCAACGATCTCGACGGATTGACATCGTCAATCAAGAGCACTCAACACTGCGCATGATAACACCAATAAAATAAAACGCTGCAACGTTTGAAAACATACCCTGTGGCTGTACAGTGTTAGTGTTACTGTTAGTTAAGTGGCCGATGTTGTTCGTCATCATGCATATTGTAATGTATAATATTAATTGCATATTTGCTTTTTGAGTTTAAGAATGTTAGTGTTACTTGACCGGCCATGATTTGTCCACATGACATCCAGACATCGCGTCGCGAGCCCACAACAAGGGCCAAGGTCGCTAGATTTATTTCATTCCTTGAGGTTGAACTGGATCAGATTTTTGACATGATTTGAAAATTGAAAGGATGTAATTTAATTTTATTAATACTAACCGCTGCTCTGGCTCTGGCCCAGTTTTATCTCAGTTTTCTCATATGCTGTAATAAATGCTAATCTACTTCTAGCGAGGATTTAATTTTATCCGTAAATTATGTAATTAGAAATAAACTTAATATGCTTCTGAGATAAAGAAACAAACGTGCTAAATTACTTTACACTAAAAGAGTAAAACTAAAACTAAAAGTATTCAAGTAGAACTTCAAAATTTTTCAAAAGAGCTTCCGACATTCGAAAAAAACCTGAATCGATCACGATGTATTTTTGAACGCTGATTCCGAATTGCCCCACATGTAGGGGGTGCACGAAAAAAATAAAGTCGCTTGGATTTTTAAAAAATTTTGTACCACTGTTTTCTAGAGACTGTGAGAATTTTCACAATACCAAATTTGTTATACCTTTTTGGAAAAATCAGTGAGTTTCGCCTAGGTGCCATATTTGATGGTGCGCGGCTTTTGGAGCAAAAGTAGCTGTAAAAGTCGCGTAATTTGACCAAATTCGTCCAAATTTGACCATTTTTGTCGTATTATTCGGATTTATCTTCAGTTCCTTAAATGAGATCATTCTGGAAATTGGCGACGACCTTCCAATTGGGCTTTCACAACTGTCCGAAAAATTTGGTGGATATCGGAGTTGATATAGTAATAAAAATGGGGCAAAATACGCTGCTTTTAGCTGTAACATAATGTCTGATGGTTGGATATGCTTTAAATTTTTCGGACACTTTCCTTGTAAGTTTATGAGTAAGCTTACCAATTTTTGTTGCAATTGGAGGTCGGGAAGGATACTCTATATCTATTTGTTTGAAGAAAATTGTGCTGGCCGAAATTAGCGCTAAAAAACCATCCTTCAGTCGGCACGCGCGGCTCACTGTCGATGGCGCACTACCTACCACATGACATAGTGTGCGAAATACTGTCTCGGTCACGTGATATGACTTGCTACACGTTGTATACCTTTCTAGTCTCTCGTGCTTACTGGGCCGCGCTCAGCCTGTCATTCCGCCGAATCTTTATGTTTATGAACATATATGATGATAGCCTGAGGTCCCCAGGTAATCTCGTGCATGCGCGCGGAGGCCGAAGCGTGCACTCCAGCAAGCCGGCCGGCCGCTGCGGCGAAAAGGGGTTGCGGCGTGTGTCAATATATGACTACATACTTATAGCCATAGAAGTAAGTTGGGCGGATTTCTCGTTAGGGTTCCGGTTATGGTTTCAGCATATGCTTCAGTTAGGGATTGTGCTGGGTACCCGTACGGTAAGTGGTAAGGGTTGGAATCAGATTAGATTTAGAGTGTTAGGGTTTTGATATGAATAGTTATTCAGGGCTGCACCTAGAGAACGTGTTTTAAAAGTCAAAGTGACAGTCGAGTGTAGATCAAATGATTAATCATCAATCATCATCCTAATAACATAATATTAATAAAGATTTATCGAAATGAAAGGCTGAGCGCCGCGCCCAGTAAAATATAATATATGCATTTTATTTATATGCATTTTATTTATACAAATCACTTGGAATAATTTTGAAAGTAAAAAGCTCAAAAAGTCAAAATCGCTACTGGCTAGTTTTATTTCTTTGCAAAAAGCACAATCAACAATAGCGTAAATAGCTTTTTGAAAGTGCCTCAAAAGTTGAATTTTGGTCGAAACCTTTTTTACCTGGGGACCACTGCGCCGGATAAAGATTCGGCGGAATGACAGGCTGAGCGCCGCCCAGTATATGCAGTATAGTATGATTATGAATAAAGCACCGGCCAGTAAAGTAAAACTAAACAAAGAATTTAAATTACTCCAATTGGGAGTCTTTTAAAGGATTTTAGGATCAGACCTTCTTTACTTGGGAACCCCATGCAGGCGCGCCATACCAATACATTTACAACATATAATGTTCATAAACATAAATAAAGATTCGGCGGAATTGGAATGACTAGCTGAGGCGCTGAGCGCGTCCCAGTAAACCTTTTTAAAGAAGTAAGCTTTATTTCCTCAGTACTAGTAGAAATAGTTTAATTTATCCGACATTAACTTCAAGTTCAACTTGCACTTGTAGCGCGATGCACTACTGGGTCGCGCGCGCATCAAATAATGCTTCTCGCAACCACAGATCGGTTTGATTCACGATGTCAATCCTTCGCAGCTCGGTGAGGCACAGTGGTGCATCTCGCCGATCTACCGGTTGCGAGAAGCATTATTTGATGCGCGCGCGACCCAGTAGTGCATCGCGCTACAACAGATCGGTATGCAGATCGGCGAGATGCGAAGGATTGACATCGTGAACAGTGAATCAAAACTTGCACGTGCATCTTACGATGAAATACGCGCGTGCAAATTTGCGCGCGTAACTACCTTGGTAACGCACAGTGTTCACTTCGGTCTTATCACAACTATCATTGCTTTGTGCTTTTACTGAATTGGAAAAATCGCTTTTTAAAGCATTTTACTACTCTCAGCGTTCTCGACACTTAAAGATGATCCTTGAGGAAGTTATATTGTTGGTGACCGTCGTGTTACTATTTGTAGTCGTCGTCATCGGGACTGCTGTCATATTCTGGATCAGAAAAGGACAGAATTACTCGATGATCGAAGACCTGGAAAAGAAGGTACAGAGCTACCTGGAATCAAGCGAATACGTCAGCCTGGACTTCTCTGACTATTTGGAAAAGAAAATCAGAGAAGTAGAGAGGGCTGCGCATGTGAAGATGAACCCTCGAAGAATTGTCATCGCAGATGCCTCCACAGAATTGGATTGCAATGAACAAGCAGATGCCGGTACCCAGACAGAATTGGCTAGCACTCAAAGTTTGCCACAAATCATCACAGTCATACCTTTGACAGATACGGTGATTCAGATGAAGTAGAATTGAAAATGGATTGGAACGGACTCGATATCGGAAAACCACAATACGACTTTAGCAACCATCACCATGATTTTATTCTTTACTCCATTTTAACGATTTTAATCGGCCAAGCAACACGTCGTGCTTCGGTCACAGTGGGGGAGCAAGTTATTAAATACTTGCTCTTCTTGCCAGCCCAGTAGTTCTGCCAGATTTTCGAGTTTACGTTAAACTCGAATTTAGCAGAACTATGGGCCCCACTGCCGCGGATCTGATTTGGCTGATGGTCCTGGAGTGCGGTCAACTCCTGTTTTGTTTTATTCAAGTGTACGTAGCACTAGCAGATAATATGAAAGTAATTAGAGCATCCAAAATATTTTTCTTTAAATTCATATTTTCATTTACAGTCACTAAAATTTACACAATGTAGGACGAACTTTGAATAATATACAACTAATAACAAGTAAGACTCGCTGTTAACAATTCTTGTAAAACATTTGAAGATATTTTGTATTTACATGGGATGATTACAAATCTTTGTACAATTTAACATCTGAGTATGAATCTACAAAACCTGGTTTGTACACACTGAGCGGAAAATAAATGCCCGAGTAAAACTGAAAACAACGTAATATCTGTTAGTTTATGATCAATGGACGTTTAAAGCCAGGGAGTCATAACTTTTATTATCTAGATATTAGTGAAGAGTGAAGATTCTAGTTCTACTGTGGATTAAAATATGGAAATAAATTACATGCGAGCATCTAAATATTTGGGGGATTCACAAAACATTTTTCTTCTGATCCCCATTTAAATGCATGAATGACACTCATCTTGCAACCATGAAACTATAACTTGGTTCTAATAAATTACCACTGTTCTTTCATCAGAAGTCTGAACAATTCCTCTAGTCTCTGAAGGGTCCATAAACAGTTCGATTTCACTACCTGAACTGGTGACTGTTGTTGCAGCTCACTGGCTGAGCTGACAAAGCAGAGCAGTACCCTTTCCTATCCAGTGTTCCTGTGGCTTGTCAGAGGGTATCAAACACTTGATGACGAAGTTGGTGGAGTGACCCGTCGTGGACAGTGTTCCTGCTCTCTCAGCAGTTTTGTAGAGCGGACACTCGTACCTGTCTTCCTCCACCTCGTACTCTGGGTCTGGTAAGAGGTGCATCATCGGCATTGGTGGGTTCATCACTCCGTCTCTCGCGTCAGCAAGAACCATGTTGTCGTCGTCCCAGCTTGCAGAGTCGATGTAAAGACCATGAATGAGAACTCCGTCATCAGGGGAGGAGTAAGTATTGTCGTCGTACTTCTCATCTGCCATTTCAGCTGTTGCAACGTCTATTTGAGCTCGGTAATGTGGCGTGACTTCGAACCTGAACTTCAAAGCATCGATAGGTACATCGTATGTTCGGGCGAAGTTCTGGAGGGCACCGGTGATAAAACCTTGAGGGAAGAAGAAACCTGAGATCCAGAATGATTTGGGTTGTCCAATGTCCATCCATCTGGATATGAACTGTAATCTCAGTTCCAAATCTTTTACCCAAGACCCGAGAGGTTTCAACGAGGGATAAGCAGCATCAGCCCACATATCTGGAACCTGGTTGATCACAATAGAATCAAATATAGCCTCCAACTGGTCCGACATGACTGCTAAACCTTTTATAGCTTTCTGAATGTTGAGGAGTGAGCCTAATAGAACACCAAGCAGCTTGTTGAACCTGACTATCTCCTGAGAGAGGACAGTGGACAGAGAGTTTATCCTTCCCTTGCTGTCCGGCTCAAACATTTCAGGTAGAGCATCATCAATGTCCAGTTTCTCTGGCAACTTGCTCAGGATTAGGGCCGCCATTTCGTCTACGATCTCATCGCTACTCTTTCCTGCACCTCCGCTGATAAGTCTAGGCTGGACATCCAATATTGTGGTGATAATGGTCAAGGATTCCTTCTTCTGATATGAAATATTAGCATTATTGGACATGTCGAATATTGTAGGTGGGTCTATGATGGGGAGTTGTTCGATATACTCCTTGTAGGCGTCAAGAGAAGTTGATTCCAGTGGGTGGTACTTATCAGACGAACTGTAACAGTATCCCGCTTCTATTGTAGCAGGGCGGAAGAAACGGTTCAAAACAACTTTCAGAACCCTCTGATCCCATTCATCGGTAACCCTGCCTCCGTACGTGATCTCAGCAGTGATGAACTCCAGTGCATCCCAAGGCATCACTCCTTCGGCTGTGAACAGCTTGAAGTTGTCAATCGCACATTCACGGTCCGAGTCAGCAAACTCGTAGGGAATGTTGAAGGCCAGGGGACCGAACTTTCGTCGCTCCAACACCACAGCATGGAAGAAACAAATTCCGAAGATGATCTTGCACCAGTCAGTCTTGAGGATATGGTCCTCGAAGTCAGATTTAGTTAATTCACCAAACGCTCGTCTCATGTTTGACCTGAGACCCTTTGGAGGTTCGCTTGTAACTTTAATACCGTTTTGTAGAACAGAAACAGGGAAGAAGGGAGCGGGCATAGAACTCAGGAAGAGTCGGAAGTCGTCATGAATTTCGGCGTCAGGCGAAGAAAATTCTTTGATAATTTCTTCCATTGACAACATCCAAGATTTAGCAAGATGGCAATTTTGTAAGAAAATCCAGTCGCCGGTTTTCATTGCGGCAAAAATAAGTGTCTCCGCTACTGGACCCTGTCCTTGACCAAGCGATATGGCCTTGACCCGCTCATCGTAGTCTTGTTCTTTAGCAAATCGCATGAAAGCAGCCATTGGATCAGAGCCACTGGACAAAATAAATATAAGTGGTGCGAACTTTGACATATCCTGATAAAGTGCGGGTAGATTTGTTGGAGGAGTCTCCACAAATGCTGCTCCTAAATTCTCAACCACAAATGTACTGAGGCACTCAATCAATGCCTCGGGTTTGAAGTACTTCACAAGGGTCAGTCTCTGGAATCCGTTGAGACGTTGTTTCCAGTGACCTTTAGGAGCCCCAGGCGGGATCTCTTCAGTGGACAGGTCCTCAGGAGGTGGTGGAACGTTCGGGACGTATCCTTGGAAGCTGAGCGGGTTCAGTTTCAGTTCGTACGATCCAACATTTACATGTACAGGAGTGAGTCTTATGTCATTTGTGATGCCCGCATATGTTGGCATTGCCTCTTCGATGTCAACAAGAAGGTTCCATGTTATTTCATCAAGGAAAGTGCACTGTTGTGGCTTTTTAGGTCTATCTTTTTCCAGTGGAGGTAGACCTCGGATGAAGAAGTTCCACTCTTCTGGAGTAATATTACCAGCTTGCTTCATGATCTCGACACATAACATGAAGCTGAAACAAACTTTGTGCCTTTCAAACAGACCACGACCAATGTTGTTGTACATGGTCAAGGTGATGCCGTCAAGCAGAATTTGTAGCCGTTTCCCTAAATCGGAGCACTTTTCTGAGGTCTCGATAACTTTGACGAACAGAGAAGTGAAGTATTTCAGAGAGTACTGGTACATGGGGTCTATGACAGAGAGATCAGCAGTAACAAAGTAGATAACAGACCCACGAGTTGCTACTGGAAGATATTTGGCTCGGGCTAGCGATATCTTTTCTTCGGTCTCCTCAGCTTCCTTCAGTCGGATGTTGATCTCCTTAGACATAACCTTGGAATCATTCAAAGTCTCTATGAGTTCCTCATCGTCCAGGATGTTTCCTTCTGAATGGAACAACATCTTCAAAATCTTATCCTCAATATCCTTTAACTTCTGTTTATCAGCATTGATCTTCATAATAAGAGCATTTCTCTGCTCTTCCAGATCGGGGCGTTCAAGTCTTGTGACATCAGCAAGCAACTGATCCTCGAGACCCAGACGGGTTACAGTAAAGTTGATGATTGTGACCTTGATGAAAATCTCAGGCATGTAGTGAGGGTTGGAAAGCTTGCTGGTCATGTAGAATCTGAAATTCTTGTCATAGTCGACATCAGAATCTCCAAGACGGATCAGAAGTCTGCCTCCTTGTACAAAGGTTTGCTTCAGCAGTATCGGCTCAAGAGCGGGATCCAGAGATTCTCCAACTTCTTCAATCAGCACTGGTAGTCCAATTCTTATAGCATTTTCCAAAGTTCTCAGCAAGTTTTTATCGGTAAGTTTGACAATTTTGAGGCCGTTTTTCCTCTCTCGTCCAACGATCCACCTGTTGGCCTGATCCTGGGGATCTATCATAAGGGGCCATCTGCGTCCCTTCGTCACAAGAACAGCATTCTCAGTTGAAACAGCATCTCTTGGTAGTCCTTCCAAATTCCACTGACGAATCTCAAACGGATCCGCCAGGGTAGTGACAAGAGAGAAGTCATCTGACACTGGAATGCCCAGTTCCTGACCCTTTACAATCCACTCTTTGACAAGCATTTCACGGTATTGAGCAGTGAAAGGTCCGTAGTAAGCCACACAGGCACTTGCTATAAATACGTTACCCGCAACGTTATCAATCTCTTTCTGGAATATCTTGACAGTTTCATCCCATCGAACTTGTTCATCGCCCAAAGCTGTGACGAGTTTTCCTGCGCGTTTCAATCGGGCAGCGGTCAGAGCAATGTTTTTCTGAAGGCTCTCTTTTGCTGCAACACTAGCATCAAATGAATCCTGAAGTTCTTTAATCTTGTCCTCCACCTCTTGAAGCGAAGCTTGCTTGAGGGCAAGCTCGGACTGTACCTCTGCCAGCTCAGCTTGGGCATTCACCAGCTTCTCTCGCTTAGGCTCAACAGTTCTGAAGACATGAGCGTAAGAATCTATAGCTCGCACCCACAGACAAAGAGATTTACAAGCTCTGGAAGTCTTCTCCACAATTTCGGGTACAAACTTCGGGTTGTCGATGTACTTTTTCAAGTTTCGTAGGATCTTATCAGGAATGTTATCCTTATCGTAGTTCACTAATCTGGACAAGAACTGAGTGTCACCAAGAAGCCCTTTAGCACTGGCCCAATCTGTTTTGTTGCCCATCAAGATGCACACAGCTTCCATTACTGTCAATACCATCTCGGGTGGGTTGGCAAACACTCTAACCTCAGCGATGTCAGATTTGTCCAGGGAGTCTAGGGCCTTGTTCGCAGCGTGCAGAAGAGGCAATGCTTCATCGAGATCTCTTTGGGCATCTTCTGCAATGGCTTCTGTTTCATCGGCCTTTTCTTTGGCGATGGCTTCCTCCTCTGAGACAACAGCTCTGACTTTATCGGCTTCGATTTGATCTTTTTCAAGCTTCACCATCAAAATATCAGTGTCCTCGCTCTTTTTCTTCAACTCCGGACCGAGTGCTGTGAGTTCAACCTCCATTTTAGCGACCAGATCATTTGTCTCCAGCAGCTTCTGCAGACCGTTAGCCACTCTGTCTCTTGAAGCCATAAGTTGTTTTCTTTTGTCGTTCAACATAGAAAGGTACAAGTTGATGAGTTCAAGGTAACTTGTCGGCGTGGTGTAAACATTTCTCCTCAACTCAGCAAAGAACCTATCAGACATAGCGGAGACTGAAGTGTGGATAACTTCACAGAATACTGATAGAGCTGCCTTCACTTCGTCAGTTACACCAATATCCACGTCAGCGAAGAATTCATTGGAAACAGAAAGGAGAGCTTCTTTGGGCCACTGAGTGAACCAATCAATTGTACAACAATTCACGATAGACGGGAACATACGACAACGGGCTCTGAAGGCATCACCGACAGGACTCATACACAGGACAATATGTAGATTATCTCGGACACGGCTAATGAAAAAATCGTAGATACCATCTCTGTCAGACTCGGAAACACCTGCTTCTTTAGCTCTAGGTCTGACTGCGTTGATGACAGCCTCAAACTCCTCTGCAGGGAAAAGGTTGGAGATCTCACCAGAGTTCAAAATGTTGTTTATGTCTTCGAGGAATTCTTCAACAACAATCTGCGTGTCAGTGAAAAGGAATACGGTGTTCTTTCCTTCAACTCCAGCGCTTTGGTAGAGTAGTTTGAGATCCTCGTGGAAGCTGTCGTAGTTGTACCCTCTGGTCAGCTCGATCTGAATACAAACGTAACCTGCCATGTGACAAGCTAATCTTGTCAGACTCTGCTTGCCAGTACCACCGACTCCCACTAGAAGGGCGTTTCCACGAGGCTGCCGGACCATCCTGGCAATCCTGGACACATGTTGGATGGCGTCCAGGAAGAAGACAAGTTTCATCTCCTTAGGACACGACATGTTGTAGTCATCTAGATAGTCATTCAGCACTTTTATCAATTTTGTAGTGTCTTTGATGTCTTCGTATACTCTGTCTTTGGGATCTCCTCCAACTTTCATGAAGTCACCAAAAATGATGGGCTTCTTCTCGAAGGTTTCAGCAGCGTAGTCTTGGTTGAAATGCTTGCTTGCCATCTGTGATAGAATGTCGCAGAAATACTTTTTGTCAGTGTTGTCGATCAACCTGTCGTGGAAAACCCTCAAAGATTCGTGACAGAAAAGTCTGAACATTGATACAGGTTCCCTGATATATCCTACATCTGCCTGTAGAACTCCTTGGACCAGCTTACTCAAATCCCTGAGATTGAAGATGTAGTGAGCTTTGGCAGGAGTGGGTAGAAGATCTGTGCTCATGCGGCTGTATATTTCGACAGCAGCCGATACGATCGCTCCGGCCATTTCTTTTACCGTCGGAGGGAAATCTGCTAGGAAACCTGAAGAAAATCAAATTATTGTATAAGGTACGATCAGATTTTTAAAGAATATAGAATATACATGACGTATGCTTAATTTGGTTTTAAAGTCTAAACATCCAACAAATCAAAATGATCAGAAGTTTAGCACACCTTTGCAAATGGCAGTGAAGATAGTTTTGAGTGTGAAGTCAGCTGCGGAAGGAATAGCAAACATGGAGAAGTGCCGGACAAAACGAGGTGAGACGGCGTTCCTGCCACCGCCGGGGGGAGCGCACGCTGCTGACAGGGTCACATCCTGGGGAGATATATATAGGGTAAAGCACATAATTTTGTCATTTTTTGGCAATTTTCCGACTGCCTGATATAAACCATGGGTTTTAACCTCGTCTGAAATTCCGATTTAGATGAAACCTCCACCATGTTATAGTAGACAGTCTAGGCAAGTTCTAACACAAAAATGATCGAAATTGCTGGGGTTGAAGATGTTCAAAAAAATTATTTTGAAAAAATGGCAAAATTAGGTGACTTTACTTAATTTTGTCACCCCGAACCTAATTTTGTCACTTGAAGATTGTGCAAAAAGTAACCGTTTCTCGGTATTTTAGACTACCTGGATGCATCATTCGAGCGCTTTTTTACCAACATTGACCTCAAAAATCCCAAAGATATGATGTTTTCATAGTTTTGTAGCTTGATGAAAAGATGACACTTTTTGGGTATCTAATCTTAGAAAATAGCCCCAAATGCCCCTGAAACCACTGGCATCTTGAAAAACGATTGGTTCTAGGCCTAGGTTGAAATTTTCATGTCTGTAGATAGATCACTTGCTTAGTAATTTCATCAAATATTTTTTTAGTCATTTTAGATTGAAAAAATCAGATTATCCACCTAATATTTCTCGGCGAAAATATGCTATTATAAGTGTTATGCTATTATTTAAGTGCCTTATACATATCCTATGGGCAAAAAAACTTCAGAATAGTTGTATAAGGCCATTTTCAACACAATCTGTGATTTACAAGAAATTTGAGAAAGGTCGATTTTTTTGACAAAATTAGGTACTTCTGGCAAAATCGAACCTAATTTTGTCACCCTCTGTAACTTGAACAATAATTGCGCTAGAGACTTGAAAATTTGTACGTATACTTCTGCTGTAGAAGATATTTGAAATATGCAATGGCATGAAGCTAGCTCAATTACTTTTGAAATAGCAATAAATCAAAATTTTGAAAATTCCTTAAGAAAACCTTAAGGATCTTATTTATTTTTCGGGTTAACAGTTTCGCCTTCATTTTTGACACAGATGCAAAAGAGCTAGAAACTTAAACTTTGTACGAGCAGTTTCAGCAAAGTCTAAGCTTTCTTTTTATACACAATCCTTTTCTTTCAAGCTGAAATTCCGAGCCGAGGCAGTTTTTCAGAGCAAAATGACAAAATTAGGTACCCTGACAAAATTATGTGCCTTACCCTAGCAATATTTTATAACATGATAAATCTCACAAAATAAAATCAGCTTCGTTACTAATAATAATATAATACTCTAATACTATTTAAGATTTTACCAGTAATACTATGCAGTTAGGGGAAGTGTTAAGATTTTGCTATCATATTTTTAAAATCTCAAACTATATTGAGCTATTATAAGATGGGAGCATAGTATTAGCTAATCTGTTTAAAGTCACGTGAGCGCTAAATTGCACTAACCTGAACTTCTTTCCAGAAGAGCTTGTCCCTGTCGTAGAACCCTCTGAAGTCCTGGAGCTGTCTGAGCAGCTCAATTGGAGGCTGGGCGCCGTATGTTTCTTGTTTAGGCATGTTCAAGTCATCCACCAGGATCACTATTCTCTTCCCTTTTGGTGCACCTGAGAAAAGCAATAACTTTAACTTATCTTTCTGTCAAGTAGTAGGCGGGACTCACTACTTGTGTCTTGTTCAATTACTACAATTTGTTGCCGAACAAAAAGTTAACGACACTCGAGACTGCTGAGGACGAGAAGAAAAAAAGGAAAAATTAAGAAATAAAATGTACCGAGAATAGTCTTTCGCTTCTTCTCTAGCTTATTCTCAATCATCTCTTGAGTTCGGAAGCTGTTTGTTTGAGCAGAAAAGTTGACAAAGGCAGGGATGACATTTTTCTCTGCCAGATCGTACAGCCTCTGCTTGGCTATCACTGACTGTAAAATGATGAAATTATTTTTAAAGCATGTAACAAAAAGCAAGGTGAGTTTGTTAAGTTATTTCATTATCCGAATTTCTGAAGAAAATAATAATTTTTCTGCATCGCACGTTACCTATTCGAACGAGTTTCGTGTCTGTATCACTTATCTTATGCAAGACAGCGATAAGCTCCACAACAATTAACATAGGCATGATTTAATATGGAATTTTAATCTAATGTATTAATGTGTTGGGACCACAACCAAGTATTTTCTGGACGCTTTATCATTTCGTGCAGTCACAACTTTACATTTTTCTGATTACTGTGGAAATATTCCACGATACGAGGGTTCCGCATAAAATTGTACCTTTCCGACACCAGTTGGTCCAGTGAAGAGAACAGGTCTGTTCAGATCCAGCATCTTCTCCATCAAATAACCGAACCTTGTCGTATCTATTGTGGGCACCATCAAGTCGAAGTAAGGAATCTGAAGATTTATATATTTTAGTGCATTGTTATCCCGCCGCGCAGTCCATGGCAAATCAGTGAGGTATGAGAATGACACTGTCAGTGACGATTAATTTCATAAATTATGATATGTGTTACTTTTTGATAGCTATTTAGCTATTTTGTAACAAGTCGAAATGATATTTTATTACTATTACAGGTAACAATATTCATTAAATTACAGGTTACGTTATTCATTTTGTATCGGTTTATTCCTGACTACAAATAGTACCTCAGGTTCGTATTTGAAGCTAGGTGTGATTTTCTCCCAGCTCTCCATCATCTTCCTGCTCATATCAATGTAACAGCTGTACACATCGCCAGTCATCGACAACTGTGGGTTGGGAAACTTGGGTTTCAGGTTAGTCCTGATTTAGAAATTATCTAGAACCGGTTTCTAAATTGAATTTAGGAGCCTAGAGATTTCATAAAAGTTGTCATATGTCAAACCAATTTCCAGAAAACTGATAAGATAAAGACGGTTTAGAACCTAAACGCAGCACGTTACAACCATGACTGAGTTGGAACATTGCAAACTTGTCCACTTACCAAAATATAAATTATTTTACCTTGACATCTGGACAGTCGCTGAGGAGATCTTTGACAAAACTGTCAAATTTATCGTTGTAACTCTCCTCGAGATTACCCCCGAGACCCCAGACCAAGCACCAAGCGAAGATGGTTGCTAGGAGGCAGTGAAGACGGAGTGGATCAGACTGGAGGTCGGGTCCGCCGGTAGTGAAGACAAGGGATTGGAATAAGAGTGCCACTGTTTGGACCTTGCCTACATGTACCTGGATAAAGTGTATATATAATGTAGAGTACAAAAAGGATAACACAGAGGGTATTCCAGTTTATTTTCAGATATATTTTTTCCCAGTACCATGAAACTAACTACAAACTGCCCATGCCAAGATGTAAAATTACCTGGGGCATCACTTCAACCAGATTCTTGCCCACGTATTTGAGGGCAGGATCAATGTAAGTGTTGAACAGGTTCCAGACGTACTCCTTGGTTTCCTGCTTCCACTTGAATTCCTCGTTACTAATCCATGTTTCCAGCATGGGTCTCCATCCCAGTTCTTTCTCGTCAATGTACACCATACCGCACCTGGTGTATGTGGGTTCTTATTCACGCAACCGGCCACCGAAATTACAAAATATGATAAAAGGTAAATATAATTATAAGCGGGCAGCTGCGTTTTGCTATTTTCAACTTTACAAGAATTTCTGGCCTTTTATCGTTAAATCATTTATCGTAGAACATGCACCTCGTACATTGCATCTCGTACTTCTTACAATACTTACAATTTGGTGATAATACAGACTGCAGATTCCACTGGACATTAATATCAAAATTGTGTCAAATTAAAAGTTAAATTGGGCTTAAATCCAACCTGCTGACAGTGGCTGGAGAAGCTACCGAGAGATCCTGCACCTCGAACACCATGTGGATAGTATTGTTGAGCTTAATACGCTCCGAGTTAGCCAGACACAACATCTTGTTGTCATCCAGGACTGTGTTCATGTTCTCGATCCACAGAGCATCGACTGGTCCGTCGTTTATTATCCACTTATGATCTTCTGTGGTGTCCTGGAAAGGTGAAGGTGAGATAAGAAATAGCCGTTACCAAGTTTTAAAAGTTAATCACTATTTACACAATATAATAAAACATTTAATTGACTTAAAACCGAGAATACTGACCTTTACAGCCTCTCTAACAGCGGTAGCGAGTAAACCATCCTTCCATTCCATGGTGAGGAGATTGAACTCACCATACAGCTCACCCATTGTTACTGCCTTGGGGTTCAACACTTTTGTTCGTACTGTTCGATAATCAGCTACCTTTCTACCGTACCCATCATTGTATAGTTTAGTAAGGGTATCAGCAAGTATCTGGTAACAAGAGGTCTTGCCACCACCAGTCGGTCCCACCAACATCACGCCGTGTCTCACTTGCATCGTCTCAAAGAACTGAATTACCTTATTAGACACACAATCCTTGGGCTGCAAATTCTTGGCCACGGTACAGTGGTCAATGGTGGTTTTAAACACACCATAGTCGTGTTCAGGGATCTCAAGACCCGGGAACAGATCCTGGAGAATGGCCTGGAACAGGACGGTGTCGTCTAGAAGGAATTTGGGCAGGTTACTGTCCCTCAGGGCTCTAAGGAGTACCACGTCCTCTCTTTTATCAGGATTCTCACGCTTCAGGGACCCGGCCATGACCAGGACTGATTTGACGGCTCGCATACCGAAATCGTAGTGATCTTGTTGGGATAGCTGTTCTGAGCAGAGGGCGTACATCCGGGTCATCTTGTGAGCCAGTGTCAGCGAGTCCTCAAAACCTAGTGGATTACAATTTTATTAGAACTAGGATAGTTGGAAACGACAATATATTCAAGCCATATTCCCATCAATTCATCAATCTTTGGACATGTGAAATACGAATGGCCCCCGCGGAAAATATGTCATAGTTATTGATGTTTTATCAATAAAGTGATGTTTACTGCACTGTTCTAGATATATAACTAACCTTCAGAATAAAGGATGACCTCAGCAATGAGAGTATAATCAGGAACCATCATAGCAAACGGTCTGAACAACGCCTTCAAGTTGTCAGGCAGCTCAGTCCTGCCCGCATAACCTGGGTTCATGGTGATGAACGCGGCACAGTTAGGGTTCAACTTCAACTCCCTACCCTCAAACATGAACTTAGGGAGTTTCTGAGCTTTGGCGTTACGAATAGTGAGGAGCTGCTGAGCGATGACGGACAACACCTCGATGTCGATACGGTTGAACTCGTCGAAGCAGCACCAAGCACCGGTAGAGGAGAGACCGGAGAAGAATTTTCCCATCATCCTGTAGTCCAGACTCTCTGAGCAGTTGAACACCACGCACTGTTTTGCCAGAGCTTTTGCCAGATCCTGGGATTATTGCTTCTATAGAGTCTTGATGATCATATCAATTATCATACAACCACCATTATATAACATGTTTGAGAGTGCAGTCTATGACAATTTAAAATAGTTTTGTCTCTGCGAGCGGATGTCTTATTGAGTTTCATAGAAGAACATTTTAATATAAAAAAGAATTTTTCAGTGCGTGTTGAACTACAGTCCAAGTAGCGTACTAACGTTCGACAGAGTCGAAATTTCGAATTTGTCGAACTTTAGTGCGTGTCAAACTTCTGTGCGAGTCGAACGTGCCCCGAATTATTAGAAAGGGATGTATCTTTCCAAGAAAAAAAAATGACAACTATAATAATTATGACGTTTCGAGAAATATTATCTTCTGAGGAATATTATCATCTGAGAAATATCAAGTTCAACACTTCTTTCACATCCGACAATTACCTTTGTAGTCTCAGTCTTGCCAGTCCCGGCAGGACCAGCTGGTGCACCTCCCAGATCCAGCTGTAGAGCTCCCATGAGACACAAATAACATTTGTCAGTTAGCGGGGTAATGACCAACCTCATGCTCGCTCCCAAGTACTCGTATCCGTAGATGTAGTAACTGTTACTCATCCTGAACACAGTGTAATTGTTCTCCATCCCATTGTAATTAAAATTCATTTTGATTTTTTAAAATGATCAATAATTATCTGAACTATCAATAATTGATTTGTCTGAAATTCATAAAAGTTAAGGATCTAGATGCCAAAATCTTTCAGAGTCGGGAACGGCAGTTCTTATGCCGGGGAATAATAAATTTGAATAGTAGAGTTGATTCAGTAAGGACTAAGGAGCAAGTCACCTGATTACACAGTTGTCAAGTTCCGTGTCCCAGTAATAACGCAGTTGCTTTAACCATTCGAACTCATTTACAGTTTCAACCTAACAAATGTTCGGGCTAAAAAGTCACCTAGTCATTATCATATCCATATAATATTTGTATTACAATTCAGTAATATTATTATTAGGGAGAATTCAGTAGGAATCGGTGAAATATTCGACGTTTACGATTGAACTTATGCAGCTGTAAAGTGGAAGTACCACTACAAAATGCAGCTTATGCCACGTGTGGTTTCAGTCACCTGTTTCTTCACCAACTCTGAGCAGATATCCCTCAAGTGCACATCAATTGTAATTTTAGCTCCAAGGATGTTTCTGATCAGCTTTGGTATCTCTTGACGGACGAGAGCCGCTAAATTCGTCAAATTCTGAATAAAATGAATGGTGAAGGGACATTGTAACGAAATTAGGGTGCACGGGTGAGAACACTCCAGTAACTTCATATGAAACATCTTGTGAACCTCAGCTCATGATAAGGGAAAGGTGTGTGTTTACTGTTTGTTAGTCCACAAATTGAATTCACATGTTGTTTACCAGTTCAAACACTTCCGTGAAAACAGCGTACATATTTAATCTGGTCACAAAATTTCTATTTCAGAAATATTCCAGATTTACGTCAGAGCAGGACCGTTTGGCGCTATGCAGTAAAGATAGTATTAACTTATCAGTGGTCCTCAGTTTCGTGGGAAGGGAAATAAAATTAATTACTCACGTCAATGGCCCTCTGAAGAGCACCCCTCATGTTGGCGACCTTGTCCGTACCAGTGGTCAGACACTCCGTGCAGTCCCGACACCACATAATCTGGCTTACAGCTAGGATTATTTGACTCGCGTGGCTGAAATCGCTTAGGTTTCAGACATTAGTTCCGATATATGCATGTGGGTTGGAAATTTGAGAATTGGAATTGAGAGTTGCGGACAGCAAACGAATATTGATCCTATTATCAATAGTGCTTTACAGAGATAATTATTGATTATACATGGTTTAAATACTAACCTCACTACCCAATCATTCTTATCAGATACTTCAAAGTCCTGAATAGACGCCTTCAACAGTCTCCTCAGAGTCACCATCATATTCTCCTCAACCAAGCCCAGCCAGTTCTCCACATTTCCTCGCGCTTTGAGTCCCTTTGCCAGCGCCACCCTCTCGCCATCAGGACTCAACATAGCTATGATATCGTTACTATGTTGAACCTGTGAAGGTGTCTTGGCACGGTCCCCACTGCCCGGCCGAGTGTCTTGTATTGTGCCGAATTCAAGCCTAAGGGGGGATTTGCTTGTGAGTTTTGCTTTTGGCGGGAGCAAAATTACCTTACGTACGTGACGACGGAGGACCGGGTACTTAGAGAGGGAATTTGACAATTTAGCTAAACTAACAGTTGATTGGTTTTACAGCGCACAATCGTGAAGATTCGCTTAACCATCAGCATTTAAATAGGAATGCTTGAGACGGTCATTATTATTCAGCAGTGGCTACAGTTTCAGTCAGAGGATGTCTATTAAAAGATCTCTCCTCTGCACATGACCGGAGATGTCACTCTCTATTGGTCCCGTAGAGTTACGAGGTATCTGACCCTTTCTCAGAAGTTTTCAAGGGGCGGCGAGGAGGTAATTGTAAAACCAGCGGTCCACCTTCATGTTTTCCTAATCTTAATAAATTTGCATGATGTCTCCAGGAATATCCCCGATCCTCAGGACATGGTCACGTTTCACACGATAACAGAAAGTCCTACCCTCTGAGCGATTACAACGGCTGGCCGCGGTTCTTATTTTATGGTGAACAGTGGCGTCGTAGCGAGCTAAAGAAAGTGAGTTGGAAAATAATTTCGCAAGGGTTCCACAATGTAAAGTTTCACGACCGGTGGTGATTTGACGGAAGCTTAGAAAATAAACTTTACGATCTTATCTTTACAGGAGGAGTGAGGTCTATCTAATCTTTCTTATAATCTAATCTAGAATAATGTACAAGCCTTCAAGGCCATTGCAGTTTAAATATCAGCGCTTGCCGTTTCTCAGTGTTGTACAGCTGTTGATCAGTGTAGATAATGTAGATAATGTACGCATCGTCATCATTCCTCTTTTTAGCACCGACCAGATTAGGTACCGGCCGCGCGGCTACTGATAAACCTGTCACACTACTTCCATAATTTGGTTACAGAGGGACAACGACCGGGCGGACTAATTTGACCCTTATAATTCCGATATCTTCACTTCTTAGTTTCGTAGTATTGATAACGTATTTAAACGATATTTAATTTCGTGCTGTTATTATTTCAATGTTTTGTTTTTATTTCGTGTTTTAACCGTTATAGAGACAAATCCAAATAGCTCTGTACTGTATCTAAAATACAAGGCTTGAATAACAAACTTGTCATCTTTTTTGTTACCCTAATAAAAATATCGGCCCTAATTTCCCCCAGCCCTAATTTGGCAGCCTACTATAAGAGCCCAGATTTTCACTCAAATACTGGCCAATGCATTAATGTTATAGGATCTCAAAATAAGTATTATAAAACATTTCTATTTTATCCCTACACATTTGTAAATAACTAGAATTGTGTAACCTTAAATTATTTCAGAATTATAACTATTGTGAATTCAATAAAATAATTATCACTTTTGTATCCTTGTATCCTTGTATCCTTGTATCCTTGTATCCTTTGGCAAAATTCGGATCCTGTGGCCAAACTAAGACCCCAGCTAGACGGCACGTGTCATGTTATCGATTATAAAATGTGCAGTCTCCGCTCTAGCTCTAGCTAGAGGGCTGCCCAGGGCCGGTCAGACTTCTTGGCCGACCAAATTAAGGCTGATAAGGTGTATTGTATATTAGGCTAGATCAAAGGTTTGAAATAAGAAAGGTTTCACGTACGGCCATGCCCGGCTGAATCATCTTTAACTCAAGCACCATGGAAACTAATAAAAAACCTTCAGGAAGATTCAAGTTAAACAGTTTCCGTGGTACTCCAGCTAAGATTCAATATGGTTTTTAAAATCCTTGAACTTACGCTTTGATAGCGTCGAAGCACTTGCTGAGATGAGGTTGTACTGCCTGAGGGTTCCTGGTCTGGGCGAGGATCTGAAGGAGCTCATCGTTGGAAAGGAAATAGAATCGGGGGAAGATGAGTCGCTTGGATTCTAGATAGTCCTCCAGGCACTTGTTGATCTGATCCAACAGACTGTTGTTGTTTTGGAACGTCTCCAGTAGTCCTGATTTTGGGGGAAAATTGGGTTAATTCTAGGAGGTGAACATAAGAAATAGGTTGGGTGTTGGGCGACAAACGAGTTGCTTTAGCTTATCGAGGAATTTTAAGCCGTGCGTTTAATTAGATTTTATAAAGTCAGTTATTTTCCTCTTCTCGTGTGATTCAGATTGTCATTAGTCAAGTTATTTTATGCATTTAAAATATGCTGCTGCAGTGTGAATCCAAAAACGTAATTTGACGTGGCTTACGAATATCTCGATCATTAAAAGAACGATTTCGATCACCACGACTATAGAGTGTTAATACCGACCATAAACACGTTCACAGCTTACAAAATATTCAAGTTGAAGTAAGGACATGGCAAGGGAGGGAGTATTTGAAAGCCAGGGACTTGTAAAATACGTGGAGTCTGTGACCGTCTCCCCAGAAATCCTCGGTCTGAAAGATTACGCAATCCCTAATTCCGACCCAGGGCCGGGCTCAAGGGATCACTCAACTGACATAATACGAAGATTCGTATGAATGAAAATGGTTCAATCTGTTGATTGCAACAACATCTAACATTCATTTATTTTCCCGGGTTCGATACGATTTTCAATCAGATACGGTATACAATGTTGAGTGTTATTCATAACCAATAGATTTTTAACAGAGATCAGACCTTCGATGGTATAACGCTTCTAGTCGTTCCTGAATGACAAGAGGAAAATTCAGATAAGGACATCAAATTGGAAATTAACACCTGGCATGGTACGAGGCATTATAGATAAATCGTCAATTTGTTCACGACTGGATCTCCAGAGAAACTCCTGCTATGTCCACGCAAGAAACCCCAAAATACAGCATGGACCACAATCCCAGTGATTATGACATAGTTGTATTACAGGTAGAAATACTGAATGGTAGATATTTAAAAAAATATTTTATAAATTTTATGAATTTATATTGACTATTTCCATTTATTAATTTTAAAAGTTTAAATTTGGTATTTTAATTAATTGGTTCACAATTTAAGAGTAATTCTGTGAACAGATAGTAGATTTATAAGTTTTAATTGATATTTAATAAACTATTAGATGATGAAAGGAAACTGATTCATAAATCGTAATATTGTAGCCTTTAAATCACAAATTTACCATTATATTCACTTAAAAACAATTCTGACTTTGTAGTAGGCTGTCACTCTATCAATGCCGCACACCGCTAGTTATACTCCTTAAATACAATTACAATCCCAATACTGCCGTATCTAGACCACGACAGGTGTCCATATAAAGTATAAACCTTATACTAGGCTGCCGTTTGGCGCGTAGCTCGCTCACTCCTTTGCCGGCGCTCCCTCATTAACTAACTTAGATGTATATTTACTCAACAAGTTAATGAGCGAAAACCATCCTACACATTGCATGAGGCTTCATTTAAGTATTAAATTGATTTGTTTTTAATTTAGTTTTGTCAGTAATAAACTGATTAGATAAATGATACATTTTAAGTGCGTCTGGATCTCCAGAGAAACTCCTGCTATGTCAACTCAAGAAATCCCAGATGGAATGTGAATACTTGAACGGTAATTATCATATCATATTATGACCTGATTATGACCTGATATTATTATGACCTGCTCATGATCAGCTGTATCCTGAAATCACACTGATAAAATTACATTTTTTGGCATAGGCATTTGATTTTTGATTTCTTCTCCGTCAAGATATTGATTTTATCTGCGTGATATGATAATGACAAGCGCGTGCGTCAGTGTTTAAAGTAAATTTTCAAGCATCTGCTTATTTCGGGACAGCATTTTTGGAATAAAAATTGAAACAGACAAATATACGATTTGTACGAAATAAAATAAGAATAAAGTACACATTGTGAGATTTTTTTCAATGGATAGAATAAAATTGATTAAATCGTCCTATCATTAAATTAATCATTTTTTTGAATTATACAATAATCCAAGCTTCCCTTTATATAATGTACTGTGACTTGCTGAATTAATAAAATAGTAATCAAGTTTAATCGTTTGATAAAAGGTGATACCATCTAATTGCATTACAACTGTATCTCTAAATTTAAATCTCTACGTCTCATGTCAATTTAACTTGGGCTCTGGCTACAGAATCATATCTCGGGTGTACTTAAACAATCATTAAACCTGCACACGATGATCAGCGCTATTTTGTGTTTTGGTGTTTGGTATTCAAACAAACATTAATATAACACAAATAAATACATACGTTTACTGCATTCAAGGGTATGGACTTGTCCCAAACATAGACCTTGAAGAAACCCAGAGGCAGTAAAATAATAATAATACGGCTATATAATATACTTTCTTTGATAATGATATTCGATGTCTATACCTCGCAAAGAAAGGAGCCGCGCATGCTAACAATCAACAACATCATTAAATAAGATATTACGTAGGACTATCCTAATACTAGGTGATAAGTCTTCTGCATGTACTAAATAACATCTTAATTGAGTCTGATAGTGTGCAAAATCCAGATGCAGCACAAGCAGTAACTAGTGTCTAAAGTAAATGTTCATTGTTCATCGCCAACATTCTGCAGGAGCACGTCCAAGATGAGCCACTGTTTTTGTAGCTGAGCGTAGAGGGAAGTTGCATTCTTTGTATCCACTGCCTGACAGTCAGTCATGAAGTTATCAAAGACACAAACTTTTGGGTTCCTGTTTATTTCCGTCAAACTCAGCGCAATGTCGTTGATTTTCTGGATTTCTCGCGTCGAGAAGAAGTTGTTGACCATCATGGCGAAGCAGCGAACCCAAGCGAATGTGTCCATGAGCTCCTTAGCAAGATCAGGGTTAGGCTTGTCCACGAACTCGTCCCTGGACAGATCGATAGGGGACGGATAACCATCAAGCTTGGTCACGATCTCTGACTCCATTTCGGAGACCGTGCCCATGCACTGTTTGATGGAATTAGACAGTGGTTTCGGGCAGAAGTAGCAGCGTCGACCGAATTTCCGGCTCCGGTATCTGGACCAGGTTATGACGTTGGTTGAGAGAAAGATAACGATGAAGAGCGCATATCTGATAGCCATGATTTGTATACAACTGAGTAGGTTCAGACGTGAGGATTAAAATATCAAGAATATAATTATATCAGAAATGTTGATAAATTTTAATCTTTTATCAAACAAACTATAGAAATCAAGCAAGGCAAAGGTTTATGTGTTCTCATCGGTCGATTGAAAAGTTGGTCGAAAGATTTAACTAACAATATTATACCAAGTGTTGAGTATTTTCCTCGCTAAGGTTTATATTGAGTTGTTATCATAGCGGGAGAGATAATCCACAAACAATGACCAAATATGGTATTGAAGTATTTACTTTCAACCGATATGTCTATCTTTGCTTTGAGACCACATTATAAGAGTGAAGAGACGTACATGCGCATTGAGAGGAGTAGCGATATAAAAAGCTTTTTAAAACAGCTGACGTGAGTCTATCATCATGATCAATTGGGTGAATCTGAAGTTTTCAAAAGTCTAACTTAATCGTTACCTACGAGGAATTAGAGTGAATTTACCATAAACTTGTACTGCACTTAGTGCACAGAATGTCGATACATCAAAGTATTCAAGGTATGCATTACAGCCTTTTTCGGGAGAACGATAAAATTTCGGGGAAATGTTTAATGCATTATATTAGTTAACAATGCATTATGTCATAATGATGAATCACTCTACACTCGACTATCACGTGACTTACTTGAACAGTTATCATGTCATGTGGGGTGATTCGAGATACGCGTTTAAAAATGCATTGAATTTTAAACTGTCTGGGGCCTTTTAGTAAAATCTCGAAGTTAGAGTGTAGAGTGATTTAGCACGCTCGGTTCGCAATATCAACCCAAGTAGGAAATAAACTGAAGATAAGTGTAACTGCAAACCGTTTTGTAGGATTTATATAATATGGGGTAATGTATACTGGGTAGCCGTTATCTTCAATTTTATCAAGTGTCGAGAACAATTTGGAGTTTTGAATTTTGATAATCAGAAATGTGATTAGGTACGAGAGTGACGGACGTTAAAATTTCATTCAAAGAAAAATTTCAATCCCTCCAATTCCAAATGATGATATAACTTGTTTGCAAAACGAACAAATGTTATCATTGGTAACTAACCAAGCTTGCAGGTAATTTGTCAAAGTGTCTTTATCATAAAATCAATATTTTTACATCTGAATTCATACGGTATATCTCGCTTGGAGCAAATATTTTTCAACTTGAGCTTCACTGAATGAACAATAGATAAAATGACAGTACATTTTATCAATAATACGGGCTTGATTTGCTGAGAGCAGAACTCCAGATTCTGCAGAAAAATCCCAGAAAACGGATATGCAAATAAAGCTAAAATTGGTCAATAAAAAAGTAAAACTGCAAGAAAAAAAACATGAATCGAGAATATAAAAGAGTACTGAAGAAGAATGCGACGATATATTGATAGCGGGAGACGCGGCAAGGTTAATATAGAGTCATGAAAGAGCGCGTTATCCGACACATCACGGGAAAGATATCATACCACGTGACCACAAATAAAAGCTTTTACTTTTAAGTTTCTATGCGGTATGGCAGCAGGTGTTCAATTTGCCATGTGAGATACTTAGCCTTCTCAGAAATTATGAATCTTTGCTGTGGTGTTAATTCTGGGTATTTTCGATTGTCTTAGCTAGTTTGCCGAAATAATGAGACATACTTATGTGATTGGCGCTAATGAGGAATGACTAGAAAATCCATTCTAGTCACGAATGCTGAACTTGAAACACATTGGGTGTCAGATAAATGGATGTTATACGATATACTGATATGATTCTGGCGCACGCCTGACAATATGAATAAATACGTCTACCCTTCGTGACGTTTTACCCATTACCCGATTCAAGTTATAGTTCTATATATTAGTATTTCTTGGAAATTTAGTCTTACATTGGCGAGCATGACCGTAAAATAAATGGTGGCCCAATTTGAATCGTAGGCATAATCGGACTGCTTTCTAATTCTAGCTGTCTCTAACATCTCACCTAACCAACTCTTTCTATTGTACTAATTTCAAATTCAAAATGTTTCCTCACCAATATTACCCCTCCTGTTCATACATCAATGAGATATTAATATGTACTGTGGAAGTAACATTATAGCAGTTAAGTAATAGCGATTTTACACATGAGAATTTCTTTATTCTGCAGAGCTGTGTTGCATAATATCTTTACAATTCAACTACAGTTAGCCCAGCGTGCAGGATGTTGATTGTGCTGTAGAGAAAAAAGCTAGTTATCTCTGAGATCTCTGGGGAAGGTCCGGGTATCAAATGTCATCTGAAATTTAACTTTGAGCTGCTAAAACTCAGAACCCAGAATCTTCAATGGAGCATTATAAAAGGCGATCAATATGAATACAATAAAATGTCCCAATAGCATTTATTGGTGCTGTGTTTCGCTGTTAGTTTATCTGATATGGCTGAGTTTGTGTATTTCCGTTACATCCTGGCAGTGATAGGATTTTATTGTATGGTGGTTGTAAATCTGACAAGATCGGACTTTAACGTGACCATCCTTCAAATGATCAACAATAGTGATAGCTGTACTGCCGAGAATTCTACTAATGGAACCATTTGTTGGAGCAAAGGTAAGTGTCAATACCACGAGTGATTAAGTTTCTTGTAAGGCAGGAATTCATATAAAACCTTTAACTTGACTAAACCTCGTTACAGTACGTGTTTCTACTGTTCGCAAGAGGCTGCTCTATCATTTAGCATGTTTTGTATTTCAGAGATAGAAGAATTACTGGTGTCGAGCTACTTCATAGGCTACATGTTCCAACTGCCGGGAGGACTGCTGGCCAACATATACGGAGCCTACTACGTGTGCGGCCTGGGAATGTTGGTGACCATTGTCCTGACATTTGTCACGCCCATAGCAGTCGCTGACTGGAGGATTTTGTTTGCTGTGAGACTGGTCCAGGGATTAGGAGCTGCATCCACCCTCCCCGCCATGACTGCGTTGTGGACCAAGTGGGCTCCCAAAAACGAGAAGAGTACCTTGTTCTCGATAACAGGTAGCGGGCCACTTCATCGGGGCAGCTGTAGGAGATGTGCTGTCTGGGGCGCTTTGTGACCAGGATAGCTTGTTTGGTGGCTACTGGCCCTCCGTCTTCAGAATCTTCGGCATTATTGGCATTCTGTGGATTGTGTTATGGGTGACCTTTGCATCCAGTGACCCAGAGCATAGCATCTGGGCAAGCCTTGACGAGAAAGACTACATAAACATGAACCGTGATCCGCTCAGAAGAAACAGCAGCATTCCTTGGCTCTGGATTCTTACCTCCACCAAGTGCTGGGCCATCTATTTTTGTCACATTTGCAGCTACTTTGGGTACCTAACCATGCTAGTGGGATATCCCCAATATTTCAAGGATGTCCACAACCTTAGCATCAAAGAACTGGGCTTCTATTCTGCTATTCCTATAATGGCCATGTTCGTGGCGTCCATCTTGGCAGGAATAGTTACGGACATGATCCTGGAACGGAACTTAGTCAGTGTCACTGCTATGAGGAAGATTAACACTGCCATCGGAATGTATATTCCAGCAGTACTGAACTTCGTGCTGGCCTTCTTCCCTGATCTGTCTGTGTGGGCTGTGATCGTGGTCATGTCTGTCCAGAATGCAGCTAATGGGTTCGTGTTGTCAGGGTTTCAGGTTAACTACATAGATATTAATCCTGACCACGCGGGTATGACTACTGGTGTGGGGAATAGTCTCGCTTCTACTGCTGGTGTTGTTATCCCCATTCTACTGTACCGGTAAGTTAGTTAGGGTGGAAGCTAGGGGGAGGGGAGTGGGTTTCAATCACAATATTTTCACTTTTGTTTTGGGCTATTTCGTTACTCAGGGTCCAACTTGAAATTTCCAAGACTAATTCTTTAATCTAAGTGTAATGATGGGATTATTTACAGGTACAATATGCAGCCTAAACATTTAGACGCGCTTGATGATGGGAGCGTAGAATGGAAGAACATGTTCATGAGTGTTGGAGCAGTGATGAGTATTGGTGCTACTGTTTACTGCATTGTCGGTAGGTCCAGTTATGATTAATTAGATCTTCAAAATTAAGTTTAATCGAGTATAAGTTGGAGCGAGTGTAATTAGCAAGTAATTCATCCTGGGTAATAATCTAGATAGTGATAGATGAATTACCCATCACTTCAAATCTAGGAACAGGTAAAAGACAGCTGGAAGGGATGGAGGGATATGTGGAGATAGCAGGGACAGACAGTGGTGCTGAACAGACCACCCACAGACCCTCCACTGCTCAGTATAGCTCCTCTGTCCTGGTAAGTGTTCCAGATGAGATGATATCCGCTCAAGAAGCACCTTGCCGGGCAAGTATTGATTGGTGTGAAGAGGACGCTGTGCAGACTGAACATATCTCTTCTGTGCAAGATTTTGTGTCTTGTCTGAAGATAGATGAGGAGAGTGTCGAAGCAGCAAGGGATCTGATCAAGTTTGATGACCCTATTTGTACCGTTGATGCTCAAGACACCGCTGAGAAAATGGGAGGGGTTGAAGAGGAGGGAGGCGACACACCAGAAGCAAACGATCAGGAGGAACTGAAAGACGGTCATGAGATGAACACGACAAAGAAAACTTGCAAGGTGTCGGAGCTAGTAAAAGCGTACGAAGTGAACGAGGTAAATCAGAGCACAGTCGCGGAGAGAAGGGGAATAGAAATCACTCCCGTGCCACTTGTATCTGCAGAGGAATCAAGAGACCCACCAGAAGAAGAACATACTCTTGACAAATCACCTGAGATCAAACCAGCTGAAGAGATTGAGAAAACTCAACAGATCTCCACTTCCGGACAGGCGAGCAAAGCGACTGGATCTCCTGGTCAGGTTTTAGTTCACAGAGAGATAGCAGGTGAGGGCCCAACAGAGGGTAAGGTCCCAACAGAGGGTGAGGTTTTAAGAGATGAGATCAGATTTGCTCCTCCTGCACGTCACTATCCACTCCACACCGACACAAGGAAAAAGAGTGGAGAGATGGCAGAGGGATCGGGAAAGCAGATATCTCAGATTTCGCCCTATGACAAGCCACACAAAGTGCTGCCCGTTCCGGATTTTCATAATTCGGATCAAGATATAGATAAAAGTGAGGCAGAAACAGAAGTTTGTTCGGAAGAGATGGAAAGCAGTGAAGTCGGATCATATGATGAAGATGCACGAAGCAGCGAAACTAAAACAAACAGTCCAGCAGCAGAAACTGGGGATTGTGAAAATGATACGGCTAAGTTTGTTGAAATAGATCTCACAGAAGGAAATAAAAATGACGCGGTGGACGAGGAAGAATTAAAGGAGTCAAGAAGTTTCAGTATCAACTCGATGTTGGCCAATATGTAGTAAAGCAATGACAAATTAAGAGCGGAGTAGTGGTTGTCAAGCCAACAAATTTTTAATTGCAATGAACCGTTTGATTAACTGTCGCTTTTAGTGGACATGCAAAGACAAATGAGACCCTGAAGTGACAAGCACATATAATAGAATTGAGTCATGACTAATTTTGATCGACAATAGATGGAAGGTCGGCAATTTAAGTTAGGAAGGGTGAGTATTAAATTCCGTTGTGAATTGTACATTCACCCAAAATGGGTTCCTGAGTGTCATTTTGAGAGCATAAACTCTTGAACTGGCATCAAGAGTATTTCAACTTGATCGTTTTTTTGCAACTGATTGTTATGTTAAGAATGTGTATAAACTGTATAATGTTAAATGTCTTATCGGACACTAACCTGGCTGAGTTGCTGCCCGCATAGCATTGGGAATTCTCTGAACCTTTCTCATTATCTCCTTCCACGTTTTATCAACTTGAAGGAACATCTTAGCCTCGTTTGGCAGCTGTCTCTGGATGTCTGGAGCCGAGAAGATGCTCTCAAGGTACAGCCAGTTTCTCTGACATGTCTGCCATTCGTCCTGTAATTAGAAGTCATGTTTTATAGGTGGTCAACTTTAGCTGGTTATACGCATCCATCATAACTATAAGCTATGAAGTCTAAGCAGGCTCTACTATAACTACATACTATGCTATCCATGATCATAATAAGTTATCAAAATGGTGCTTATATAGCTATAGGTAGATTGTAGAATCAAATAATAATAAAAAGACAGCATGAACACTGAACAGGAAGGAATGATACAGACGTAAAACTTTCAACACATTTTCAGTCATTATTACTATTAGCTTGTTTAGTATTTTTTTGTTTTTGTTTTTGTGCTAGTTTGAGTTTGAAATTTGAATGTAGATTTGATAAAAAATATTGTGGACTGGTTTAGTAAATTATTGAAAACTATTTGATTTAAACTTAATTTGAGCTATTACATTATTTTGTTTTGAGAAGCGTTTTTTAATGATATACACTAATAACAGAACAAACTGACACGATTCGGTATAGTAGTATATCGATATACATTTCATAAACATACCAGAGTATCAGCGAATAGAGCAAGTTGTTTCTGCCAATCCTCGACCCTTGGTTTTATAGGGCCCACATGTCGACTTCCTGCTATGGTCGATATATTGACCACACTGTCGTCAAGTAGGGCCATGATTTCATCAAGACCTCCGAGAATGTACACGTCTTTGCCGTGTGGGATGGCAGTGAATTCAGTTAGCTTCCAATCCTCCTCGACCTAGAGAGGTGGTGGAGTTGTTTTAAGTTTTCGAGTACACTCCTTAGTCCTTAGTTCTTAACGGGGAGTGAAAACATAAAATAAAGAGGGTGTATTATTTTACACGTCCTATAATAAACGCCTAACTAACCTTTCTCAACATAGTTTCCAAGTTGGCCTCACTGGACGCCTTGCCTGAAATCTCCTCTAGATCCTCCGCAAACTGGAAAGCATCCAGATCCTGGAGAGTCTTCAGGGTGTCTGCAGCCGGGTCAAACTTGCAGCTCAACGTCGTCTCTATTTCCTGCAGACGAGGGCGTGTTATCTCAATATTAAGGCTAGACAAACAAATTTAACAGAGATAATGCCAGGGTTGGTTGTAATAAACGTAATGCGGACTGTTCCAGTTTCTCTTATTTGCATGCTCACATCTTAAATAATGTGGCAGCGGCCTATCTCGTATATTAACATATATATTATATATATTATATATTATGTTAGATTAAAACAACCATGTTACCTTATTTGTCGCCCATCCTAAAACATTTCCAAGAAATGTTACTAAGTGGTCGATAGCAGACAAAACGGTATCCATTAGCAGATTTACGCAAAAGTTACTAAGAAATACTACCGATTTGTATAAATAAGGTCGGTCACGGTTTCAGCCGCTATTTGGCTACAAAAGATGGGTCTGATTGATATTAGATGGGTGTGACATACTACGTTAGAGTTCTACACCAGTCATAATAGTTATACTTATAGGTCATGTATTGCAGTCATGTATTATTATTGCAGTCAGAAGCAGTAATGTGAGCATCATGTGATCTAAGATGTGTTTTGTAATTAATAAGTTTTGAAATTAAACCGTTTAATAGCAATTCTTCCGTTGAATTTGTAGGTTATGGATATTGTAGACGTCAATGGACATAATATTTTCATCAACTGAATCGCACTTTCAATCAAGCTGTTCAGTCTTAGAGAGATCTCTTGGATCAACACTTTGATAATCTCTGCAGCTTGGGCAAAAAATAAATTATATTTTAATTTTAATCGCTAGATTCTAAAAATAAAGATCGGTTTCATCCACAATCTGGTCCTAAGATCTATTAATGCACTATAAACCGAATTATAATTTGAAGACTTGAGATGGCAAGAACAAGTTTCATTATTAGCTATTGAAGTAATAAGTAAAGAAACGATGGCTATCATCTTCAGTCTTCACCACATCTTCAAAAACTGGTCTCTTAATTTCGAGCTTTTATTAAGCAGCTGTGTCACAGTTCTCAACAGCTTGAGCAGCTTATACTCACAGCTCCTAATAAACCAAGGATCATTTCGCTACAAATTAATGTATCTGCCTATTTGCAGATTGAGGCAATTCTGATGTATTCTCAAAATATATACGTTAGCCATTTATTTATCCAATTCTATGAACCAAATTAAATGCTTGGTTAATTGATAATCAACATTATTTCTTTAGCTTTCTATTAATCAAAAGCTCGTGAAATGTATTTAATTACAAAGTTCTGTTAAAAGTTCTAAGTACATAAAATGTAACGTACCTCCCAATGTCTGGCTTTGAGACTCTGGTTTCTGAGGTTAGTAATAACGGGCACCTTGCTCTTCATATCGTCCACCTTCTCTTTGAGAAGAGGCACCACCCCATTGGGGGGCAAACCCCTCTCCATCTGGAACACTGACTTGGCGTATTTTGCCACTTTCTGAAAAAAAAGTAGGTTAGAATTAAATAATCGAGTTAATTTCTCAGTAAACATTTAGCTTGCAAAAAGGCGGTTAATAATAATTAGCTCTGAAATCTAACAAATCGGCTGATAATATTATGACGTCAATGTGAAATAACCTGTGTAATATCCTCTGGATTGAGCTCCTCGAATTTCTTCTCAAACCACTCCCCAGTGACGACATCCCAGCTTTTGAGGGATTCCCAAAGCTGTTGTTTCATCCTCACTTCCGCGTGAGTTTCTTCCAACTCGTCAAACCTTGTCACGTCCACCTGACGCGTGTTCAATATTAGTAGAATGAAAAACAAAATCGTACAATAATAATATGTCCATTTAATAATCTGATTTCTATGAATTCAACGATTGAACACCATCACAGACTATCGTTTAATCTAAATAACCAAACTCGAAACAGTCACAGAACTCCAAAACCGTACCTTGAACTGTTTCTGGTAACTCTTGTACTCGGTTGCTTTCTCCTGCAGTTCGTTCATAATGGTGTGTAGCTCCTCCAAACTCTCCAGCACCTCGTCCATGTCACTTTGTGGGTCCAGGATAGCTGCTCCTTGTGCCTTCAGTTTCACTTCTTTCACCTGTTATTGAGTCCAACAAGTTATATCTCATTGTGTCCATCTATATTGGGTGCCAAGGCAAATGTCTTCTCGTAAAACTAAGCGTTTGGACCAAGTCTAAAAATATTAGACTATTTAAAGCGCTATTCACAGATTTATAGATTTGACTGTAAGACGTTTTGAATACCTTCTTGCTCAAAGTGGCGATATCCTTATCAAGGTGAGTACAGAATTTCTCGATATTAGCGTCCCTATCAGCGAGGGATCTATCAATAGCTTGTAACATATTGTTAACGGAGGGAGTGAGAGTCTGGTACACTGCAACATCCTCAGGAGGAGCGGGCACGTTGTACTTCTCTATCAGATCATACAAGGCTCTGATTACATTCGCCTCTTCCTCGATTTCCTGAAGTATATACGGGTTAATTTAGTGATTTTAATTCTGGATTTTAAACGTTTTTAGTCTATTGCGAAGGATGTTAAACATTTTTTACGCGGCACTTACTTATCATAGCATAACCTGCACTTAGGGGACAGGGGAAATTCCCATGGAAATTTAACTGAGATTAGATCAAATGATTTTAATGGATATTAACCTAGTGGGGAATGGGGAGGTATTTGACACGTGACAGCGATAAACCGATAAGCACGTAGAATCAAATTCAAGTATCGCTGCGATGAAAAAAAGAAAATTTCAACACCTTCCTGTCATGAACATCTATGATTGTATTGTTACTAAAAAACTGCCACCTAAAAAATGTTTAAAAATTACGATGTACATTTTATCACGGATAATCTAGAATCGATTAATACACAGTTCAGGTCCCAGTACGCTCGTACCTGAGTTTTCTCTTGGATCTCGTCCAAGAAAGTGAGACTCTCCACAAATTCAATAGTCGAGGACGGTATGACGTCTAACTTGCTGGTCGCCCCTTGGGTCGTTTCAATGAGTGCGTCGTTCTTTTGTCGGGCCAGTTTCGGTAACCGGTCATTAATTGCCTAATAAGTAACGTACGTCAGAGAAATTATATAACAGTCTTTCTAAGAAAGCCATACAAGGACGAATAACGTTATTCATCGACTCAAGATAAAATTTCTTATCAAAGAAATGACTTGAAGTTGAATAAAAATTTGATAATTCCAGGAAAGTCTTGTTGAGTAAATAAGCTTAAAATTTCCGTGACCTTGTCAGTTATCACGTACCACATTTAAAATTTATACAAGAATCGACGAACCTCTAAACACTTTTGAGGAGAAGGAAGCATCTTGGTCTTGAGTTTGGAAGCATCACAGAGAAGCATACCCACACTCATGTTTCCGACTATCTTGGTAGTTTCTTCGTGCTGTCGCTTGTATTCAGCCAGTGACTCCGCGAAGAACTTCACATCTGATTCGGTAACTACTCGGTTAGCACATGTTAGAGTTTAGTTTGTCACATTTAATAAACGTAATGATTTTATGAGTTGTGGATGACTGAATGACGGTTCGGAATTAAGATAATTGTCAGTCATAATCCGGATTTCTATATGTATATACAGCATTAGTGCGTGTCTTAGTTGTAAACATCACACCCACACGTCTACATTGAGTTGAACCCACCCAATATTAGAGTGAAAATGGATGAGAGAATGTCTTAAATTTGATAATTCGGATGAGAAAATGTCCAAAATAATACCGGAACAATGAAAATGCTTTACCGTCCAAACGAGCTGAAATTAATGAAATGTTTGAGCATGATTCAACATGACGTGACGTTCTAAAGTGCAGTTGTGAATGTGACATTAAGATTAAATTATCACGAAAGTTCAAGATGAAATATCAAATTTTCTGACCGTGTTCTCCCTTTCCAACAGCCTCCACGTCCAGGTTTTCATTATCACGGTAATACTGTCTGAACGGCTCAAACGATTCAGCGTACTTCCACGCCAGTTCAAACGCCTTTTCTATGGTCTCCTAAAATTGAATCAGTCAATATTAGATTAAACTTATGTATTCGGCTAGTATTGGACTGTTCATTTTGATAAGAACGTTTAGCAATATAGGTTCAACAACATTTAGCCGACCAAAAGCTCACGTTTGTATTGTTGATAAGAGTGTGTAAGTGTTTGTCGTCCTCAAATATTGCAGCTAATGAGGGTCCTTCTCCAACAGCATGCTCTTCCAATTTATCATTGATTTTGGGCCTGAAAGAAGGAAAATTCCTCAAAAATATTATATATATATAATCTATTATAGATCGAATATACTTCCCTCTTTAGGTGCTCTTTTGTTTATAAACAAAGAGCACCTAAAGAGGGAAGTATATATTCCGAATTTTTTATTGTTTTCTGTCATTTTCTCTGATTATTTTCCAGCTTCAGGCAACCGTCTAACAAAAAAAACATGATGTTTTAAGTGCTCCTTCGAATTTGAAGAAATCTTTATATTATAAAAACTGGATTTTAGTTCTGGAAATTGGTTATGAAACTAAGTCTATAAAATATTAAAATTAATACATACTTTGTGAAAGAATGGAAATAGTCATCAGTGACGAGGTTTTTGACTGAAAGTGTGGAATCTTGTATTCGTCTGATGATCTCTTCGCTTCCCATCAAATAATGATTTGCATTGGGTGTAAAGTACAGACCATTGATCTCCATTAGCAGTTCGGTGACGAACAGAGGTGGCAATTGTTGTTCTTCTTGTTGCTAATAAAGGAAATATGTGTTATTTCATTAACTGTAGGGGGTCCTTACATAGTTCATGACTCATGAGTCAATCGCCATTTACCACTCGCCAGGTCGAATAAGTTGTAATTTTGTTATGGAGAATTTGATCGCGCGCGGTACTAATTTGCCACACTAGCTGTTCACAAAATACTGTCTTCTTAGTAAAACTTTACCGCGCCCGCCGTATATGAAAACTGCGCCGAGTTGTGCTTGCCGTTTAAAAGTCTGCTTTGGAGATGCTAAATGATTACAAATCCGACAAAACAATTTTAGTATTAATTTATGTCATTAAAAACATAAAGATCGACAGTGAAAACCCTGTCAAGTGCAATCTCACCTCGTTCAAATGTGGTTTCATAGCGTCTGGAATGAAGTTACATTTGCTGTGTGTAACAAGGTAACTTAGCAACATTGATACAGAGTTGACTGCGAGTGTGTGCATTGTGTGCACTATCAAGTAATCTGCTAATCTGAAATTAAATAGTTAGTCAAATTATTTTACAACTTTTATTATTAGCTACTTAGGTCTTATATGTGTTAATATATAACTTAATAGTGAAAGGTGAAGTTGGATTGCCTTACTAATACCCTACTATACTTTCAGAAATTCAGAAATAACCACAATTAAGTTGTTTAGCTATGTCTAAACATATGAAATTTGGAAAAACCACTACTCCTTTATCTTTTTTACCAAATTACCGAATAAAAGAGGTGAGTCTGCGACAATGAGCACGTTTGCTAGCTTGTTCTGTGTAAGTTGCCTTCTCCTGCTGTTCCACATACATCTGCATCTCGAACTGGTTCAGCATGAGAACTGAGGTTCCGTCTCGCTGGAACTCATCATCTGAGGAATGTAACATGTGAGATTTGAATCACTGGTATGTGAAAGAGGGGTGGGTTCAATAGATTATTATGGATACTCGATAAGCTTATTTTGATAGAGGAGGGGACGGACGTAGAGGGCTATAGAAACTTTACAAGTGTCATCCAAAATGAAGCTATATTTCAATCTACCACCAAATCATCATGAAATGTAAATATGTACCTGGATCAGGACTACCAAACCCACTGCCACTCTCCTCCAGAGGGAAGCCAGCTTCGAACAGCGCATTAGCGCACGCACGGCGCACAACTTCCTTTACCAACTCTCTGAACTCAGCCAATCTGTCTGTTACCTGGGACAAAGAAGAGTTATTATGCTGAGAAGAGATGATGGGAAATATTATTTGCAATTCAAGTATCTCCATTTATTATACAGGAAAATGTATCTTGTTTAATGTATAAGCTGGAGATGATAAATATAATCTTAATCTGAAGAGATTTCAACGACATAGATGCAAATAAAATTTGTTGTTGAGATATGGCTCCAAAACCCTAAAAAGTGAAGAAAAATGAGGAGTAAAAAGAGACCTCGTTAAGTTGAGACATCTGAGCATCTTGGAACTGCTTCAGATGGTAAGTATGATCCTTGTCAAATCGGCAGAGATTCATGTCTCCGATACGATAACACATATCACGTACTGATATCAGTGCTGGTCGCAACGACTGAAGTCAAGGTAGGGTAAATAATACATATCATTACATTTAAAAGGTAGGGTAAATAATACATATCATTGAATTTTTTGTGAAGAAATCGTCGAATAAAATTGAGGCACCGATATCTTTTGATAATTGTTCATATTATTTGATATTGCATTTAGTCAGATCCTACATTTGTTACTACGGTAATGTACGGTAATGTGAAGTGTTCTTGACAATGGTAAAGGTTTATATTTGAAAAGCTCAGATTGCATACTCAGTACTCACGTCGTTAACAATAAAGAGATTCTCACTAAGATCAGTTTTACACTGGGAGATCTTCTTAGACCTAACATTCTTCCGCCACACAGCAAAAGCTTTCCACATCCTGAAGTTGCTGAAGGTCTTGATCTTGATCAGGATCTGGTAGTCCCGGTATTCCTTCTCCCAACTACCGAGTGCGGTGTACTCGGTCTCGTGGTCGCGCAGCCGCGTCACACCCGTCGCGCTTATCGTGTAGTAGTCATTCGGGTCTATGTTCTCGTGCACCACCACCTGTATAATATTTATTGTATTATGGGTCATTATTTGCTGAAATTATTGCATTATACAACATCATTATAGCGGGAGCTGGGTAATATTCAATTAGGAGCTTGGCAATGTGATGACCAGAATCTGTAAATTTAATGTACTGTCTCCAGATTGCTGATAAGGAAATACATGTTGAACATGGTAGGTAATGTAAGTCACCATCGAATTGCTGTCACATTTCATTAAAATAGATGAAACTGTTCTGAAGATACTGGCACTTTTGTTGAAATTAATCAGTCTAGCTTTAATATTTTGTTCCCTTTGTTAATATTATTTTTGCCATCACCCACTTGTCCCAAATTTTGTAGTAAGAATACCAAATTAATGGAGCTTTGTATCTAAAGCAACATTATTGCAGAAAAGGTGAATATTACCTGGAGATTGTAAGCTTTGTATCTAAAGCAACATTATTGTAGAAAAGGTTATTATTACCTGGAGATTGTAAGCTTTGTATCTAAAGCAACATTATTGTAGAAAAGGTTATTATTACCTGGAGATTGTAAGCTTTGTATCTAAAGCAACATTATTGCAGAAAAGGTAATTATTACCTGGAGATTGTAAGCTTTGTATCTAAAGCAACATTATTGTAGAAAAGGTGATTATTACCTGGAGATTGTAAGCTTTGTATCTAAAGCAACATTATTGTAGAAAAGGTGATTATTACCTGGAGATTGTAAGCTTTGTATCTAAAGCAACATTATTGTAGAAAAGGTGATTATTACCTGGAGATTGTAAGCTTTGTATCTAAAGCAACATTATTGTAGAAAAGGTGATTATTACCTGGAGATTGTAAGCTTTGTATCTAAAGCAACATTATTGCAGAAAAGGTGATTATTACCTGGAGATTGTAAGCTTTGTATCTAAAGCAACATTATTGTAGAAAAGGTGATTATTACCTGGAGATTGTAAGCTTTGTATCTAAAGCAACATTATTGTAGAAAAGGTGATTATTACCTGGAGATTGTAAGCTTTGTATCTAAAGCAACATTATTGTAGAAAAGGTGATTATTACCTGGAGATTGTAAGCTTTGTATCTAAAGCAACATTATTGCAGAAAAGGTGATTATTACCTGGAGATTGTAAGCTTTGTATCTAAAGCAACATTATTGTAGAAAAGGTGATTATTACCTGGAGATTGTAAGCTTTGTATCTAAAGCAACATTATTGTAGAAAAGGTGATTATTACCTGGAGATTGTAAGCTTTGTATCTAAAGCAACATTATTGCAGAAAAGGTGATTATTACCTGGAGATTGTAAGCTTTGTATCTAAAGCAACATTATTGCAGAAAAGGTGATTATTACCTGGAGATTGTAAGCTTTGTATCTAAAGCAACATTATTGCAGAAAAGGTGATTATTACCTGGAGATTGTAAGGATGATAGTCGATGGAGCAGTGAGGAACAGCAGCCGTCATGTACCTGAATCCCACCTGATCCTTTATCTTAGTAACCAGTTCCAGGGGGTCCGTCAACCCTATCAGGGGGTCGTCCTGTTCAACAGAGTGTTACATACTTATTACTTGTGATAGGCTGCTATTTTAGTGATACTTTAGGGTTCCAACAGTCGATGATTCCAACAATTAAAGAATTCAAATTAAACTGCTATTGTACAGTAACACAGTACAGTAACTAACTAAATTAAAAACTGCTTTAGCTGCATCTTCAGAAACTACTGCAACTATTAAAACAGGAACATAATCATATGAATTTACATGAATCTTATCAGCGAAATCCTTGGCATCTCGGAGCTTGCCAGCTGCTTTTCTCTTCTTAAACAAGTTTCTGGAAGATTGTCCGACTGTTGCGGCACCCTGAATTGTAAGGAACATTTTAAAAAATTTAACTGGCAAGCACAAATTCATTTTAGCGTGTATAATATTAAACATTTATTACCAGTACCACAAATAGTAGCTTGGCACCTTCTTTCTTGAATTAGCAAATACCATGAAAATTTATTATAATCGTTTTGAGTGTTTTATCATGACAACTAAATCCAACTTCTGATCACCAATATAATATGTACTAATATAACAACAGTGGACACAAATAAGTTAATACTCAGGTGACCGCACAGTGACTTACCCTAGATTCTGCAGGTTGTTCAGGGGCCCTCTTTTTAACTGAGGTCGAGCTGGCAGCTGTAGAGAGAACTCTTGCTTTGGGCTGGTTCTTCTCTTGGTACACACGCAATTGTGGCAGAGGGTCTAATTTAGCCTGGAAATAGTTATATTTGAACATTTCCTTGTTGCTCTCTTTTTCTACCAGTTTTGCAGAATATCTTGATGTTATTGACAACACCATCAATTATCACAAGAAATTCTATTGGAGAGACAGACATGAGATATGGCTACTTAAAAGATATTAACCAAGGATATAACTTGAACCAGTAAACTCACCAACTCTTTGCGTTCAGCATGTCTCATGGGTCTGATAACTCTGATAGCATCTGGATTGGTTAGGATCTCTGGCCTAGCAATGAGTCTGGCTCTGAGAGCAGCAGCGCTGGTTGCATGTTTGTTTGTGGAGATGGGGTCGCTGAGGTTAGGGAACGTTACACGGCTGCTGCCTGGTTTAGACTCCTGTCTAGCAATACCACTCATACAAAAGTTTGGTTACCATTAACTCTTTAATGTCTTAGCTAGAGGGGGAGATTGGGAGTCATTAATTATGGTATCTTTAAAATTAAGTTTTATTCATATATGTAATTAGTAAATTTTTAGTAATCGGACAATATATGAGATCTTACGTACAAGATTGCGGTTTTGCAGATTGTGTTGCTAAACTAAAATCATGTAGCATGTGATTGAATGTATTGCAAGCAAGCTTGACATGCAATAAGGCAATAAAACTTGAATTCGTGATAAATAAGAATTTTACTACATCATGTCTTCCAACATCATTTAAACTTTGTTCAACAAAAAACGTCAAAAGCCTTCCTTGTTCACCGGCAAATGACGAATCGTCCAAATCAACGAGCAAAAGTTCCCAAAAATATGAGGAAGTGAGCTTATTGTGTTATATATGTGTGCCACTTGTTATAAAAAGAAGGAGAGTTTTTAAGTCGATCAGTTCCACGAACAACAAGGGATAAAATGTTGGTCTTGGGTTTAGGAAGGTGCAACTAAATATAAACATCACGTGACATCATAGCACGTGATGGGGTAATGCTGAAGTGTTTGTTCATGATTCAGTGGGGTTCTGGATAACGATCAGGAGGTATTCTTTGTCGGGAGCCACCATGATCTCGTGCTTCTTGGATCGGATCCTCAGAAATGTAAGATCGTTCTGGGGGTCAATATCTCGAACTACAGACCTAAAAAACAGATTATAGTTAAACAAGAATCTTGTTAGACAAAAATCTGTCATGGATATCAAGAGAAAAGTAAGTTATCATCGACATTCGACATGCATCATCGCCAAATGTATATTAAAATTCGCTTACAAACAAAAACTCCAGTTTACCTAGCCTCAATTCCAATTTACTTAGCTTTACTTTATCTAGCTGTAATTTACCTAGCTTTAGCTGTCAGTTGATGGTAGAGACCGGAATACTGTACGGTTGTTGAGTTGTCAAGGTTCGATCTTATTGGGATACCTGAGAAATAAAAATGTAGATTTTATGAAAATTAAGTTCTCCACAATTGCAACATTCATTTGAACATGTCAAAATGGAAAATCCGTAAATAATTAGATAATACATTATGATAAATTGAAGTTTAATAACACCGCAACTTTTACTCAGCAGTGTTCAATCTAAACATCCCAGAAATTTGCTACTAATAATTAAAGATCCTACACCAAACATAACCAAAATAGTTTATCGATAAAGTTTCTCAAGTCCGTGAAGGGACATTTTAAAGAGATAAGTTTTTAGATAAGCTTAAAAGAAATCCAGGGATTGAGTTGATGAGATGGTAACAGGCAGACGATTGTACATCTTTGGAGCAATCACAGAGAAGCTAACAGATAACTAAAACAACTTCTCTTAATAAGGAGAATTCATGTAGCCAACAAAGTGCTCGAAGAAAATGGATTTGAATCTGTGTACTATCAAGTAAGTAATCGACAAATTGAAACGAAAGATTTCCAATCTTCAGATATATTATTCGGGTTAAAATAGTCAGTCACGTGACATTGAAAGTTTAAAAACTAGCTCGACCGTGCATCGACAGATATTATCGACAGATATTATCGACAGATATTATCGATAGATATTATCGACAGATGTTATTGTAAATCAGATTACGAAACCCAAAGAATGGGTCAGTAGTTATAACTAAATATAGACCATGTTCAATTACATTGTCTTATAAATCGAATGCTATTTTATAATCATTTCAACTATTTATAAGCTTTGTTTAAGCTTTGCCGGAGGGGTGTCTACCCAAAGCAGCCAACTGGCTCTAATACGACTAAGTAGACTCAATAACTGATATAGATATGTAATATTGAGTTGATATAATTTGGATGACCATATTAAGTAGGTCATGGTAAGTTTTGGATGCATGTCACATCTAGCTAATTGGAGAAGGACAAATATGCAACGTGGCACAAAGTATACACTAATGTGATCCAGCTAAGTCCAACGGGAAAAACGATATTCAGTATTTAATTTCTATTCATATCCGATTTTTAAAATATCTTGACTACTTCGACTAGATCCTTATTATTCACTCTACTTCAATAAGTATGTGTTTTGTTTTGCTGTGTAAATTTGAGTCCAATTCTAATTCTAATGAGGTAGTTACATGCAACTTAGGATACCTTCTTGATTGACGACGATAACTCCTGTAACACCCTTGTGAGCCTGGATACGTTTCAGAGTTTCTTCTACTTCAGACATGGTGGCACCGATCTAAGAGATATTAAATCATACATACAGGTGAATATCAACAATATATTAAGGTGAATTATACGCGATATAAAAGTGAATTTTCTCTTTTATCAATTCTAGAAACTACAATTGGGATAAAATTTTCGTAGTTCAAAAAAATCACTTCGGTATACCTACTCGGAAAGCCAGTGATGAAACAAATTAGTTTTTTTAAAAGTTACGCATCAACATTAGTAACACCACAATTGCATCATCTTTCTGGTGAATGGAAACTGGAATCGTATCACCTCAGTAAATAAGGCATATCTAACAGAATAAGAGAAGCACAATAATGGATAAGGAGTTAAATTATTTATCACTCGATCGATTTCAAAATTGTTTTACTCCCTCTTCATGATCACTGTTAGACCAGTTGGATCACTGTTTTGGGTTAAAGCGATATGGTAAGGGTGGTTGGGTGGGCAATCAAAACTAATGAAGTTTACACAGTGATATGGAACAAATTATTTTATATAAATAAGTTTTCCTGTCAGTCTGAAAAGAGGCGATACGGTTCGCCTACCTAATCTGAGCGTAGCAAATAGCAGTTCACAACAAAATAGTCAATAACAATCAACAAGGATATGAAACCCACAAGCCCTATTAATGGGTTAAACAAATCAATGTGGCTCACTCAAAGAGTGTCTCAGAGAGATACATCTATCAAGACAAAAGGCTGAACAGAAAATTGCGCGCAATACTATGATAACATGAGTGTTGCTGCGGCAACGGCGTAGGTAGGTAAGTAAAATTTTGAAACGTATGCGGAGGCAAAAAACAAATCTCCGGAAGCGCCGCGCACGCATAAACCATAAAATTTTGTAGGTTTACAACCTACCAGGACGCGCGCCGAGTTGGACCCGTCGCCGGTCCAATATATGGAACAGATATTTTACGAGTATCACCCGTTAAGTCATACAACGTATGACAAGTAATATTATTATAATAGTCATAGTTGTATCACGTCGTAATACAAAACATTTGTATCACGTGGTGACCCCCACGGTCGCTTCACTATAGTATCGTCTTCGACGATACAGGGGGAGCCGCGCACTTCGTGCGCAGCGGGTCATACAACGTATGACAACAAAACATTAACGGGTAATACTGAATATAACTCGTTAAATATTTGTTTCGAATATTTTACGAAACTGTCCAATGTTACAATTTCAAAATCAAAAATTAAAATTAAATGATTTAGTATTATTTAAATATATTACAATAATATAAATTTTAAATATCATAAATTTACCGGAAAACACATTTTGTTCAAAAAATATTTAAACATTTTTTTGAACATTTTTTGAACATTTAAAATATAATTTGGAACATTACAGTAACGTTATTCAAATCTCAAACAGAAAAAAGTATATTTCAAAGCTTAACTTTAGGAAAGAAAAATTTTTGAAAAATTTAGGAAAGAAAAATTTTTATTTACCACAAATAATCAATACATAATGTTATATTCATAAATAAATTCAAATTTCAATTTCAAACACATATACAGTACGCCGCGCACACAGCCACAATTTAAAATTGTTCAGAAATTCGTAGGTCAGCTGTAGGCGCCGCGCACAGGATCTATTTAATTGTTAACTTACAATTACATGTCACATTTCTTAATTACTAGAGCCAAAATTTCAGAAGCAAAATAATTTAAAAGATATTTCTGTCGTTTACTCAGTACAGGCCGTGAGCACTGCGATCTAATTAATATAATAATGGAGAGATTCCAAAAAACCGCGCGCTCGTTATTTATTGTGATTAAATTGAGTGCGCGCCACTGTGAACAGCAGTACCGCTCAAGCATGAATTAGTACTGAGCGGTACGCAGTTCTGCGTGAGGCGTAGACATTTGTAGCACACGTTTCATTAAACTAATCCATTAATCCATGTGACATGTACAATGTAATTACATTAAAGCAAAAAGAATATTAATTTTAGTAATAATTGACGTAAACATATGTGTTTAAATAACATCTATAATCTAGCGAGTTACTAATACCTTGTGTTTTGATCATATGATTATGGGTGTATAGTGATTTTGATTGCATAAATTTGATTGGGCAGTGATGGTGAGTGAGAAGATGATGGGAGTGCCAGCCAGTAACTCTGTCAAATGAACAGCCCACTGAGGAGTGGGTGAGCGCAAGCGCGAGAACGGCAGAGAGGGTGGCATAAAACGGAATACACGGCCACAGAAAAGACACATAAACTAAACCGTGCGCGGTAAGTTAGCCAGTGTCTGAGAGCTGGTGTTGCCCGGTAGGAGGCATCCAAAAGAGGTGCCGTGGTGAACTGTGGAGGCAAAGTTCGAATGCAAGGCGAAGCAACTGAAACTGATGATGAAGAGGTAGACTGAACGAGAAGTAAAGAAAAAGGAAAAGGAAGGATCCAGCTGAGGTCTGGCTCATGTCAGGAAGTGATGAAAAGCTCACAGACAAAATCATCCGTGGCTGTCTACCCCGTACGTAGGCAGATAAAAAACACTGTACTCAAACATTTTTGTATTTTATTTGGCAAAACTGACAATTGAATTGGCTTACTGACATGAGCCGCGCTCAGCCTGTCATTCCGCCTAATCTCTATTCACTATTCCGCCAAATCTCTATTCTGTATTTAACGGGTGATACTCGTAAAATATCTGTTCCATACTCGGCGCGCGTCCTGGTAGGTTGTAAACCTACAATTCTGTATTCATATATGATTAATTTGACTTTTCTTGACTTGTGAAACAAGCGCGCCCGAAGTGGCGCGAAAGCACATGGTTAGGTTGATTAACGATGTCAATCCGTCGAGATCGTTGCTCTGCGAAGCAGAGCAACGATCGTCGACGTTCGATGCGTTCGATGCGAAGCAAGAATGCTAGTTTGCGCGGCGCGTCGAAGCGGCGAAGTCCTCCAAATGGTTAGGTGGAATACATTGCACACACTTTATATTTAATATATTATTAATATAACGTAACTGTTGGGCCGGGTTCACTTAACTTACAAATGCATTGCTTGGTGTTATATATTGCATTAATTTGATTAATTCTTGATTGACGATCTCAATCCGTCGAGATCGTTGCTTTGCGAAGAAAAGCAACGATCGACGACGAATGCGAAGCAAGAATGCTAGTTCGCGCGGCACGTCGAAGCAGTGAAGTCCTCCAAGATTAATTCACGTTGATTGACGATTGTCAATCCGTCGAGATCGTTGCTCTGCAAAGCAGAGCAACGATCGACGACGAAGCAAGAATGCTAGTTCGCGCGGCGTGTCGAAGCGACGAAGTCCTCCAAAATTCACGATGTCAATCCTTCGCATCTCGCCGATGTGCATACGAGAAAATGCGCGGCGTGGCCTAGTAGTGCATCGCGCTACAATAATTAGTTAGATATGTTTAATGTTGACAGTTTAGTTGGAATACTTCGCTGCTTCGCGACGCCAGACGCGCCGCGCGAACTTTCATTTTTGTTTCGCATCGAAGATCGTTCACACATCGTTCGAAAATTGATCGTAGATCGTTCGCAGATCGTTGCTCAATCAAAATAGACAAAAATGTGATCGACTAATAAGTGGTGCACAAAGGAAGGACGCACGTTATATTATATATCTCCGCCAAAAGCACATCCAATTTGAAATGTATGAAATGAAATATTTTATGCAGTAAGATGCCGTTCTTGAACCAAAATTGAACGGGAAATCGTTTAAAATCACTTTTGAGGCACATCGACAAAAGCTTCTTACGCTATTGTGCTTTTTATGAAGAAATACTTCAGTAGCGTGTTTGAGCTTGTTATTCTCTATCAAAAGTATTCCAAGTAATTTGTATAAGTGCACATATTGACTCTGAATACATGCAAAATAATTTACCTTGATTAATGAAGGTTGAAAGAAGTTAAAGCAATGCGCGCAATTTGGGGAGTGTGCTTTTGGCGGAGATATAAACTGAGTCCAAAGGGAATGGCGTATTCAAGGATACAAGGATACAAGGATATATACAAAAGTGATTACTCAATAACTTGATTGAGTACACAATATAATAGTTGTACTTCTCTTTATTAAATAAAGTTACACAAATTTAATTATTTATAAATGTGTAGGGATGATTTAAAAATGTTATATAATACTAGTTTGTATGGTTCAATTTTATTTAAGGTCCTATAACATTGAGTGAAATCTGGGCTCTTATAATAGGCTGTATATTGTTCGTTCAAATAGAGAATTGAATGAATTGCTCTTGCATGCTGTGACAGTAAAGTTGGTAGGATCTATTAATACGTGATTTTCGTCCTCAATAAAATTTAAATTTTGTTTTACTTAAATTTTGTTTAACTTAATAGGCTTTTGGGTTTTTAGAATCTAATAACCTTACCAGAAAGTGTCTGAATTAACTTGAAGAGTTCAATAAAACATAATGTTTTAAATGTGAAAATAAAAGTAAAAATATTTTAATAACAATTAAAAAAACCTGAAAAATCTTTAAAATTAGCTGATTTTAGCGTAAAATTGCCCTAAAATTAATTTTTGGGATTTTTTCTTGGGGGGGGGGGGGGGGGGGGGGGGGGGGGGGGGGCGTGTGCACCCCCCGCATGCCCCTCCTGTAGAGCCATGCCTGAGAGTAACGAGCAATATACTGGCATTGCTTTAACCAGACTCCTGCAGCAGCACGTGTCGAAACTTCTACTGAAACTTTTTAATGCTAAATAAAAACGCTTTTAAGCCAACTCTTCTGCAAAAGCATTGTTTCTTGAACATGTAATGTGATTTCATCAATGGGATATGGATGTTGGTCATGATCACGAAATTAATATCCTTATTTAGTTAGAGTACTCAGGGATTCGTTGAATAAGAGTGGTGTACCCTTTCACTTCCCACAAACCAGTAAACGACCGAGGGTAGGATTTGGCCGGGGCCGGGGCCGGGAATGTCCAAATTTTGCCGGGGCCGGGAATTGGCCGTTCTGGAATTTGGCCGGGGCCGGGGCCGTGAATTTAATAAATCCACGGCCAAGTTAGAACTTTTCAGGACTTAGGATCTGAACTTATTTTTACATGACAATATAATGTTCGTATCAATTGAACAGTTTAGAAGGTAATTAGATTTCATATATATTTTGGTAAAATAATTTTGTTCAGCTGAAACAGTAAATAAAAGTTGGCACTCTGGACATCATCCTTTCAAAATTGAAAATCCATTTTAAGATTTATATGAAAGTTTTAGGCCGATTTCGATCAAAAATTCCCGGCCAAATTCCCGGCAAAAATTGAAAATCGGCCGGGGCCGGGGCCGGGAAGAAATAGCTCCCCCGGCGCCGGGATTTCACGGCGCCGGGAATCCCGGTCGATTACTGCCACAAACTCTATTGTTATGAAGTAGACCGGCTATCTAAACAGTTAATGAGTTTCAGCAATATTTTTGTTGTTGTTGTCGATGGTATCTGTTTGGTATTGCAGTATGTTTTGTCGAAGAGTTAGACCATCTAAATATTTTAGACTACCAACTAGTAAAGAAGAAACATATAATGTAGTTTATTAAAGTTAGTTATGCAGATATTAGCTCTAAGAATAGGACTTAAATTCTACCATGAAAAAATTCCTTTTATGGTTTAAGATATTCTCAGATAAACTTTCTTAATATTTCCACTACATGTGTCAAACTGCATATAATTATAAAGAGCTCAAATATTAGCATATTTTTTCAAAGAAATTTTCAATAAACAACGAGACATTTAAGGTTTATTGAAGAATTTAACTTTTCGGTTGAACTACAATTTTAAAACATTATCAGTTTTCCCCAGTTCATGCCAAAGGTAAATGAAGAAAATGAAAAGGAAGCAGTCAAGAAGAAGGAACTGGGAAATGAAGCTTTTAAAAGACAAATGTTCATTGACGCTTTGGGTCTGTACAAGGAAGCTATAGAGCTTGATCCTACAAAAATTTCCTTCTACAACAATGTGGCAGGTGCTTCGATTTTTTATTATTTTTATCAATACTGGCCACCTAGCCTTTGGAACTGGTAAACTGAACTCGTTTGGTGAGCTGATGCCGGGTCAACGGTTCTGGGCCGCTACAATGGAGGACATCAAGCCTGAGTGGTGCTGTGGCTACAACAACATCGTAGTATCTTGTGGTATCAACAATCTGAAAAAGAATGATGTGAGAAGTCAGGAGGACATTGATCGACTGTTCCTGCAGTATAAGTTGAAAATTAACGAAATTAGACAGTTCAATAGTAGTACTAATATTTTCATTGTTCCTATACTGCCTACTAAGTCTAACGAGCTTAATAAGAAAGCTTTGTATTTTAACTCACGTATATTCCGTGATTTGGATCAGCCTGGTTTGGGTGTATCACATGTCCGCGGTCTCGATGACTTCTTAGATCGCAACATGTTGCTGTCTGAGAGGCTGTCGAAGAAACTTGATAACCGCGGTAGACTTGATTTGTTGCACTTAAATGAGGTTGGTGTTAAACGATTTGCAGCTATTATTAAGAAAGCTATATTCAACAGGTTAAATAGAGGAGCTGAAAAGAGAAGGAGGACCCGAACCCCTAGCAGAACACAGAACGTGCTAACATCATCGCAAGTTGCAAGCTTACCTAGTCCTGATGGTCGTCAGGTATGATCAACAAAATTTTGAGAGAAAACTGTAACCATTGCCTGAAAAACGTTTACATAGGTCAGCCGATGTTTGAGTGCAGTAGATGTAATTGTATTGCCCACTCAAAGTGTTTTTCGCAATCAAAAGCACAAATTATTAATGACAACTTCTACTGCTTTTCGTGCAAAGATAAAATAGTACACAAGTATAATCCCTTCAAACACTTTGTAGATGACACAACCTCACCAGATGCACATGACGAAACATATAAAATATCCTCAATCTTAGACAAATGCCAAGCTTATTCTGCTAATGAAATCAACTCATCGCATGGAGAAAATCTTAAAAAGTTTTCCAGCTCCTACTTTCTTAACATTGATGGCAATAAAAGCAATTTTGATAGTCTATTAACTGAACTGCACCGCATTAACCAAAACTTCACCGTAATAGGTTTATCAGAAACTAACATAGGTCCTGATGAAAGCACCGTGTATTCAATTCCTAACTACAATAGTTTTTACCAGAATACTGTAGGTAATAAATCCAAAGGAACTGGTGTAGCATTATATGTTCAAGATAGACTTAGCAGTATTGTGAACGAACTTGCGTCAGACGTTACCGAGAATTTAGAATCACTATTCGTAACTAGTCGTAAAAACTCAGAAGAAGTAACTTTTGGGGTTATTTACCGACCACCCAGCGGTAATTTTGCAAGCTTCCTGACAGAACTATCTAGAATACTCCAGATATTGCCTAAAAAATCTGCGTATATAATGGGAGATTTTAACGTCAACCTCCATGTTAATAGTAAAGAAGTTAGCAATCTCGAGGAGATAATGTTTAGTGCCGGTTTCTCGCCTCTTATATCAACACACACGCACGAGAAACCGGGATGTAATCAAACGTGTATTGACAACATTTACACAAATGATATAAACAAGGTTGTTGCCTCAGGTACAGTATCTGACAGAATCTCGCATCATCTGCCAGTTTTTCATATTTTTGAAGACCTAGCTGTAACTAACTCTGAACCTCAAGTTAAACATACCCAATATTATGATTACAGTGAATCCAACGTTCGAGTCCTTGTTTCATCCTTAAACCAACATTTCTCTGAGCACCCACCAAAAAACTTTATTGAATTTCACGACACATTCAAAACGAATCTAGACAAATCATGTAAACTCAGTAAACCTAAAGTCTCCAAAAGAACGCCAATGACAAATCCGTGGATAACAGGAGGATTAATCGCGTCTATAAATAAAAAACATGAGCTGCACGACCACTGGCATAAAGCGAAGAGAGAAAAATGTTTGCATAATCCAGGTAAACTTTGTCGTGAGATCAAGGAAGCCTGTCACTGCAATCCTTGTAATGATGCCAGGGAAAAGCATGCTAATTTTACTGACAAACGTAGGAGAGTTAAACACGTAATAAGACTAGCTCAACGCCTCTACACGTGCAACAAAATTGAGGAGTGTCAGGGTGACAGTAAAAAAACCTGGCAGTTAATTAATAAAGTGCGAGGAAAGCTAAATAAGCAAATGAAACCGTCATTCATGATAAACAATGAGCGTGTCATTTGTCGACGAGTTATTGCTCATGAATTTAACAAGTACTTTGTGTCAATCGCCTCCAATCTGAACGAGGTCTATGAGAGGAGGATTGATGAAGATCCTATAATTGCTAAATCATTCACTGACTACTTGCCACAGTCCTGTCCGTCAAGTATTTATCTTGCTGAATGTACAAGCTCTGAAATAATACAAATTATAAGTGAATTTAATAACGGTAAAGCTAGCGACATACCGGCACATGTAATGAAGCAGTGTAGTCAAACTATATCAGAACATCTTGCCAGAATTTATAACAACTGCATGAATGAAGGTGTCTTCCCTGATCAACTGAAAACGGGTAAGATAACCCCGATATATAAAAAAGAAGATGAGGAATTACTAGAGAATTACAGGCCAGTATCAACATTACCAGTATTTGGTAAAATATTTGAAAAAATTATTTACAGTAGATTATACAACTTTTTCTTATCTCGAGGAATAATATTCGAAAATCAGTTCGGCTTTAGAAAAAACCACTCGACAAGTCATGCTCTTAACTACTCCGTAAATCACGTCGAAGAAAAACGGAATAATAAAAACCACGTATTAGGAATATTTATCGATCTCTCTAAAGCATTTGATACCTTACCATTTGATATGCTACTTAAGAAACTTAGTAATTACGGAGTTAGAGGAAACGCACTAAAGCTGCTCTCCAGCTATCTAAATAATAGATACCAGTATGTTAGTGTACTTGGTGAAGAATCAGAGCCTCTCCCAGTTAAACTAGGCGTACCTCAAGGATCCGTTTTGGGCCCCTTGCTTTTTCTTATCTATATAAATGACATCTATAGATGTAGTACATTAGGAAAATTTGTACTATTTGCAGATGACACAAACATCTTTGTAGCTGCTGAAACTAAGGAACAAGCATACAAAATAGCGAATGAAATTCTCGACTCTGTGTGCCAATATATGCGCCATAACCTACTGCACATTAATGTTAAAAAATCTTGTTACATGTACTTCTCGCCTACTAAACGTAAGACCATTGATAATACTGAAAATGACTTGAATCTAGAAATTGATGGGATCCCGATCAAACAGGTTACTGAAACGAAATTTCTAGGTGTAATTATTGATGACAAACTGAGTTGGACACCTCATATCGAGAAACTAACTAAGAAATTAAACAGCATATGTGGCCGTATTTATCGAATAAAAAACTCCCTCCCCAGCCAGCTGTACAAACAGATATACCACACTCTTTTTGAATCTCATCTAGGATACGGTATAACTGTATGGGGTGGTGTATCAATTAATAAGCTTTCACCACTATTCCTTGCACAGAAGAAATGTGTCCGAATCTTATTTGGGGACTCGGAAGCATTTAGCGACAAGTTTAAAACTTGTTCTCGTAGCAGGCCAATCCAGTGCAGTATAAACAAGAAAGGTCAAATATCCAATGAATCAACTATACCTCACATTAAACCGTGTTCTATATGTATCAGCTTGAGGAAGACTGGTGATAGACAAGTAAGGCCACATCGCTGCCAAATACTTGGGGCAGAATTCCACTCTAGAGAATCAACAAAACCTATTTTCCAATCTAAGGAGCTAATGACAGTACATAACATATATAGATACAGATGCATTACTGAAACAATGAAGATAGTGAAGAGTCATCAGCCCATATCCATGTATTCTCTCTTTAAGAAGTCTGAGCTCAGAGATGACAGATTTGTGACACCACACTCATCTCACAATTTCGCATATAAAGGGGCAAATTTATGGAATAGGTTTCTTGAGCAGTCAAATGCACGTGGTAAAATAGGTTCACTAGGTTCAATTAAATCCCGATTGAAGCTTTCTATCATGAAGGCTCAACACCAACCTGACAATATTAACTGGCAGGACTTAAACTTCAACACTTTCCTATGAAAAGACCCCCATTTATATTTATATATTTTAGATTTTACACCTGTCACTCACATCATATATGCACCACAAAAGAAAAAAGATTCATTCAATCATTACATCATACACTCACTCCACCACACATGCACACAAAACATTAAAGCAGGTTACACGCGGGTGTAACGTTCACTTAATCCGAAGGGAAAAATAATACTTTACGTAACGCGCGATTTACGTCTTGGTAGCTAAATTATTCAAGTGCTATTTGTCAGAGCGACACAAATGCGCGAGCGCTTGCGCGGCTCACCTATCCAACACTCTTGTTTACATCGTATCAGGCAATGGTTCAGTTTAATTATGGTAAGGGCACAGCCTGTCAAAAACCCTTTTCGCATGATCCGTCGACACCGCCTGAAGGTGAATGCATAATAACGGATCATGAACGTACGGAATCAAACGTTAATAAGCTTGCAGCTTCCGATGAAAATGTATTCAACTTTGTGTCATGCTTGAATTGGTTTTGGACCTCTTCAATGCTTTTAATTTATTTACTATTGTTATTTGGTATTATGAGCTGATATGTATATATACATACGGTATCTAAAATTAAGCGTATAGCGAGCATATTTAACAATTTTTAAGCAATAATGTATTGCGAGCAGCTGTAACTTAAATATCGCATAAAAATCATATAATTATAACACAAAACTAAAATTTTATTGGAATCTAGGTTAAACTAAGATAAAATTAATATCAGCCCCTTCGCCACTCTCAGCAGTCAACCAGGGCTCATAAAAGCTTAACAGCGCCTGGGTCCGTTCACCAACTGTGCTAATTTGAGTGGCGGTGTGGTAAAACCCATTTTACATTTTAACAGCGTGAATATTTCTCAAATATAAGCGCGCTAGCTGCTAGCATACTTGTATCACTTAATTTTTAATCAAATTTATTCGGATATATATTTATTGATTATGTATTGAATTGGTGATAAATAATAAAATTGTCTTTTCTCAAAAAAATTGTCTTTTCTCAATAAACTGATCTCGAAGTTATTGTAACCAAGAATCCACCATTTAAATCTGCACAGAAAATATAAACAGGGCTTTAATATTGTATTAGTGCTTTTCATTCAAACAAGTAAAATTATTATTATTAAATCTAAAATAGCTAATAATTTAATAAATTATTAACAGGCCCCTTAACGTGGGCAATAATATACGCTTTTTAAATTATATAAACAAATTGCAGTCTATTTTTCCAATGTTGTTAAGTGTCTCTTTAGATCTGTTTTGGTGTTTTGTGGGAGTTCCCACATTTGTTGGTTGAGAATGCTCAACATAACATACATGATGCTTGACTGCTTTATTGACCCGGACAGGCACCGGGGGCAGACATCCCAACACCAGTGCGTTGGGACATAGTGTTGGTCTGCTTCAGGACGTGTTAGATCCTAGAGAAGCCGCCATCCCCTCTACTGCTTTAGCTCAGCGGCAGCATGAGCCCTGGTTTCCTGCCACATTGGTACCTCTGAAAGTACAGAAAAGTGGTGGATTTCGGGGTCCAGGATCCTCCCTCTTTAATCTTTACGGTGGTGTTATTTCTCTGAGATGTTTGCAGAGTCTTTATTTTATGATCTTTCTAGTTTAGTTGGATAAATCCTGGAGAGCATCATTTTGTCCCCAAAGAAATTCGACTCTTCTAATGAATGCTTTTTGTGTGCTGCTTTTTGTTAACACTTCATCTAGATAGGAATGTGAGTCAGCCCCACCCAGCTCTTCTTTTAGCTGCAGGTAACTGGTGTCTTGCACCTCCAGACACAATAGGAGCTGGTGTACCGGAGAATCATCGAAGCTGTTGCAGAAACGACAGGCCTCACCACTGTCACCACCCATGATCTTTTGGATATTCGCAAAGAGTGGTGAGCTGCCGTGAATGTAGTCCATTATTCGGCTGTCCAGATTTTTACTCGTGTTGTGCCCGAATAAGAAGTTGTTTTTGTCTAGGAGCAGCCCACTGTTTTTGATCTTTGTGATCACACCAAGTATCTTGGTCTCCTTGTTGTTACTGACAGTTCTGCATTGCAGATTTGTTTCGATGCTGTCAATCCAGATCTTATTTTTGTAGCTCATTATGTCTGCCTGAGTGTAATAGGCCAGATCCTTGAAATGTTGCTGCGTTAGGTCTATCATTCTGGTTCCGTGTGACTTATTTTCTTTCCAAAGGAAGTACTTTTTCAGTGACATTGTTAAGACATGAAAGCTTGGTATTCTGCTTTCGTCAACTTGGTAGAGTGTAGCTGAGAGATTGTCACCTTGTGTGAGTACTTTGCACATGAATTTAACCGAAAGAGCTTCGAGTTGCACATCCAGTGGTGGGAGGTGGAGAGCAAGTTCGGTTAATTCCCTTTGTGGATTCAGGACTGATCCAGATATTTTTAGAATGATTTTATTCCAGAAGCTTTTAAATTGATTGAGACACTTGTGAAGCCAAATAGGTGCTGCGTAGAACAGTTTAGTGAGGACCATTGTTTTAAGGAGGAGAGTGAGGCTGTAAACGTTTAGACCGTAGTTGCGGTTAGTTGATTTTGTTATTAATCCCCACTTTCTTTTGCATTCTTTAAGTTTTTGAGACGCATGTTTCTTGAAATTGAGGTCTTCATCTACTATTACCCCAAGGACCTTTGTGCTTTGGACGTAGTTGATGCTTTTCCCATTAATACATAATTCTGCAGGTTTCTGTTCTTCAGTATAAGCTGCAGTTTTCAAGATTATGGCCTCCGTTTTATTCGTATCACAGTTCACTACTAGCTTGTTCTTGATGCACCACTTGCTGAGGTGGTCACAAACCATCTGCATTTTTTCATGGCATCCGGAGATGTTCTCGAAGGAAATCATAAGTGTACCGTCATCAGCAAATTTGTAGCAGCTTAGATATCTTTTTACTTCTTCCGGGGTGTTGTGTGTCATGTCTGCTATGTATAGGATGAAGAGGAGAGGTGATAGTACAGCCCCCTGAGGTAATCCAAATATTGTACATTTTCTTT